TGAAAGGCGCTATACAAAGTAATATGTTGTTGATCCGTTTCTCCTGCCCCCCCACCCCGCAGCACTGTGGCTGAAGAGCCTTAACCCAACCCTTGCTCCCATGGCTTTGCGATGAAACTGGCTCAATCCAGCTCACTGAGAAGAATGCATTGTGTGTGGATTCAAAAGCTGTGTGGGAGACGAGGGAGGCAGGCGGAGGGAGTGGGGGGGGGGGGGGGGTGTGGTGGTGGAAGGCTTATTCCACAGTTCTGTTTTCAAATGTTGTGCTGCTCTCTGTGACCTGGCACAACAGTATTGCTGTTCAAATGTTTGGAGAGAATGGGCAAAGTAAAATCCCTCAAACACTTATCCTGCTGCCTTTTCAAATGTTATTACAGTCTCATCCTCAATAGCCAGCCACTTGTGGCAAAGAGTTTCATGTTCCAAAAACCCTCTTGCACATCTCAACCTTCACCTTAACTCTCCCTGTGCCCAACCCAGTACTTAACAATAAATAATAATAATAATAATAATAGTCCTTGCATTTGGCATAGTGCCTTATCACATTGACGAGATGTCTCAAAGTGCCTCACAAGATTTTACTGTGAAGTGTAGTGATTGTGTAGGCGAACCAGCAGCCAATTTGCACACAGCAGTATCCCACAAACAGCCAAGAAGTGAACGGCCAATTTTCTTAGGAGGATTGTTGGCCAGGACACCAGGAAGTTAGGTCACAAATCCTTTTTCGAAAACTGCCCTGGGATCTTTATCATTCACTTGAACAGATAGATACGACCTTGGTTTAACGTCTTATCCGCAAAAATGGGCATCTCCAACAATGGCTCCCCCAGCACCGCACTGGAGTGTCAGCATAGACTATGCAAGACCAAAGCCCCAATATGGAGCTTGAACCACAACTTTTTGACTCAGAGGTGAGAATGCTACCAACTCATAGAATCATACAGCACAGAAAGAAGCCATTCGGCCCATCGTGTCTGCGCTGGCTCCGAAAAGAGCAATCCAACTCAATCCCACTGGCCCACTTTCTTTCCATAGCCCTGCAAACCTGTCCTCCCCAAATACCCATCTACTCTCTTAAAAGTTGTTATTGAACCGGCTTCCACTACCCTTTCAGGTAATGCATTCCAGATCCAAACAACTCGCTGGGTGAAATTTTTTTTCCTACCTTCCCCTCTGTTTCTTTTAACAACTATCTTAAATCAATGTCCTCGGGTTACTGACCCACATGCCAGTGGAAACAGTTTTTTCCGGTTCAACCTATCAAATCCTTTCACGATCTTGAATACCTCTATTGAATCCCCTCTTAATCTTCTCTGCTCTAGGGAGAATAATCCTAGTTTCACTAACCTTTCCTCATAACTAAGGTCCCTCATTCCTGGTACCATCCTGGTAAACCTCCTTTGCACCCTCTCCAATGCCCTCGCATCATTCCTAAAGTGCGGTGCCCAGAACTGAACGCAGTACTCCAACTGAGGCCTAACCAGCATTTTATAAATATTACATAACCTCCTGACTTTTGAATTCTCTGCCCCTGTTTATAAAACCTAGTATCCCGTATGCTTTTTTAACAGCTTTATCTACCTGTCCTACCACCTTCAGAGATTTGCTTATGTGGACCCCCAGGTCTCTTTGTTCATTTGCCCCCTTTAAGATTGTACCATCAGCTTATATTGCCTCTCCTCATTCGTTTTACCAAAATGCATCACTTCGCATTTCTCCACATTAAACCTCATCTGCCACGTTTCTGCCCATTTTACCAATCTGTCTAACTCATCTTGCAGTCTGGTGCTATCCTCCTCACCATTAACTACTTTTCCTAGCTTAGATTCGTCTGCAAATTTGGAAATTGTGCTCCCTATATCCTGATCCAGATCATTAATATAGATCAGAAAGAGCAGTGGTCCCAATACCGGCCCCTGAGGGACACCACTACACACCTCTCTCCAGTCAGAAAAGCAACCGTTTACCACCACTCTCTGCTTTCTGTCTCCTAGCCAGTTCTGGATCCACGTTGCCACAGTCCCTTTAATACCATGGGCTTCTATTTTTTGTTTATAAGTCTCTTATGTGGCACTTTGTCAAATGCCTTTTGAAAATCTAGATAAACTACGTCCACTGCTCTACCTTCATCTACTCTCTCAAGTCATTTCATCAAAAAATTCTATTAGGTTTGTCAGACACGATCTGCCTTTAATAAATCCGTGTTGACTGTCCTTTATTAAACCATATTTTTCTAAGTGAGAAGTTATATTGTCCCGGATTATAGTCTCCAGAAGCTTCCCTACTACTGATGTTAGGCTGATTGACCTGTAGTTCTCAGGTTTATCCTTCTGCCCCTTTTTGTACAGGGGAGTAACATTTGCAACCTTCCAGTCCTCTGGCATCACTCCAGTGTCCAAAGAGGATTGAAAGATTGTGGCCAGAGGCCTCCGCTATTTCCACCCTTGCTTCCCTCAGTAACCTAGGATGCATCCCGTCCTGACTAGATGACTTATCTATGTTGAGCACCAACAGCCTAACCTAGTACCTCCTTTCTGTTGATTTTTATCATATCCAATTTCTGTTCACGCACCTGTGATATTGTGGCATTGTCTTCTTTTGTGAAGACAGTTGCAAAGTACTTATTTAGTACATCAGCCATGCCCTCTGCCTCAACAAGAAGATTTCCACTAGGGTCCCTATTTGGACCCACCCTACCTTTGACTAACTCTTAACATGTACTCTTGATATGCTTGTAAAATATCTTAGGGTTCCCTTTTCTGTTTCCTGCTAATCTTTTCTCATACAATCTTTTTGCCCCTCTTATTTCCCTTTTCACTTCTCCTCTGTACTTCCTATATTCTATTTGATTATCCTCATCCCATCCAACTGATCCAGGCTGACACATTACTTGTGCCCTTGCTACTGATTCAACAACCAGCGAGGAAAATCCTTTCAATATCTATCCTCCAGAAACCTTTCACAACTTTGAAAGACCCAGCTGCTCTGAAATTCCACATTACCTAAGCCAATAAAGCCATTTTATCTTAAATTTTAAGAATTGTAGAAAATTCCCTTTTTCTTCTGCAGTAAGAAGGAACCCTAATTGAACCCTTATCTTATTGAAACATATAAGATTCTTAAAGGGCTGGATAAAGTAGACACTGAGGAACTGTTTCCCCTGGTAGGAGAATCAGGGGTCACAGTCTTAAAATTAAGGGTCAGCCTTTTAGAACAGAGTTGAGGAAACATTTCTTCACTCAGAGGATAGTGAATTTATGGCATTCACTACCCCAAAAAGCTGTAGATGTTCAATCCTTGAACATCTTCAAGGCTGAGACTGAAAGATTTTTNAAAAAACAGAGGGATTAGGGGATATGGGGATAGGGCAGGTAATTAGAGTTAGGTCTGAAGATCAGCCATGATCTTATCAAATGGCGGGGCAGGCTCGAGGGGCCGAATGGCCTACTCCTGCTCCTAATTCTTATGTTCTTATGTTCTTATAATAATTTGGTCACTCAATCCAAGACTGTTTGTGGGACACTGCTGTGTACAATTCAAAACAATTCAAACACAAGTAATGTGTCAGCCTGGATTAGTTGGATGGGATGGGCTGAGGATAATCAAATAGAATATAGCAAGGCTACCGTGTTTCGTCCACAAAATATACAGTCAATTCATTTTACAGTATGCAAAATACTGCAGATGCTGGAAATCTGAAACAAAAACAGAAGTTGTTGGGAACACTCAGCATCTATGGAGAAAGTCAACGTTTCGGATCCATGACCCTTCATCAGAACTGGGGCATGTTGGGAAGGAGAGGCTTTTAAGGGCTAACAGAGAGGGGGGAAGGAAGACAAAGGAGAAAATGGGGTAGAGGGCAGGGGATGGTGGGTTAAAGAGGTGTTAATGATGTAAAACAAAGGGGCGTGGGGGTTGCAACAAAGCAGGGGACTAGAAGTGTTATACTGCAGAATAAAGAGGGGGAAAGATTGCAGCAAAACAGGTAGACCAGAGGGAGAAAAGGTGCGACTGGGACTAAGGTGATGTGGTAATGGTCACAGAAGAGGGGGAGTGGAGGTGAGTTGTCATGTCTGAAATTGTTGAAATCAATAATGAGGCCAGAGGGCTGTATAAGCGTATAAGCTGTATAAGATCCTGTGGCAATGCTTGAAAAGAGAAGCGAGTTTCTTAATAAAAAATAAAATGTGGACGCGCTGTAGCCAGTAACAACAACAACAAAAACTTGCATTTATATAGCGCCCATCACACAGGGTAGCATCCCAGAGAGCTTGACAGTGGCGGAGCACGATGCCAGGGAAGGGCGGGTGACCGTAGGCACAGTCAAATAGGAAGGTCTTCAAGCATGACAGACAGGAAGGAAGGAAGGAAGGAAGGGAGGGAGGGGCAAGCCGGAGGTTTAGATGAAGAGTGTTCCAGAGTTTCGGGGAGTAGTGGCTGAAAGCGCGGCCACTAATGATGGAATGGAGGGCACTAGGGACATGCAGAAGGCGGGAGCCAGTTGAGTGGAGGCAGTGGGTTGGGGGGGTAAGCAGGTCACAGAGGTAGGGAGGTGCCAGGGCTTGAAGTGATTTGAAAATGAGTGAGAGGATCTTGAAATCGATTTGTTTGGTGATAGGGAGCCAGCAGAGCCTGGCTGGAACTGGTGTGACGTGGGTAAAAAGTTTAGTATGGATCGAATAGGGAGATCGAATAGGGAGTTTAGAAGGAACTTCTTCACGCAGAGAATGGTGATAATGTGGAACTCAATGCCAGACACTGTGGTTGAAGTAAACAGAATCAATGTATTTCAGAGAAAACCTGAAGGATACATGAGGGAGAATGGAACAGAAGGCAAACAGGGTTTCTGGCGAGGGATGTAAGCTTGTAGGGAGCATAAACATTGCACGGATCAGATGGGCTGAATGGCCTGTTTCCATGCTGTATCACTATGTATCTGTGTAAAATTGTGTATTATTTCTGAATGAAAGCTCCTAATCCCTGTTGTTCTTTCACTGCAGCAATGTGCGTACTGCAAGCGACTGGGAGCCACCATCAGCTGCTCGGACGCCCAGTGCAGCCAGCGGTATCACTACCCCTGTGCTGCCGGGGCTGGGACATTCCAAGACATCAGGGCCCTGTGTCTCCTCTGCCCGGAACACATCGACCAAGCTCCTGAAAGATGTGAGTTAGCGGTTTCCTTCTAATCTACTCAATCATAAATGATCTGATATGTAGCACTCTGGGACTCTACCCTGCATGAGGAGTGCTATATAAATGCAAGTTGTTATAATCTCCAGTATAACCCTCTACTCCTGTTGCTCGATTGCCATGACCACGGTTAAAACACACAACGTGATGCTTAAGCCAATTTTGTTAGGATGACATAACATGTTAGGTATTTGACAAAATGTGCACATTTGTCAATAGAGATGGGATTGCCTCTTTTGACCAAGGCTATTGTCAAGTGCTTTGTGTTGTGTTGTTTGTTTGTCAGTTTGGCTCAGTTGGTCCCACTCTCATCTCTGAATCAGAAGGTTGTGGGTTCAAGACCCATGTCGGGAATTGGAACTCATATAGTAGACTGGAGTAGCACTACATTACTGGGCTGGACTGACCCGGCTAGGCTGGCCCTGGCTGGGCTGACCCGAGCTGGGCTGGGCTGACTCGGGCTGGGCTTGGCTGACCTGGGCTCGGCTGAGCTGACTCGGGCTAAGATGGGATGGGCTGAGTTGACCTGGGCTGCGATGGGATGGGTTGAGCTGGGCTGAGCTGAGGGGAGCTGTACACATTATTTTGGTGCATTTATGTCAAGCGTTTTTCCATATAAAGTCCAGCACCTTGAGATGCCCTCCAAGGCCTTGCTCCTTCCTACCTCTGTGACCTGTTAACCTCATATCAGCCTGTCCATTCCCTCCACTCAGCAGGCTCTGGCCTGCTCCACATTCCCCGGCCAGCCCGCTTGCCCCACCTCCGGCGGTCGGGCTACCAGCTTCTCTGCCATCACCCTTTGGAATCCATCCAACAGTCCCTTCGCCTTGCTCCCTCCCTTGCCTCCTTCAAGGCACATCTCAAAAACCTACTCTTCGACTGCACATTCAGCCACCCTCCCACGCTCCCTGATCCCAACCCCCTGCTCGGGTCCAATTCCCTGACTGTCCAGCGCCTTGGACTTCCTCCCAACTTGAAAGGCGCTATACAAATGTAATTTGTTGTTATTGTTGTCCTAATGTTTGCTCTCGTTTGGTCTCTCCAGCCATGGAGGAAGCAAACTGCGCTGTTTGCGACAGCCCGGGTGAGCTCTCGGACCAACTGTTCTGTACCAGCTGTGGGCAGCACTACCATGGAGGGTGCCTCGACATTGTGGTGACGCCGCTGAAACGTGCCGGGTGGCAATGCCCCGAGTGCAAAATCTGCCAGACATGCAGGTAAGCCAGGGGGGCGACAGTGTGAGCAATCCAGTCAAGGTGAAGTTACAGTGGGAGTCCATTTGGGATATTCTGGGGCTCACTCTGCTCACTTGAGCGATTGTTTGCCAGAGCCCGTTGAGCGGAGGGAGTGGTAGGTGGTTAGGAGGTCACAGAGGTAGGGAGGAGCAAAGTCGTGGAAGGCTTTGAAAGTGAGGACCAGGATCTTGAACTGAATGATGGGGAACCAGTGGAGTCGGGTGAGGATGGGGGTGATAAGGTCACAGAGCCTGTGGTGGAAGAGGACATGGCTGCAGAGTTCTGATGACCTGCAGCCTGTGGAGGGAGGAGTTGGGGAGGCCGACAAGCAGGGAGTTGGCGTAGTCGATCCTGGATGTGATGATCGCGTGGATGAGGGTCTCGGCGGCCTGCGATAAGAGACAGTGGTGGAGCTGGGCAATATTGTGGACATGGGGAAAGGCAGAGCGGGTCATGGCACGGACGTGGGATATGAAGGACAGTTTGAGGGTCGAACAGTATGCCAAGGTTCCATATAGGCTCCATGAGATGCAGAGTGCATTCATGAAAAGTGATGCTGTCAGCGCCAGAGGTATGGAGGTGCAGAGGAGAACCAATATCCTCGGTTTTGTGGATATTCAACTGGAGGAAGTTAGCTCTCGTCCAGGATTTGATGTACGACAGGCAGTCTGTGAGGGTAGCATTGGTCCTGGAGTCGAGGGTGGAGGCAGAGAGGTAGAGTTGGGTGTCATCCTCATACGTGTGGAAGTTGACCCCATGTCTACGGATGATGTCACCAAGGGGAGAGCATGTAGATGTTGAAAAGGAGAGGACCAAGGACAGAGCCCTGAGGAACTCCACACATGACGGTTCGGGAGCTGGAGATGAAGCTGTTAGTGGAGACAAAGTGTAGACATAGGAGAGGTAGAATTTGAAGGCAACGGCAGGTCCATAAAGGTTAAGCTGAGCAAACTGAGAATTCCATTCATCCCTACTTAGTTAATTCGAGAAAGTATTAACCAACTGCAAAGCGGAGTCCTGTTATTGGTTGGAGAATCTCACCTCGCAAGCGAGAGGACCCAGGTTCGATTCCTGGATAGGACTAAACCTAGGCAAGTTTCCTTACTCCAGACATCTCTGTTTACCTAACAGTAAGTAGGAACCCAGTTGTTAATCGGTTGGCTGATCGCTTTCCAGGGTTAGTAATCTCTTAAAATAAAATCCCGTCACTCACTCCATGACTGTTGGTGTGCGCAATTGGCTGCTGCGTTTTGCCCACAAAATATACAGTCAATTCACTTTGAGGCGTCTCAATGATGTGAGATGCAAGAATTATTATTATATATAAGTTTAAAAACCTCAATCAAATCACAGTTCCAGTTCCTCCAGTCTCCACTCATAGGCCTATGAGTATCATCTAAGTAAATTTCCAGTATCATCTAAGTAAATTTCCTCTCTGCATCCCCTCTGTTGCCTTGATGCCTTTCCTAAAGTGGAGTGACCAATACTGGCTGACCAGTCTGTCATCAGCAGTGCCCCCCCACCCTCACCCTACTTGCCTCAGTTAAAGTTCCTCTCAAGACCTACCTCTTTGACCACACCTTCAAGTACCTTTCCCTCCCCACCCCTATCAATTCTCATCGGGTACCAAGTCAGGATAGTCAAGCACCTTGGGACATCCTCCCATTGTGAAAGTTGCTGTAGAAATATAAAATTATTGTTATACTTTGGACCCTCCTGGCTCAGGAACCAGATGACTGAGACAGGAGTGACTCGATTCCAAGACTCACTTGCTGATGTCAGGGCATTTCAAGGGAGCGTTGCATGCAACATGGTGCATAGTCCTGACGGCTGCTGTTCTGTTTTGCAAGAAAACCCTTTTGTATTAACATTTACAAGGTTAAGCCTCTGTTTACCTAGCAACACGTAGGAACTCAGTTATTTGTCGATTGGTGGATTGTTTTCCAATAATCCCTGCCCCACCCCCACCCCGCTTCAACAACAACAACAAAAAAATTACATTTATAGAGCGCCTTTCACGTCGGGAGGACGTCCCAAAGCGCTGAACAGTCAGGTGTTGGGGCACGAGCGTGGGGGAGGGGTGGTATAGGGCTGAGGGAAGGCAGAGAGGTGGGAGGGAGACCAAAGGCACGGTCGAAGAGAAAGGTCTTGAGACCGGCCTTGAAGGAGGCAAGGATGAAGCGAGGCGAAGGGACCGTGGGATGGAGTTCCAGAGTGTGGGGGCAGAGAGGCTAAAAGCCCGGCACCAATGGTAGGGCGGGTCGGGCGGGAGAGATAGAGCAGGCCGGAGCCCGATGAACGGAGGGAGCGGGCAGGTTGGTAGGGAGTCAGCAGCTCAGAGAGGAGGAGGTTGCTTCCCCTGCGAAAACAAATTGATCACTCAATCCACGACTGCTGTGTGTAATTGGCTGCCATGTTTTGCGCACAAAATAAACAGTCAATCCACTTTACAGTATATTCTGTATATTGTATATTGTATCAAATGCAAGGATTATTATTATTGATTAACATTGTCTTTTTTTTCCTCTCTCTCCCCACCCCCCCCCCCTTAACCCTCTCAGACAACCGGGAGACGATAGCCAAATGCTGGTGTGCGACACTTGTGACAAAGGCTATCACACGTTTTGTCTCCAACCAGTGATGGAGTCCATCCCCACCAATGGCTGGCGGTGTAAAGTAAGTGATGGCATCTCTAACCTCTCCAACCTGCTTACCCCCAACTCACAACCCATTGCCTCCGCTCAATTGGCTCTGGCTTCCTGCATGTCCCTCGTGCCCTCCATTCTACCATCGGTGGCCACTCTTTCAGCCGCTGTGCCCCAAAGTTCTGGAACATTCTTCCTCTATCTTACCCCTTGCAAGATAGAATAGCCTTGCCCCCTCCTTGTCCAGCTTCAGGTCGCGCTTAAAGACCCTCCTCTTCGAACATGCCTACGGTCACCCTGCTCCGCTCGGCATCGTGCTCCGCTCTGGGACCCTGTGTGAGGGGCGCTATATAAATGCAAGTTGTTGATGTCGATGAACAAAACCTGCTACAATCCCTGAGACCCAAATTACACCGACTGTCAGCCTGTAAAACCCTTTTGTAGCTTTAGAAAGAAGTATTGCAAGAACAGCAAGAATCTTGAGTTTGAAAAAAATACTTTGTGTTAATTTAGAATTGCGTCCAAGAGAAAGATAGAGAATGTGTGTGAAAGAGAGAGAGAGAAGGGAACAGAAGGGGATGGAAGGGAGAAGGAATGAGTGGAGACTCGTGTGGAGTATAAACACCGGCACAGACTGGCTGGGACGTGTGACTTGTTTCCTTACTGTATGTATGAAAAAATATGTAAGCCTTTTCCTGCACCCCTTCTCTAAAAAAAGAATCAGGCTACTAAATTAAGGTTTTAAATTTAACAATTTTGCATAACATTATATGTTAAAGACGGCATGATCTTCATGGGCTGAGACTAGGTGGAACATATGGTTTTGTGAATATTGTAGATAGTCTTAAAGTTGTCAGTGTAGCACTCTGGCTCTGAGTAAGAAGGTTGTGGGTTCACGTTGGGACTTTGAGCTCACATAGTCCAGGCTGACACTTTAATGAGGTGAGTGGGAGAGCACTGCATTGTCAAAGACAAGAATCTTTGGATGACGTTAAACCGAGAGCCTCTCTGTGCCTGTTCAATTGGATGTTAAAGATCCAATGGCACTATTCAAAACGAGAAGGGAATTTCTCCTGGTGTTCTGGCCAACAATCCCCCAAATACACTAACAACAACAACAACAACATGCACTTCTATAGTGTCCTCCATGCAGGGCAGAGTCTCAGCACTTAGCATGTCCCAAAAATTGGTTACTTCATGGCTGTTTGTTCACAAATTTGGTCCTGTGTGCACATAAAAATGTACAGTCACTGCATTTTATTTTAAATTCTCTGAAGCACCTTGAGATCTGCTTACGATGTGATAAGCTCTGTATCAAATGCAAGGAGTATAATTACAACTATTATTGAATGAAATGATGATACTGAGATCAAGTAATTTCTCTGCAGTTTTGGAGGTAGGGATGCAAGAAGGAGAACCGGAGATAGAAGGACATTTAAGGGACATTGGTTTGAAGAGTGAGGTTTGAAGAGTGAGGATGGGAGAATATTTTGAGAATGTTTGGTTTAATTAACTTTTGGATCCTAATGGTGTCTGTAAAGAAAAGAACCCTAAATTGGCTATTCTCCGTTGGGAGTGTAGTGACTGTGTTTTGTTGAGAGTAATTCAGGTTTTGAGTCTAAGTGGCCGTCCTTTGATTTCTCCTGGTGTCTCTTGTGAGTGTGGAGAGGTTTATTCCCTCCCCCGCTCCCTCGGCTCGGGTCAGTGTTTCAGGTACTCTGCTTCAGTAATGCTTCTTGACAGGTGCTGTGAAACATGGGAGCAGCTGTCAATCACCACGTCATCACATCACCGAGCCTTGTCCCCTGAAGCATTCAGACTCTTTAATCTTTCACCCACACATTCTCATTGCCATACACAGTCTGCCATAGTAACAGAACACAATATCATGTTGAAGGATGGGATACCTGGTGTGTGGTGTGTGCACCTGTGTGTGTGTATGTATGTGTATGTGTGAGGGGGGTTATGTATGTGCGGGAGAGTTGTGTGTACGTGGGGAGGGGGTTGTGTATGTGGGGTGGTTATGTGTGAGGAGATTGTATGTGTGAGGGGATTGTATGTGTGAGGTGTTGTGTGTGTGGTGGGGGGGTATGTGTATGTGTGTGGCAGGTTGTGTGTGTGTGGTGGGTTGTGTGTATGTGGCAGGGGGTTGTGCGTGTGGAGGGGGTTGTGTGTGTATATGGGGGGGTTGTGTTTGTGGGGGATTGTGTGTGTGGAGGGGTTGTGTGTGTGGGTGGTGTGTGTGTGTGGGGGTGGTTTGTGTGTGAGGAGGTTGTGTGTGTGTGTTTGGGGGGGTGTTGAGTGTGGGTGTGTGTGTGGGGTAGTTGTGTGTGTATGTGGGTGGAGGGATTGTGTGTGTGTGTGGGGGGGGGGGTTGTGTGTGGGGGGGCGTTGTGTATGTGTGAGGTTGGTTGTGTGTATTGGGGATGCGTATGTGGGAGGATTGTGTGTGTGGGCGGAGGGTTTGTGTGTTTGTGGGGGGGAAGTGTGTGGGGTGTGTGTGTTCAGGGGGTTTGTGTGGGGGAGGGTGGGTGAGGGAATTGTGTGTGTGTGGGTTGTGTGTGTTGGGGGGATGTATATGTGGGGGTTGTGTGTGCGCGGAGAGGTTGTTTGTGGGGTGGGGTGTGTGTGGGGTAGGTTGTGTGTGTGGGGGGGTGTTGTATGTGTGTGGTGGGGGAGTTGAGTGTGGGGGTAAGTTGTATGTGGGGGGGTGTTGTGTGTGTGGGGGGGGTTGTTATGTGTGTGTGAGGGGGTTGTGTGGGTGTGTGTGTGTTGGGGGCATTGTGTGAATGTGGGTGTGTGTGGGTGGGGGGTTGTTTGTGTGTGGGGGGGGAGGTGTGTGTGTGTGTGGGGTTGGGGTGTCTGTGGGTGGGGGCTGTTGGGTGAGTGTGGCAGTGTGTGTATTTGTGTGGGGGGTGGTTGTAATGTGTTTTGATCTGGTGATTGACAGATAACGTTCCTGCCATATTTAAAACTTTAAAACTTTATAAGAATTAGTGAAGGAGGCAAGATGTGTTTTTAAACCCCCCCCCCACACACACACACACACCCATACACAACCTCTCCGCGCAACACAACCCCCACATATAGATCCTCATCCTCACCTAATAATAATAATAATAATAATCCTTGCATTTGATATAGCGCTTTTCACGTCGGGAGGACGTCCCAAAGCGCTTCACAGAATACACTGTAAAGTGAATTGACTGTATATTTGTGGGCGAACGCGGCAGCCAATTGCGCACAGCAATGTCCCACAAACAGTCGTAGAATTGAAAATGACCAATTTATTATTGTTTTTGGTTTTGGAGGGATTATTATTAGGCTCTGTGTGGAGTAAGGAAACTTGCCCAAGGTTTCGCCCTGACCTGCCTGGAATTGAACTCAGGTCTCTCGCTTGCAAAGTGAGTGCTCTAACCACTGAGCTACAGGGCTCCACCTACACCTACAAGGCCATTCACGGCCTTGTTCCCTCCTACCTCTCCGACCTACTATCCCCCTACCTACCTGCCCGTACCCTCCATTCCTCCGGCTCCGGTCTGCTCCACATCCCCCGCCCCAACCGCCCTACCATCAGTGGCCGGGCCTTCAGGCTCTCAGCCCCGAGGCTCTGGTACTCCATCCCCCAGTGCCTTCGCCACCTCCTCCCTTTCCTCCTTCAAGACCGGTCTCAAGACCTTTCTCTTCAACCGTGCCTTCACCTCCCCTCTCGACTCTCTACCCACTCCTCGCTCCCTCCCTTCTCTCCCCTCACCCTGACCAATTCCCCCCTGCTCGGGTCCCGACCCAACTGTCCAGCACCTTGGGACGTCCTCTCGACGTGAAAGGCGCTCTATAAATGCAATCTTTTCATGTTGTTGTTGTTGTAGACTTTAGTGGAGGGGGGAAAGTTAAGGCAGACAACAACAACAATGTACATTTATATAGCACCTTTTGTGTCATAGGTCAACGTCTCAAAGCCCTTTCACATCTAAACTGTGCTAAATTCATTTAGACCCCAAATTCTACCTTGTCTCAGCCGTGAGGCTATTTTTGTCTTTACCCTAAAATATTATTGGCCTTGCAACAACAACCTGTGTTTATATTCAGGTGGGCCAGGTTATCAGAGTTTTGAAGGCAAAAACAACAACACAATTACATCTATATAGCACCTTTCATGTCAGAAGGACATCCCAAGGCACTGGATAGTTAAGGGTGTGCACCCTGCCAAAGATTAGGTGGAATTTGTGCATGTTTGCTTGATCTGACTCCATTTAATGTGCTGTAAAATTAACTGTGTACTTTTTTGTGTATGCTGTAAACCTCAGAATTGCAGGGTGTGTGTTGACTGTGGCACAGGAACCAGCAATCAGTGGCACCACAACTGCTCGTTGTGTGACGTGTGCTATCAGCAGCTGGACCACAGCTTGATCTGCCCACTCTGCGGCAAAAGCTATCATCAGGACTCGCAGAAAGACATGCTGCACTGCCAGATGTGCAAACGGTAAGCTGCCTCCACCGCTGTGCCTAGACGCCTCCTGCTCCGACATTCGAACCATCCTTTGTCCTGGGATTCCACCTTGTCTTAGCACAACAACAACGTTTCGCCCCAAAATATACAGTCAATTCACTTTACATTATATAGCTTCTCGGAGCATTTAAGATTGGTAGAGCCTGATGCCAAGCCGGGGAGAGAGAGGGGAGGTGACCTTAGGCATGGTCGAAGTGGAAGGTCTTCAGGTGCGATTTGAAGATGGGCAAAGAGCGGGTGAGGAGGAGGGATTGAAGCAGAGAAGTTCAGAGCTAAACAGCAACAATTTGTATTTATGTTGTGCCTTTCAAGTCGGCAAGTGCTGTGTACATTTTGTGTGCCAGTCTGGCTCAATGAGTAGCACTTTTGCCTCTGAGATAGAAGGTTGTGGGTTCAAGTCCCAAATCAGAGCTTGGAACTCATATAGTCCAAGGCAGTGATAGGGTGTGCACTGCAAGTTGGAGGTGCCACCCTTAAGATGAGATGCTAAACTGAGGTCTCGTCTGCCCGTTCCCATGGCACTATTCGTAAAGAGAAGAGTGTTTCTTCAGTTTCTTGGTCATCAGTCCTCAGTCAAAATTGGTCATTCACTTCACGTCTGGATTTGGAACTCTTTTAGTCTTAGCTGATGCTCCAATGCATTGGTCGAGTGTGCTGGTTGAACCAAAGTCTCGTCTGACAGTTCAGGTGGATGTTAAAGGTTGCATGGCACTTCTTGTATCCCAGCTAACAATCCCCCAAATAAAATGGATCATTCACTTCATAGCTGTTTGTGGGCCATTGCTTTGTGCAAATTGGCTGCCACCAACACACAGTCACTGCATTTTACAGTATATCCTATGAACCGGGATGTCCTGGGTTTGATTCCCAGGCAGGGCGAAACCTTAGGCAAGTTTCCTTATTCCACATACCTCCGTTTACCTAGCAGTAAGTAGGAACCCACATGTTAGTCGATTGGCGGATCGCTTTCCCGAGGTAATAATCCCTTCAAAAAATAATAATAATTTGGTTACTCAATCCACGACTGTGTGTGGGATACTGCTGTACCCACAAAATATAGTCACTACACTTTACAGTATGTCCTGTGAAGTGCTTTGAAGAGTGTCTCAAAGACATGATAAGATGCTATATCAAATGCTTTATTATTAATATGTCTTCTGGATGTGAAAAGCGCTGGACCAAATGTAAGTATTATTATTATTATTTACATCTCCATAACACCCGTCTCCCCTGGTTGTCCTCCAGGTGGATTCACAAAGAGTGCGACAAACCTGTGGACAGCGTGATGGAAACAGCTCTCAGGGAAGACTATGTGTGCATCATCTGCAAACAAGCCGAGATGGCGGACGACGGTATTGAGCCCTGTGAAACTGGCGAGACACAGGAATCTCACCCAGTACAGGAATCTGACAAAGGTGAGGCTTAACAAACCATCTGGTTTCCGGGCTTTACAATGTCGTTTTCAAAAAGTCCAGGTTTTGGTTACTGGTAGAGCCTGGAGAAAGTCGGTCTATTTTGACTAAAGCAGAGAAGGTGTGAGAAGTGATCTAAATTATGGAGGGAGGGGATAAATGGGGAGCAAGTTTCTACTGGTCAGTCAGTTGGTAACTGGAGGACGGATGAGGTTAGTTTTTCTTTTTAACACACACACATACATACACACATATACACGTACACACACAGTTATTAGTGGAATACTATACCAAACCATGAGTTGAATGTGTGAGGAAATGGGCAGGAGAGAGGCTTTTTCAGAGCCAGCACAGCACGGGCAAGATAGTGGATCAAATGACTTCCTTTCTGAGCTGTAAAATTCAATGAATCCAATCGTAGATTTAGTGCCAATGTCTTCACTCCTGTGGATCTGACCTCCTAAACCTCCCCAGCCTCTCCCTCAGCCTCACCGAACCAGTGCACAATCTAGGCAACCAGTTCGACCCCCAGCTGTCCTTCCTTCCCCACATCTGATCCCTGACCAGGACACCCTTCCTCCACCTCCGCCACATTGCCCGCCTCTGACCGTACCTTACCCCAGATGGAGCCAAAACCCTTGTGCATGTGTTTCTTAAACCGTGTCTTCAGCTCCCCTCTCGACCCTCCTCGCTCCCTCCCTTCCCTCCCCTCACCCTGACCATTTCCCCCCTCCTCACTCCCTCCCTTCCCTCCCCTCACCCTGACCATTTCCCCCCTCCTCGCTCCCTCCCTTCCCTCCCCTCACCCTGACCATTTCCCCCCTCCTCGCTCCCTTCCTTCCCTCCCCTCACCCTGACCATTTCCCCCCTCCTCGCTCCCTCCCTTCCCTCCCCTCACCCTGACCATTTCCCCCCTGCTCGGGTCCCGATCCAACTGTCCAGCGCCTTGGGACGTCCTCCTGACGTGAAAGGCGCTCTATAAATGCAATCTTGTTGTTGTTGTTTGTCACCTCCCACCTGGATTATTCAAACGCACTTCTCACCGGTCTCCCCAGCTCCTCTCTTCAAAAAATCCAGCTCATTCAGAACTCTGCTGCCCATATACTGATACAGACCAAACTCATTACCCCCATCTCACCAGTTCTGGCCAGGCTCCACTGGCCGCCCCATCACTGAATGGATCGACTTCAAGATCATCACACTCGTGTTCAAATCCCTTCACTCTTTGGCACTTCCCTACCTCTCTGACCTCCTCACTTCCCAATTCACCACCCGGTGCTTCCGCTTAACTGGCACCGGCCTCCTGCTTGTCCCTTGCACCCTCCGCTGCACCATCGGAGATCGTGCATTCAGCCATTACGCCCTCAAACTCTAGAACACTCTTCGTCAATCCCTCCGCCTTGCCCCCTCCCCTTTTTCAAGTCCCACCTGAAAACCTTTTCGATCGTGCTTACAGTCATCTCCCCCCCACCCCCCGGCTCGGAGTCAGGCTTCGCCACTGTTAAGCATTCTGAGCCACTACCCTGCGTGGAGGACGCTATATAAGTGCAAGTTGTAGTTTTTGTAGCCTGGACCTCAGTTTGGCTGATTTCCACCAGAATTGTAGTTATTTTTTGGTCAACTGAGTGTCTGACACACACAGAAACTCAACATCATGCTTAAAGGTATCCAGACTAAACTAAGAATTCCATGTATCCCACCTGCACATGGAGATCCCATAGATAGATTGTTGGAATGGAATTTGCACTCTCTCCCTGGAGGGACACATCCTGCTTACCTAATTCCGGAAAGTATTAGGCACAGGTTGGCAAGAGCCAAGGCTTGGGAACCCCAGAGTGTATGTTGGGATATTGCTGGATTCTAACCAGCTAAAACCACATAACTTGCCATTAATAGGGCTGCCTGGATGACGAGAAGTGCGGACAAAGAAGGCTCTTCGACCCATCCAATCTCAACCTTCCAAAGTCCTAACATTCTCCCATCACAGCACCAGCTGTTTCTTAAACAAGTCCAGCATTCTGACCGTACCCACCCTTCCCAGTCACAATGTTCCAGCCCAGCCGCCTGTTAAAGAGCAGACCAACTAATCTCTCAAGTTGCCCATTATTATTGCTCTTCCTCAAGCATCTAGCAAAATCCCTTTTAAAATTTTTTGGGACTCTGCCTCAATACTGGTTTGCGGTAGAGAATTTCACATTCCTACTGCCCTACCTATTATGATTTTTTTGTAAGTAATTAATATTGCACGATATGTCTCTTATTTTTGGATTCCTGACATTTCAAAACGTAGGTGTCACTGAAGTCAATTGGAATATGGAGGAACAGACATCACTGGGAGAGAGCTTTCAGCAGCCGGACGATGATGTTAGCCTCGTGGCACGTCAGAGCATTGGGGCTGCTGATCAGAATGGTAGGAATTTACATTCCATTGGGGGAAGTGAGGCTCTGTGACCGGACCCGGGGGAAGGCTGTGTGACTGGTCCGTGTGTGTGTGGTGGGGGGGGTTGGTGTGGCTGTGTGACTGGACACTGTGTGTGTGTGGGGGGGGGCTGTGTGATTGGACACTGTGCGTGTGTGGGGGAGGGGCTGTGTGATTGGACACTGCGTGTGGGGGGGGGGGAGGGGCTGTGTGATTGGACACTGCGTGTGGGGGGGGGGGAGGGGCTGTGTGATTGGACACTGTGCGTGTGTGTGGGGGGGAGGGGCTGTGTGATTGGACACTGTGCGTGTGTGGGGGGGGGCTGTGTGATTGAACACTGTGCGTGTGGGGGGGGAGGGGCTGTGTGATTGAACACTGTGCGTGTGGGGGGGAAGGGGCTGTGTGATTGGACACTGTGCGTGTGGGGGGGGGAGGGGCTGTGTGATTGGACACTGTGCGTGTGGGGGGGGGGAGGGGCTGTGTGATTGGACACTGTGCGTGTGGGGGGGGGAGGGGCTGTGTGATTGGACACTGTGCGTGTGGGGGGGGGAGGGGCTGTGTGATTGGACACTGTGCGTGTGGGGGGGGAGGGGCTGTGTGATTGGACACTGTGCGTGTGGGGGGGAGGGGCTGTGTGATTGGACACTGTGCGTGTGGGGGGGGGGAGGGGCTGTGTGATTGGACACTGTGCGTGTGGGGGGGAGGGGCTGTGTGATTGGACACTGTGCGTGTGGGGGGGGGAGGGGCTGTGTGATTGGACACTGTGCGTGTGGGGGGGGGAGGGGCTGTGTGATTGGACACTGTGGTGTGTGTGGGGGGGGGGAGGGGCTGTGTGATTGGACACTGTGCGTGTGTGGGGGGGGGGAGGGGCTGTGTGATTGGACACTGTGCGTGTGTGGGGGGGGGGAGGGGCTGTGTGATTGGACACTGTGTGTGTGGGGGGGAGGGGCTGTGTGATTGGACACTGTGCGTGTGTGGGGGGGGGAGGGGCTGTGTGATTGGACACTGTGCGTGTGGGGGGGGGGAGGGGCTGTGTGATTGGACACTGTGTGTGTGTGGGGGGGGGAGGGGCTGTGTGATTGGACACTGTGCGTGTGTGGGGGGGGAGGGGCTGTGTGATTGGACACTGTGCGTGTGTGGGGGGGGGGGGGGGGGGGGGGGGGGGGAGGGGCTGTGTGATTGGACACTGTGCGAGTGTGGTGGAGGATTGGCTTGTGTGGTGTGTGTGGGGGGGGGGGGGGCTGTGTGATTGGACACTGTGCGTGTGTGGGGGGGGGGCTGTGTGATTGGACACTGTGCGTGTGGGGGGGGGGAGGGCTGTGTGATTGGACACTGTGCGTGTGGGGGGGAGGGGCTGTGTGATTGGACACTGTGCGTGTGGGGGGGGAGGGGCTGTGTGATTGGACACTGTGCGTGTGGGGGGGAGGGGCTGTGTGATTGGACACTGTGCGTGTGGGGGGGGGGGAGGGGCTGTGTGATTGGACCATGGGGGAGGTGGGAGAGGAGGCTGTATAAGGAGCACTGGGCCAACAGTACAGGACACAGCTGTGTGCTAATTAGCTGCCAGTCATTGCACTGGACAGCAGTCACATGGGAAGTGTTTTGACGCATTGACAGCATAATGTGTCTTCACATCCAGCATTGACCCAGAGCGCCGAAGCCAAGCCTGAGGGAGCTGAGGAGGACCTGCCTGTCTCCCAAGTCGGGGTTCGGCAGCTGGAAGAAGCCCCAGCGTTGGTGGGAGCACAGGCTGAACAGGCCATGGAGGTGACTGCTGGGGAGCCGCTATCACAACCCGTACAGAACGAGGAGCAGCAGACAACGCAGCCTGTCGAAGGACCAATCCAGTTAAAAGGAGAGCAACGGGCCTGTGGGAGTCAGGCAGAACCCATGGAAGTTTCTGCTCCCAAAACACCGAATCCTGAACAGATACAAGAGGCTTCACTGACAAACGAGTGTCCAGAGGTTCCTCAGTCATTGGACAAGTTATCCCCGAGGAGCGACGATCACATCTCCCAAGCATCCCCCGACAACACTGCCCCTGAGCCCGAGAGAGTCCCCCCGGGTGAGAGACCACCGGAGGCCGTTTCCCCAATTGGAAACAGTAAAGTGTTCGGCGAGGCCGACAGTGAGCCTGGGGAGAGCGATGGCACGCTCTCAGCCCCTCACCCTCTCGTCACCATTTCCTCTGTCTCGCCCTACGCGACCTGCTCGCCTCGCGGCCCCATCCTGGGGATGTTGAGCTCACGGATTCCCGCGCCCGCCTTCATACCTATGGTACCAAAAATCGGCATGGGCAAGCCAGCTATCACCAAAAGGAAGTTCTCCCCGGGAAGACCTCGAGTGAGACAGGTAGGACTTTGCCTTTGCATAAAAGACATTTAAAAACAATCAGAGTCCTGGTTGGTTCCAAATATGTTAAATCAATGTGCAGTTGCTATGTTAATGCATTTCCAAACTATTTGCAAGTTCCTATCTTAATAATTCTAGAACTTAAAGGGAGTAAAAGTATGTTGGTTTTTTTCTCAAAATGTAAGTTGTACCAAACAAACGTTAACGATTTTAACAGGTACTTCGTATTTTTCCGCTTTAAACACCTTTTTTTTAACGTGTGCTGCACGCGCTATACTTCTATGTCATGTCTGTAGTTTGATGTCAATCACCTGGTTAGTGTGTGTCTGGTACAGGTGTTCACCACAGGAAAAGGAGCAGGGCCCTACCTATCCTGCCCACTTACAACACAGCCAGCCACCCTCACTGCCCACTGGCAGCCCTCATTGTCCATTAGCAGCCTCAGGAAGAGGCTGAAATTAAGATCAAAATAATAATAATTTGGTCACTCAATCCACAACTGTTTGTGGGACACTAGTGTGCGCAATCGGCTGCCGCATTTCACCCACAAAATATACAGTCCATTCACTTTACTGTGAAGTTCTTTAGACGTCTCAAAATTATCACTTTCCCAGTTGGAAAGAAGAGGCTTTAAAGTGTTCAGCAAGGCTTTTCACCTATGTTTTCTGCAGTAAAACTCGCATAAGTCTCATCTGTATAAATCGTATAATCACTTCAGTCGTACATCTGCTCAAGTCCCATTTATGTGTTTATATTCTATGCAAGTTTGACATAACTTATTCTTTGAAAAAGTCATATTAAATGTATGGTCCCAAATGATACGACTTATGTGATGTTTACTGTATTCTTTTCCCCCAAATCTGTATGGAATGTGAAATGTTCATCAAATTATCATCAAGAGATATTCTGAAAAAGATTCAGGGTTAGTTTAGATTGACCCTGACCTCTTCTCTCCGTCAGTCTGCAAGAGCATCTCAAAGAGTTGGTTGTACTGGTCTTGTGCAGTTTATTGACCTGCTGTCCGTTTCCAACATTTTCTGTCTTTATCACAGATTTCGAACCTTCACAGGCAAATGGACTGTGATTTAGAGAGGATTTTTGGATCGTTAAACATTAGACATTCCTTATTTTTCACGTTAGTGAATGATGTGAGTCGTGTTTGGGGAAGGGTGGTCTGTGGTATGGTGTTCTTTATGTCCCTGTAATTCATGTTCTTCTCCTCCCACTCAGGAATACTTTCTCTCTATATAGTTCCACTCAGGAATACTTTCTCTCTATATAGTTAAACTCAGGAATACTTTCCGTTTGCTTTGGCTGTTGCATACCTTCTTTGGAGTTTGTCACGTTCAGCAGCATTGTCACATAATAACCAGCTCATTTCACCTCCATCCCCCACCTGACTGATGTCATCATAATAGTTGGGTTCAAAACTTGTGGCCAGTGAGTGTTCTGGTTCCTAGAGTAGTGCTGATTCGAGGTATATCAGCTTGACTCTAATTTCTTTTGAAGTTATTGTGTGTGGAGTCACTCTGGGGGTGAGAACCGAGGGGGTGGTGGCGAGGGGAAAGGTGACAGAAAGTGTGGTCAAAGAGGTAGGACTTGAGACAGACTTTGAACGAGGCGAGGGAGGGGGTGAGTCAGAGGGATTCTGGGATGGAGTTCCAGAGAGCAGGGGCAGAATGGTTGAAAGCCCACTGGGGCAGTTAGGGAGGAGGATGTGAAACAGGGCGGTGCTCACTGAGGGAGGGGAGCAGCTAGGTAGGAGCCTGGTATGGGAGAGGACATGTGCTCGGAGTTCTGGATAATCTGCAGATCGTGTAGGGAAGGATGCGATAAGGCACTACATCAAATGCAAGGATTATTATTATGACAGGAAGCTTTTTTTATATATATATATTAGGGACGTCGCAGAATGTTCAGTTCTATATTTAAAAAAACACTCATTCAGATGTTTTACATTTTTTTTCAAAAAAGAAAAAAACTATTATTATTCAATTTACTCTTTCTGTCTCTCTCTCTCTCTCTCTGCCCCTCTCTCCCTCCCCTCTCCCTCCCTGCTTAGAGTAAAGCACCTCATTCACTGAGGCATCCCTGACCAGCACAGTCAGTGCCCAGTCCCATCACCAAGAGAGTGAACGTTTATCTTTGTAACAGTAATACAAAATAATATAATACAAAGTAATTTAATAATACAAAATAGTATAAAATAACACAAAATACAGTCAATCCACTTTACAGTATAGTCTGTGAAGCGCTTTGAGACGTCTCAATGATAGGATAAGGCACTAAATCAAATGCAAAGATTATTATTATTACATCTCAATTGTGCAGTACAGATACTGAATGTGAGCCTGAGATTTGTTTTTTTTTGGAAGGGTTAGACAAGCAAGCGGTGGCTGAAGACATGGTCCAGCAGATTTTTTGTATATAGGTTTTGAAAGCAGAGATAGAGTGGGGCAAAGTGGCTGAAAGCTCCCCCCTTTCCCTTGGTGACAGCATTTGCAGGGTCGGGGCTTGCTACATATATGTACGTGGACGGCAGACAACTCTGCCACCACCCTCGACCCCAGGACCACTGCTGTTCTGACACATTCCTGTCAGATGCAAAGTCCTGGATTAGCCTCAATATTTTGTTGACTCAGTGTCAACAAAACTGAGGCTGCCCTGCTTGGCTCCCACCAGCACCTCCTCATCCTGAGCACCGACCATGTAGACCTCCCCCCACCACCCTCCAGATTCACCGGTTGTTCACTCTAGCCCACAGACACTTTGCGGAACCTTCTATTTCTGCAACAACTTGCTGGCCAGCTTCGTACCCCTACCTACTCCTCCCCGAGAGAGCTTTTGGCCAATTTGCCCCCTTTCTCAGGGGTTCTCTCCTGAATCCCCTTTGCCTCGCTTCTTCCCTCTCTCTCCTTTCAATCTCTAAGTGAAGACCTACTTCTTTGGTAGTAATTTCTACTCTGTCTTTGTAAAGCGCTTTGAGAAGTTCTCCCAATATGAAGGTGCTGTATAAGTGTACATTGTTATTAAACCATTCCTTTTGTCTTGCTTCCTATTCATTTAACCACAAGTCACCTACCTCTCCACCCCCCCCCCCGCCACCCACCCCTTACCCGACCTCCCTGATCTGTTGAGGGTATAGCTTTGCTGAAAGAAGCCTAACAGTTTTTAATTTGTTGGTGTTTTTTGTCAATTTTGCGTATTTTTGGCCTGCACTTTGCAGATCATGGTAAAATGCTTATTTCCCACCCTTCCCATCACAAACCACTAACAGTCCAACCTGTTTTGAGATGAAATCCATTGCTTTGCATGAGATGATATTGCAAATGTTCCTTTGGGAAGCCTTTGTTTGGTTCTAGGCTGTGATGGACTGCTTCCTCAAGGCTCTAGGATGGCCCACATGTGTTCTTTACATTACATCAGGGCGGTCAAACTGGAATCCCGTGGGCCGATTTCATTCTCCCCCCCCCCCCCCCCCACATACACACACACACACACATATGCTCCCTCCATAACCCTTTAATGTTATGTTAAGCTTCTGGAAGGGAACAACAAAAATATTGCCTTTTGCGGCCTGTAGACATTTCTCAAATAGGGCATCCGGTCCTCAGCAGCCAAAAGGTTGGATCATCCTATGATTAAGCCATCGGACTTGTCATTTCCAGTCATTTATGTTCATTAACTTTCCTTAGCTTTGTATATTGTGGCGACCTGTTTAAAAGGAGCTGTGCATCTTTGCTCCCAAGAGTTCTGCCAAGCCGGGTTGGATTGGTCTGTCATCAGCAGTCCCCTTGCTGTCCTCTGAGCTGAACTGGCTCTAAGGTGCTATTTTTGGCAACTGAATGTCAGAATTGAGCCAGCCCTCTTTGCCGCTATCGTTAATCCAAGTCCTGAGCCAGACAAATGACAGTAGCCAACCTGACTCATTGTCAGGACCTACAAGTGCCACAACAGTCAATGGAGGCAGGGACTCTTCCGACTCAGCTCCCATTAACCTTGCAAGCCTGCCATTAACCCTGTAACCCTAATGGTCCTAGCTGGACAAGCAACAGGAAGGCTTGACAGACAGTGATATCAATGGCAAGCTATGTGGTTTTAGCTGTTTATTACTTCAGCAATACCCCAAAGCACACACTGAGTACCTCAAAACCTGGCTTTTGCCAACCTGCATCCAATACTCTCTGGAATTAGGTAAGTAGGAAGCATCCCTCCAGGGAGAGAGTGTGCATTCCATTCTAATAAATATTTCTGGGATTTCCATGGGACGCATGGAATTCTCAGCTTGGTTTAGATACTCGTAAGCATGGTGATGGGTTTCCGCATGTGTCAGACACCCGGCTGACCAAACAAAATCAGCAGTGCCTTGGAAGTGCTGCAGACAAGCCTGATTTCAGGAACCGTACTACTTGGAGAAACTGGCACAGAGGGTGGACTTGATTCCTTAAATTCCATTGCAAGGCGTGTAAACTTTAAGCCAGCTCGGGAAACTATTTTCAGGCAGGTTCAAAACATATGCACATTTGTCTCCAACCAGCTACCGAATTACAGAAATGAATGCAAGTCCTTTTATGTTCAAGGTTTTCCTTTTATTTGTGTAGCCAATAAGAGTGTTTAGGACAAAATTGCTATTCTCTCCTAAACCCACATCCTCTCCTATCTTCATCCCATTCCCCCCCCCACCCCCCACACCATCCAGTTGAGTTGAGCAACGATGGGAACTGATGGTTAGATTCGTCTCCTGATATTTGCACTGATGCACCCATGTGAATTTCTATTTGTAGTAATAATAACAATCTGATACATTTGATACTGCGCCTTTCACGTTGGGAGGGTGTATCATAGTTCTTCATGGAATTTACTGGAAAGTGTAGTGACTGCATTTTGCAGACAAAACCGTCTCTTGCCTGTTCAAGCTGACATTAAAGCTCCCATGGCACTATCTCAAAAAGGGAGTTTCTCCCGGTGTCCTGCCAATATTTTTCCCCTCCCCATGCCTCCCCATGAAATTGGTTGTTCATTTCGTGGCTATTCAGGTGGATGTTAAAGATCTCAAGGCACTGTTCAAAAAGAGAAGGGAGTTTCTCTCGGTGTCCTGACCAATAATCCCTTAAATAAAATCGGTCACTCTCCATAGCTGTGCACAGTTCAGTTGCCGGGTTCATCTACAAAAGACACAGTGTAGTTTACAGTGTGTGCTGTGAAACACTTTGAAAAATGTGAAAGGTGCTAAATCAAATGTAAGGATGTTAGTGTTCTATTCCCCTCCTCTTTTCTCTCCCCTACCTCCCCCCCACCCCGCCCCCAAACACACACAAACAGTTTTCCATTATATTGCATTTTGTTTATTTTGTGCTAAACTTTCTTAACGTAACTTTGATTTGATTTGACTTGCATGTCGGGCTTCGCTTTGTTTTGCAGCTTCGATTTATTTTGCTGGGGATAAGTTCCCAATTACGTTTTTTTTTTTTTCTCCACCCGCCGTATCCTAGGGCATGTGGGCGACAAATCCCGCGACTTCCCCGTCATGGTCTACGGACAGTTATGAATTTCGGGAGAGCTTGGTAAAATACAAGCAACCTCACAGCACCATTTGGAGCATCAAAGTGGTAAATTTACAACATTTCAGCTCATTTAATTAACCTCCCGTCCTTTGGGTCAAGGAGATTCTCGCTTGGAGGCATTTGCTCGGAGACCAGACAAGAACTTTCATATTTGTCTTCTCTCCCCCTCGCTCACTCTCTCTACTGTTCCTTCTGACTTTGTGGGTCTCTGCCTCGTTTCACTTAGGTTCTCGGTTTTATAAAGAGACGGGATGGTAGGTGATGCTGCATTTCATTAAGGCGATTGAATTCAGGCTCCATTAGCATGTCGAAGGATAATACTTTCATTTGATACAGGGTTTATTATGCGGTTTTAGCTGGTTAGCCTCCAGCATGTGGAGTGACGTGGGGGTACATAATGGATTGCCTGGAGGGGTGTAGAGTGAGGTGGGGAGAGGGGTGTAATGAGGGGCTGTAGTGAGGTTGGGGGGAGGGTTGTGATGGTGGTGTAGTGAGGTGGGGGAGGGGAGGGATGTGATTGAGGTGTAATGAGGTGGGGGGGAGGGTTTGATGTGGGAGTGCAGTGAGGTGGGGGAGGGGTGTGATTGAGATGTAGTGAGGTGTGGAGGGGTGTGTTCGAGGTGTAGTGAGGTGGGGGAGGGAAGAGATGTGATGTGGGCGAGGGGAGGGATGTGATTGAGGTGTAGTGAGATGAGGAGAGGTGCCCTCAATCCTCCAAGTTTCTCATTCACAAAAACGACCTGGCTGAGACTTGACAACAACAACAACAACAAGATTCCATTTATAGAGCGCCTTTCACGTCAGGAGGACGTCCCAAGGCGCTGCACAGTTGGGTCATGACCCGAGCAGGGGGGAAATGGTCAGGGTGAAGGGAGGGAGAGAGGAGGGGGGAAATGGTCAGGGTGAGGGGAGGGAAGGGAGGGAGCGAGGAGGAGGAAGAGAGTCGAGAGGGGAGCTGAAGGCACTTGAGGCCACAAAGCTTTCAGCTCTTCTAACAGGAGCTTCAGATCCCCTAGAATTCCCTTTCCCGAGAAATTCCAGAGCTTAGATTGTTCTGTCTCAACGATAATAGCGCACAATCCACAGGTGTGACTTCTTTCATTGGCTGGTACTTGGAAATACTCAGAAGTCCTCATACCTTGGCGCTATGCTTGGACTGATTGTGAGATATTATGGCCTAGATGATTGAGAGCCACACTGGAAAGTCAGCAACAACAGTCCTATAGCTTAGTGATTAGAGCACTCACCTCACAAGCGAGAGGATCTGAGTTTGATTCCCACACGGGGTGAAATGTTGGGCAAATTTCCTTTCACCACACGCCTCTGTTTACCTAGCAGTAAGTAGGAATCCGGTTGTTAGTTGATTGGTAGATCACTTTTCCAGGGGTAATAAGGAAGCCCTCGATCCATGACTGTTTGTGGGACACTGCTGTGCACAAGTGACTGCTGCATTTCGCCCACAAAATAAAGTCAATTCACTTTACAGTATATTCTGTGAATCGCTTTGAGACGTCCTTGAAGACGTGATAAGGCGCTATATCAAATGCAAGGTTTATTATTATAAGGTTGAAGAGTCCCAGTCGTTTATCGAGTCATTTCTCATAGGTCGCCCTTACCTTATAAAAACAAATGCATTTCCTTCATTTTCTTAAAGTAGTTGATTTAATCCCCATGGGACAAAGTACCTACCTTAATGTATTTCAAAGGTACAATGCATTTGAAAGATAAGAAAGGCACTATGGAAGAAGGTAAGTTGTCAACATTTATCGTATGTTAAGTCACAATTAAATCTTTCTTAAAAAATAAATTATGTGCACTTGGTGTTGTGTAAACGACCACTGTGTAAACGTCTTGAGATTGGCACGATCTGGGTTCAAATCCCGGTGGCTTCATTTGGTCCTTCACTGCTTTGTTAAGATAAAATTGGGTGGGTGGACAGACGGTTTAGGAGGAGCCAAGTGAGGTTTCCTTAGGCCAGTCTGAACCACAGGAGATGATAATAACGTGTGTATACATAGCTGTTACGAACTGGAATGCACTGCCTGAAAGGGTGATGAAAGCAGAATTGATAGTAGGTTTCAAAAGGGAATTGGATAGGCACTTGAAAAGGAAAAATTGCAAGGGTATGGGTTAAGAGTGAGGGAGTGGGACTGATTGGGTAGCTCTTTCAAAGAGTCAGAACAGGCCCGATGGGCCGAATGGCCTCCTACTGTGCTGCAAGATTCAATGATTCTATATAGCGGCCTTCATGCAGGATAGCATCTCAGAGCGCTGAGATCTAGCCGGAAGGCCCATGTTAATCCAAGGCAAACTCCAAGGCAAGGCATATTTTGCCCCTAAACCCTACGAGCCAAAAGCCACCCAGGGGGACAGGTGGAGCATTGCTTACCAGGTCAAAGCTTTCACCTCATGGTAAAGGCGAGGTGGGGAGAAAACTTCTTTCTGCTTTTTGACTCTGAGCGCTTGTTGCAATATGAACGAGCTCTGCGAGAGAGAAAACAATAAGAGACGGGTTCAGAAAGGATGGCCGAGCGGAGTCCTGGCATTTCTGAAGCGGTGTTATGTTTGACAGGGTCGCGGTGCTGGCTTTCCCGGCAAGAAGAGGCCTCGTGGTGCAGGACACCCCGGTCGGGGAGGCAAGGGCAGGTCCAAACTGAAAAATGGCCTTGGTGCGCTCCTGACTCCAGGAGTAAGTATAATCTCTGCTTCCGATATCTCAGTTTGAAACTGCATCTCCCAGATTTTATTTAAAGATTGCTCAACTCACCAGAAAGCTCATTCGTGGTATCTGCCATCCACCTAGTGAGGGCTCAAGTCAAATAAGACGTAGGATCAGGAGTAGGCCATTTAGTCCCTCAAGCCTGCCCTGCCATTTAATAAGATCATGGCTGATTTTCTACCTAATTCTATTTACCCGCCCTATCCCCATATCTCTTAATCCCTCTATCCTTTAGAAATCTATCAAATGACCACTTGCTGGATGTCAAATGACCAGCTCGTGATTATCCTCTTTGGTGGGGAGGTAAGCAGGGGTCTCCTTGGAGCTGAACTGGCAACGCAAGTGCTTTCAATGGCAAGCTATGTGGTTTTATCTGGTTAGATTCTGGCAGTTACCCCAACACACACTTGGGTGTCCCCAAGCCTTACTGTCTTCATCTGACTTAATCTGTTCTATACTTCTATAAAGTCTTATCTAATCCCACTCTCCTGCTCTGCTCGCTCTCTCAATGCAGCTCTCCCCCCACCCCCCCCCACAGGACTGCAGTGAGTGTCCACCTAGACCTTGTGAGTTTGAAGTCCCAATGTGGCGTTGAACCCTCAACCTTAGAATCTATGGATTCTGCATCAACCGTGGCAAGGATTACACATTTCAGTCACCCTCTGTATAAAGACTTTTGCTTTCCTGACTTCCCCTTCTAATTTATTTTGTGGTTAAATTTGTGCACTCTCATTTTTGACTCACCGATGGGTGGAGACAACAACAACAACTTGGATGTATATAGCGCCCTCCACAATACTTGGTGTTTAACCCTGTGATAACCCTTTGTACGATTCGAATTTTCGTTTATCTTTATCTGCGTGAATTGTTGGCCAGGACACGGGGAGAAACTCGCTTCTCTTTTAAGGATCATTAACGTCTACCTGAATGGGCGCAGACGGGATCTCAGTATTAATGTCTCACCAAAGGACGGCACTTCTAACAATGCAGTGCGCTCCTGCCCAGCACTGCACTGAAGTGTCGGCTTAGACTGTGAGCTCAAAGTCCCGAGGTGGGGCTTGAACCCACTGTGACCACCCCCTTGTGGATTTTATACTAATTCGGGTTGTGGTTCGAAGCCATGGGGATAGTTTGTTTTTGTTAGTGATAGTTATTTTGCACTTGCCTTTGCAGGCCACTTCCATGGAAATGGTTGCAACTAAGGACGAGGATGAAAACACAATGCACAATACCGTGGTCTTGTTCTCTACCAATGACAAATTCACTTTAAAACAGGTAAGAAAGACGCCCACTTACACAGGAGATTTGAGTCAGGTAATCAGAAGCCCAGAGCTTCTCGCGTTCTTAGCTCTGAGACATGCATTGAATGTGGGGGTAAATTCAAAACAAACACTACTTTAGTGAGTGAGCCAGAAGTAAACATATGGAGCAGGCTCCCTAGGGAGACGGTGGAAGCAGAAAATGTTACTTGTTTCAAGAACAAATTAGATAGATTTCTGCTAGAAAATAATATCTCAGGATACAATACATAGTTTGGGACGTGACATGTCAAGCCACTGTCAGGATGGTGGAAGGCGAACTAGATGGACCTTGGTCTTCTTTCAACAGCAAATTCTTATGTTCTCTGGGGTTCTCCAAGGCTTGGCTCCCACTAAGCCGCACCTAATAGTCTGTTCCGCCACTGGCTCCCTGTCGCAGAACGGATCAATTTCTATTGGGGAAAGAATGGGGGAGTGGGCCTGATTTGGGTAGCTCTTCCAAAGAGCCGGCACAGGCACGATGGGGTGAATGGCCTCGTTCTTTGCTGTAATATTCTATGATTCTATGAATTTCAATCTCCTCGCACTGGCAGGCCACCCTCACACCCTCGCACTTCCCTACCTCTCTGACTTGCTCACACCCCATGCCTCTATCTATCCACTTCGCTTGGCCGGCTCTGGCCTTCGTCACGTCTCTTGTTCCCTCTGATCCACCGTCAGTGACGGTAATTTCAGCCAATGTTCTCTGAACCCCTGAAACTCTCTGCCTCAATCCCTCTACCTTGTCCCCTTTTTAATCCGTCTTCAGATTGCAGCATTCCTCTTTGACCATGTCTACAGTCGTCTCCCCTCTCTTCAAGATCTGAGACTTTACCTGCATGAAGTGCACTATATAATTGAAAGTTGTTGCATCCCTCCAGAGAGAGAGGGAAGCAAAGTGTGTGTCTCCAGGGAGAGAGAGCGCATTCCATTTCCAGACACGGACATTTCCCCGTCTAGGTGAATGGCATACATATGTGGAATTTTTTACTGTAAAGTGTAGTGACTACGTGTTTTGTAGGGAAACACGGCAGTCAATTTGAGTACAACGACGTGCCACTAATGAATTATGTGAGCTATATGTTATTTGGGGGATTGTTGGCCAGGATACCAGGAGAGAGAAACTCCTTTCTTTTTTTGATTAGTGCCTCGAGAAGGCTGATAGAGGCAAAGGGAGGTTGAGTGACTGACTCACTTTGTTTTTTCTTCCTCTCAGGACATGTGCGTGGTTTGCGGGAGCTTTGGGAAAGGATCAGAGGGACGGCTACTCGCTTGCTCACAATGTGGCCAGTGTTACCACCCATACTGTGTGAGCATTAAGGTGAGAGACTTGTGATGCCTCAGATCCACAAGATGAACAATCGTCTGTAATCACACCGGGGAAGACTGAGGTCACCAGTAGCTAGCGATTACACAGTGGAGTCACGTAGCATATTGGCCAGAGCACTCGCCTCGCAAACGAGAGGACCTGGGTTCGATTCCCCGGGCAGGGCGAAACCTAGGCAAGTTTCTTTACCCCACACATCTCTGTTTACCTGGCAGTAAACAGGAAGCCGGTTGTTGCTCGATTGGCGGATCATTTTCCAGGGGTAATAATCCCTACAAATATTAAATAAATAAATAATTTGGTCACTCAATCCACGACTGTTTGCAGGATATTGCTGTGTGCAATTGGCTGCCACGTTTTGCCCAGAAAATTACAGAATGTTCTGTGAAGCGCTTTGAGACATCCTAATGACATGATAGGGCTCTATATCAAATGCAAGGATTATTATTATTATAGCACCCTTCACTTAGTGAAGCGCCTCGGAGCACTTCATAGTGGAGCAAGGGAGAGAGGAGAAGAAGGAGAGAAGATTCTAGTCACCATGCCTTGGGCAAGGGAGGAGGTTCAATGTTGTTTGCCAACTTTTGTTCGCTAGTTTTAGCAATCACAATCGCTGGTAACCTTTGCGACTTGCTGTTCCTAGTTACAAATTCCTTTGGGTTCCTGTCAGTCTATCTAACTGCTCCACAAAGCAACAGAATGTATTATTATTATCATAGTAACATTAATCCATGCATTTGACACAAAGCCTTTCAGTCAAGAGGACATCTCAAAACGCTTTACAGGATTTCACTTCCAAAGTACATAGTCAAGTGTACAGGTCAACCAGCAGCCCATTTGCACACAGCAAATGTCCCACAAACAGCCATGAAGTGAATGACCAATTTTATCTGGGGGATTGTCGGCCAGAACACTGGCTTCTCTTTTCGAATGGTGCCGTGGGATCTTTGACGTCTGCCTGAACAGGCACCAGATGGGGACCTGGGTTTATCGTCTCATCCGAAAGACAGCACCTCTAACAATGCAGCACTCCCCACTGGAGTGACAGCCTGGCATGTGAGCTTAATGGGGGAAAATAGGGCTGACAGCTGTATGGCCTCTGATTATGAGGTTATTATATTTACCCATTAATCCATCGGAATGAGTTAGCTCATAAACATCTCCCTTCTGTGTGCATTCAATACTTCTGCACGTTCAAATCTACATTTTAAAAAAAATAAAATTTTAAAGGTCTCTTGGAACAAAGGATTTTCTTCCTTTTGAGAAATTTTCTCTTCCCCTTTCTCCCCCCCACCCCAACCGTCATCCACTCTCCCATCAGATCCGTCAGTCAGTGTGTCAGCTCTAATTGCTGGCAGACAGAGCAGCTAATTTTCAACGAATGCTAATGCATTGACTTAGAAGCAGAAAATGTTTAATTTGCTGCTTGAAGTGTCAGCTGCGGGTGGTTGGCTGGTGACTGATTGCAATACACTAGGGCCCGTGTGCTCACACTCTCTCTGTCTCTGTCTCTCTCTCCCTTCCATCAATCACGCTCTGTCCCTGTCAGTCAAGAGGATTGTTGGGATGGGGATATGAGGATGGGAGACAGGGAGGAAGGAGGTTTTATCCGAGGCGCTCACTCTTGCCTTTCTCCCCCGGACAGATCACCAAGGTGGTGCTGAGCAAGGGATGGCGGTGTCTGGAATGCACGGTTTGTGAGTCCTGCGGGAAGGCCTCTGACCCCGGGCGACTTCTCCTGTGTGACGATTGTGACATCAGCTACCACACTTATTGCCTGGACCCACCTCTGCAGACGGTCCCTAAAGGTGGCTGGAAGTGCAAATGGTAAGTTTTTTTTCCTCAAAAAAAGTTGAGGCATTTGTTTTCTTTCTTGTTTTGTTCAAACCCAAAAGGTTACGCTCAAGAGCACTGAAGAGTAAAATAATCCTTGCATTTGATACAGCACCTTATCATGTCGTTGAGCTGTCTTAAAGCTCTTTACAGGATATAGTGTAAAGTGGAGTGACTGAGTGTTGTGGGTGAAATGGTGCAACACAATACACATTTATACAGCGTCTTTCTGGTAAACAACGGAGGAGGTCTCAAAATTGCTTAACGATGCTGGTTTGGAGCCAAGGTGGGCCAGTGAGGAGGGGAAAGAGGACCTAAAGCCCACTCGACATGAAAGGCGCTGCACGTGAATTGCATTGTAAGGAACATCGGTGAGAGAAAGACTAATTGTGAATAAAGTAATTAGTGAACACTTCAGGAGAAGTCCGTGTTCTCTCTTCTAGCTTTCTTGCTCACCTCCCACCACTCGTGTCCACCCCCTTTCCCCAAAAAATCAGGGACTTTAATCGGGATTTTTTGATAATCCTGTCAGGTGCGTTTGGTGTCAGCTGAAGCTGCCTCCTGTTCCATAGAAATGCCAGGAGGTTTACAGTACTGGAGGAAGCCATTCCTCTGTGTCAGTAGGTTGTGGGTTCAACCCGCACATGGGTTCAACCGGGTATCTGACATATGTGCGAAATCCATACTTAAGAGTATCCAAGCCAAACTGAGAATTCCTTGCATCCCACCTACACATGGAAATCCGAGAGATAGATTGTTGGAATGGAATGGAATGTGCACTCTCTCCCTGGAGGGATGCATCCTGGTTACCTAATTCCAGAGTATTAGTATTAGTTTACTATTAGTTACAGGCTAGCAAAAGTCAGAGTCTGCATTGGGGTGATGCTGGAGTCTAACTAGCTAAAACCACGCAGCAGGATTTTACTGTAAAGCGATGTACGGTCCGTAATTTGGGGTTGCCGTTTATTTCACATTGTCTGAATTTTAAAACCAAATAATAATAATCCTTGCATTTGATATAGTGCCACTGTTCAAAAAATCTAGCTCGTTCAAAACTCTACTGCCCGCATACTGACCTGGATCGAACTCTGTATCCACATCTCACCAGTTCTGGCCAGGCTCCACTGGCTCCCCATCACTGACTTCAAGATCCTCACACTTGTGTTCAAATCCATTCACTCCCTAACACCTCCCTACCTCTCCGACCTCCTCACTCCCCAATCCACAACCCGGTGCCTCCCCTCGACTGGCTCCGGCCTCCTGCTCGTCCCTTGTATCCTCCGCCCCACCATTGGAGGAAGCACTGGCTCCCCATCACTGACTTCAAGATCCTCACAAGTGTGAGGATCTTGAAGTCAGTGATGGGGAGCCAGTGGAGCCTGGCCAGAACTGGTGAGATGTGGATACAGAGTTCGATCCAGGTCAGTATGCGGGCAGTAGAGTTCTGATTGAGCTGAATCTTGTGAATGGTGGAGCTGGGGAGACCGGTGAGGACTGTGTTTGAGTAATCCAGGCGGGAGGTGACAAACGCAGGCACGAGGGTTTCGGCTGCATTTGGGATAAGGTACGGTCGGAGGTGGGCAATGTGGTGGAGGGGGAAGAAGGCAGTCTTGGTTGGGGACCAGATGTGGGCAGGAAGGACAGCTGGAGGTCGAACCATACGCCTAGATTATGCACTAGGTTGATGACTCTGAGGTGGATCCCAGGGAGGTTGAGGAGTTTAGATCCGCAGGAGTGACGAGAGCCAAGTAGTATGGCTTCGTCTTGTCCACATTCACCTGCAGGAAGGTTGCACTCATCCAGGCCTTGATGTCTGCCAGACAAGCTGATAGAACATCGGTGGACCTGGAATTGGTACTGGAGGAGGCAATAGATTTGTGTGTCATCTGCATACATGTGGAAGTTTACCCCGTGTCTATGGATGACATCACCCAGAGGGAGCATATAGATAAAGAAAAGAAAGGGGCCAAAGATGGAGCCCTGGGGTACCCCACAAGTGACCGGGCTGAGGCGGAAGGAGAAACCATTTGCTGAGATGAAGTGGAGGCAGTTGGTTAAATAGGCCTCAAACCATGTGAGTGCGGTCCCACAAAGGTGGATGAAGGAGGAGAGCCAATGGAGGAGGATGGCGTGGTCGACTGTATCGAATGTGGCAGAGAGATTCAAGAGAAAAAGGAGGCAGAGGGTGCCCTGGTCACAAATAGAGAGAATGTTGTTTGTGACTTTGACAAGGACTGTCTCTGTGCTGTGGGCAGGGCCAAATAATAATAATAATAATAATCCTTGCATTTGATATAGCGCTTTTCACGTCTTCTAGACGTCCCAAAGCGCTTCACAGAATATACTGTAAAGTGAATTGACTGTATATTTGTGGGCGAACGCGGCAACCAATTGCACACAGTAATGTCCCACAAACAGTCGTAGATTGAAAATGACCAATTTATTATTATTATTTTTTTTGGAGGGATTATTATTAGGCTCTGTGTGGAGTAAGGAAACTTGCCCAAGGTTTCGCCCTCTGCTTGGAATTGAACTCAGGTCTCTCGCTTGCAAAGTGAGTGCTCTAACCACTGAGCTACAGGACACCTCCATTGAGCTACATGACAAAACTAGACAGAGGGTTTTGAGGAGGGAGTGGAGGGAGGGTGTGACCGAAGTTGACCTGCAACAATGCGTTCCAGGACTTTGGCAAGGAATGGCAGGTTGGAGATGGGACGGTAGTGTGAGAGATTAGAGGGATTGAGGGTGGTTTTTTTGAGGAGGGGTGTGATAGTAGTGGTTTTCAGGGGCAGTGGAACAGAGCCTGAGGAGAGAGACTGGTTGACCGTGTCGGCCAATAGTGGGGAGAGAAGGGAGAGTTAGTGACCAGCAGCTGGGTGGGGAGAGGATCCAGGCAGATGTGGTGAACTTCATCCGGGTGGTTGTGATTGAGAGGGAGGAGGGAGAAATGGGGACAAAGGAGTATAGGAGGGGGAGCGGCAGGAGCCGTGGCAGGGGAGAATGCGGTGTGGATGGTCTGGATGGGGTGGAAGGGGACATGGGTGGGGGTGGGGAGCACGGTGCAGCCAAGCCGATGTTTTAAATCTTTGAGGCGAACAGTCTAGCACCTCTTCGCACTTATTGTTTGATGTGAGGATAGAGGGGACTTAAGGGGGTGCACGGAGGAGGTGATGGATGGTGGAAAACAGCGTCTTTGTGTTGTTTTTGGCCTCCAGAATGACTGGAGTAAAAGTCAGTTTTGACCTGTGAAAGGGGAGGCAGTGGGTGAGGAGGTGCTCGAGCCACAGCTGCTCAAACACTGAACTACAGGACTCCATAGCGAAGCCTTCTCTACTGAAACAACAACAAGATTACATTTGTATAGTGCCTTTCATGTCAGGAGGACGTCTCAAGGTGCTGAAACGAATCATGGAGGAAACTGATTCCCATTCCCTCACCTCAACAGTAAATGTCTGTTACTAATTTTTTATATACAGATCAACAAATGCAATTTCTCCACATTTGGGTTCCCAGTGAGCCATATGTGGCTAACGGCTAACGTATTGGTTTCGCCCTCTGCTTGGAATTGAACTCAGGTCTCTCGCTTGCAAAGTGAGTGCTCTAACCACTGAGCTACAGGACACCTCCATTGAGCTACATGACAAAACTAGACAGAGGTTTTGGAGGAGGGAGTGGAGGAGGGTGTGACCGAAGTTGACCTGCAACAATGCGTTCCAGGACTTTGGCAAGGAATGGCAGGTTGGAGATGGACGGTAGTGTGAGAGATTAGAGGGATTGAGGTGGTTTTTTGAGGAGGGGTGTGATAGAGTGGTTTTCAGGGGCAGTGGAACAGAGCCTGAGGAGAGAGACTGGTTGACCGTGTCGGCCAATAGTGGGGAGAGAAGGGAGAGTTAGTGACCAGCAGCTGGGTGGGGAGAGGATCCAGGCAGCATGTGGTGAACTTCATCCGGGTGGTTGTGATTGAGAGGGAGGAGGGAGAAATGGGGACAAAGGAGTATAAGGAGGGGGGAGCGGCAGGAGCCGTGGCAGAGGGAGAATGCGGTGTGGATGGTCTGGATGGGGTGGAAGGGGACATGGGTGGGGGGGTGGGGAGCACGGTGCAGCCAAGCCGATGTTTTAAATCTTTGAGGCGAACAAGTCTAGCACCTCTTCGCACTTATTGTTTGATGTGAGGATAGAGGGGACTTAAGGGGGTGCACGGAGGAGGTGATGGATGGTGGAAAACAGCGTCTTTGTGTTGTTTTTGGCCTCCAGAATGACTGGAGTAAAAGTCAGTTTTGACCTGTGAAAGGGGGAGGCAGTGGGTGAGGAGGTGCTCGAGCCACAGCTGCTCAAACACTGAACTACAGGACTCCATAAGCGAAGCCTTCTCTACTGAAACAACAACAAGATTACATTTGTATAGTGCCTTTCATGTCAGGAGGACGTCTCAAGGTGCTGAAACGAATCATGGAGGAAACTGATTCCCATTCCCTCACCTCAACAGTAAATGTCTGTTACTAATTTTTTATATACAGATCAACAAATGCAATTTCTCCACATTTGGGTTCCCAGTGAGCCATATGTGGCTAACGGCTAACGTATTGGACCACCCTGCTGTAATGAGAGGACGGTAGGTGGGAAGGATGAGATCAATTAAGCTGAAGGACCTTCTTCATCCAAACCTCTCGTGTAATCTTATTGTGTGCAATTAGCAGCCGCGTTCTACCCACAAAATATACTTAACATTCACTCTTAATGTTTAATGCTATTTGAGACATCTCAATAACGTGATAAGGCACTATATCAACAACAAATTACATTTGTAAAGCTCCATTGAGAGGGCATGAAAGGCTTAAATGCAAGGATTATTATTATTGGATATTGTTTGATATGTGGGTTCGGTTTACATCTATACCCTTTAGGGTCATAAACATTTCAGTAAGATATTTAGCATGGAGATCAACTGAAAGATATGAGACAACAATAATTTGCATTTATATCCCTTCACCTGGGGTAGCGTGACAAAGATGAGGTAGAGGAAATTTGTAGCGGACATAGATTTAAGATAGTCACAACAAGAACGAAAGGGGAGCTTAGAGTTTTTTTTCACACAGAGAGATGTTTGGACCGGGAATGCCCTGCCATGGAAGGTATTAGAGGCAGAGTCTATTGTGGATTTAAAGAGGGAAGCAGACAAGTATGGAAAAATAGAGGCTTGTGATTGGGATCTGGGGATAGGGCAGGATGGTGGGACTTTATTCTGAGAGAAGCTGCATTCTCGATGGGCTGAATGACCTCCTTTGGCTTGCTGCTTCGATCCCTCTGCCTTGCCCCCACTTTGCCCGTCTTCAGATCACACCTGAGACTTCCCTCTTCACCCATACCTACGGTCTCCCCCTTCTCTATGGCTCAGCATCAAACTACACCATTGGAGTCCCATACTGCAGTGCTTGACTCGAAAGTGAGAGGACCTAGATTTTATTCCAGGCAGGACAAAACCTTAGGAAAGTTTCCTTACTCCACATACCTCTGTTTACCAACAATAAGTGGGATCCAGGTTATGAGTCAATTGGCGGATTGCTTTCCGGGGGTAATAATTCCTCAACAAAAAATTGGGTCACTCAATCCAAGGCATTTTATGGGACACTTCTGTGCACAATTGGCTGCTGCGTTTTGTCCACAAAATATACAGTCAATTCACTTTATAGTATATTCGTTGAGACATCAAGGTGCTATATCAAATGCAAATAATCAAATTATTACTGTTGTTGTTTAGCGCTCCACGATGCCACCCCGAGTGAAGAAGAAGAACAACAACAACTTGGATTTATATAGCGCCCTCCATGCCGGACGGCGTCTCAGAGCGCTTTACAGTAACAGATCCTGGGACCGAGCCAGGGGGAGGGGGAGGAAGATGACCAAAGGGGTGGTTGAAAAGAAAGGTCTTCAGCAGAGACCTGAAAATGGGAAGGGAGGGAGCGAGACAAAGGGAGTGAGGAAGGGAGTTCCAGAGCCTCGGGGCACAGTGGCTGAAGGGTGCTATATAAATGCAAGTTGTTGTTTTTAATTTCTATGAATCTCAAGGCTGAAATTGTGAAGTCTTGTGAAGGTTATAAAGTTCTTTGAAGAATGAGGAACGAGAGAGCTGCATCTCTGGGCCTTTGAGTGATGCATTGGATGTCAAAAAGTTGTCCAAGCATGGATGGCCGTTCCGATTAGCAGAGCTTGAAGCTGAGCCATGCTCTTAGTGATGCAGTAAAGCCTGTCTTTATTTCTCCTTCCTCCTCTCCCCCAGGTGTGTCTGCTGCCTGCAGTGTGGGTCAACCTTGCCTGGATTCAAGTGTGAATGGCAGAACAATTATGCACAGTGTTCGCCTTGTGCAAGTCTGGCCACCTGCCCGGTCTGTGGCAAGAACTACAGGGAGGAGGAGATTATCATCCAGTGCAGACAGTGTGACAGGTAATATACTTTGACTCGCATCGACTGCACTCAGCTGCAAAGTCTTGGGACAAATTAACTGATTCACTAATGAGCGCATATTCTAATTACATACATCATGAACCACATCCACTCTTAAAGTGCTATCTGGAGGCGATCGATCCAGTGAGATGTGCCACTACAGTCTTACTCTGCTCTATAATATAATACTAATCCCTACATTTGATATAGGCCTTATCACGTCTTCGAGACATCTCAAATTGCTTCACAGAATATACTGTAAATGTATACTTTACTGTATATTTTGTGGGCGAAACGCGGCAGTGCTCTGAATGACTGAGCGAGTAAGCGATTGAATGCAAAATAATTCTCACGAATGTCACTATGTGTCTCACGCAGCCTTGTTCAGAATTCTTTTCTCTGTTCCTCCTGGAAGTGATAATGTTAAGATTTTTTTTAAAAAAAATGAAAAGTATTTAACATTCTGTAACACAACCAGTGAAACATGAAAAGGGGAAGGCGTGAGAGCACATTGAATGTCCCTTATCGTGGCTCTTTCAACATAATTTATAATACAACTTGGGTTTGTATAGCTTTTTACATCTCAAGGCACTTTATCAAATGGAAGGACTTGAGGTGAACAGGCTAATTAATCTGCAACTTTCTCTTCTAAACCTTCCTGTCCTTTCATATATTAATGGTACTATCCTGCCGGGAAGAGTGGTGCGAGGGAGCTGAACTGGCTTCAAGGCTTGGCAACGCAATGTAGGAATCAAGCAACCCCCAACTGTCTTTAGTCTGGTTCCTGATCCACGCTTTCAGTGCATCCCGGCTTGACTACGCCAACTGCCTGCTCGCTGGATTTCCCAACTCTTTCCTCCACAAGCTGCAGATTATTCAAACTTTGCAGCTTGTGTCCTCTTCCGCAACAGGCTCCGCGAACCGATCACCCCCGTTCTTGCCCGGCTTCACTAGCTCCCCATCCCTCAGAGAATCGAGTACAAAACCCTCATTCTCACCTTCAGAGCTCCCCATGGTCTTGCTCCCCTCTACCTCTCCGACCTGCTAACCCCATATCAGCCTGTCCATTCTCTCCGCTTGGCAGACACCAGCCTGCTTCAGGTGGTTGGGCATTCAGCATCTCTGCCTCCACACTCTGGAACTCTATCCAGCAATCTCTCTGCCTAACCCCCTCTCTTGTTACCTTCAAGTCCCATCTAAAGACCTTCCACTTCGACCATGCCTTCAGCCACCCTCTCACCCCCACCACCCTGGCCCTCCACCTCTCCTGACCCCAACTCCCAGCTCGGGTACAAAAAACCCTGACTGTCCAGCGCCTTGGGATGTCTTTCCAACGTGATACAAGTGTAATATGTTGTTGTTGACACATGCTCCCTACACGGAGGATTAAATGTGTTGCTGAGGATTATATCGCCTCGGAGCTTTTCACAATGAGTAGGGGAGTGAGCGCAGGTGTAGAGCAAGGGGTAGACAACCATAAGTGGAGCAAAGAGGTAGGTTTTAAGGTGAGATTTAAAGATGGATAAAGAAAGGGGGGAGTGAGGCAGCGGAGGTTAGAGGTTTCATAGCATTAAAGCTGAGGTTGATAGATTTCTAAAGGATAAGGGATATGGGGATAGGGCAGGTAAATGGAATTAGGTTAGAAGATCAGCCATAATCTTTTTAAATGGCGGGGCAGGCTCAAGGGGCCGAATGGCTCCTACATCTTATGGTCTTATGGTCTAAGCTGTGCTGCACAAAAAGGGCCACATATCTATCGCTGTGGAGTCCTGTAGTGTACTGTTGAAGCACTCCGGGATGCTATCCTGCGTGAAGAGCGCTATATAAATGCAAGTTGTTATTGTAGTGCTCTCATCTCACGAGGGTTCGATTCCCCGCCAGGCTGAAAATTTAGGCAAGTTTGCTTGCTCCACACACCTCTGTTTACCTAGCAGTAAGTAGGAACCTGGTTGTTAGTCGATTGGCAGATTGCTCTCTGGGGGTAATAATCCCTTCAAAAAAATAAAATAATAATAATTTGGTCACTCAATCCACGACTGTTTGTGGTATGCAATTGGCTGCCGCATTTCGCCTACAAAATGCACTGTCGATTGACAGTACATTCAATTTACACTACATTCAGTGAAGAGCTTTGAGACGTCTCAAGATGATAAGGCGCTATATCAAATGCAAGATTTATTATTATTATCATTGCTTCTGCAAGTAACCCTTGATAAAGAGTTATAAACAGTAAAAACAAAGGATCTCAGTTATAGTGTGGGTTTGGGGTGAGCAGGCTAATTGATCTGTGATTTCCCCATCCAAGGCTTTCTTTGCTAAATCCCTCCCCGTACACAATGCAGGCAGGTGTCTTGTACCACATGAAGGAACTGAGGGCAGCGGTTTAATTGAGAGACTCTCTGACGTCCACCCACCCTGCTCCTCCTGTGGTTTCCTCCTCCATCAGACTGACTCGCTCAATTATAGCCCCGTGCATCCCTGGCTCATTCATTTCACTTTAATTGACCGCTTCTTAATGACAACACAGGAGGCCAGTGCTTCTGTTACCCTTTCCTTTAACTCCACTTCGCTCAGTTGTTAATGTTAATAAATAATCTTTTCTTTATTTGCTAGCAGCTGATCAGAGCACACTGCTGTCTCCTGTCTCTGCACTTTTTAAAAACATTTTTGCAAATAGAGCAATTGAAATAATGCACAAGCATTAAGTATCAGCCACACAGTCACGCACTTTACAGTATGAAGTGCTTTGAGATGTGAATTGCATTACACTAGGTGCAAGTATTAGTATTATCTTTACACCTACAATGTAGAACATCTCAAAGCACTTCAGAAAGTTCCTATCAAGTTCAGTGACTGTATTTTGTAAATGAACACGGCAGCCAATTTGTGCACAGCGATGTCTCATAAACAGCCATGAAGTAAGTCACCAGTTTTATTTGGGAGATTGTCGGCCAGGACATCGGGAGAGAAAAACTCTTCAAATAGCTCCATGGGAACTTGAACTTGCTCATCCCCCTGAACAGGCAGATAGGACCTCGGTTTAACGTCTCATCCGAAGGACGGCACCCCTGCAATGCAGCATACCCCCAGTGTCGCTTTGGGGCATCAGCCTCGACTGAATAACTGATAAATCCTTTTTTTGTTGAGACCTATATTTTATATCCGGTTGCCTCTCTATGGTAACAGCTACAAAAAAGAAGCACTTACTGAACGTCTTTTCTCTTGGCATTTGTCCCTCTGTCAGGTGGATGCACGCTTCTTGTCAGAGCCTGACCACAGAGGATGAAGTGGAGGCGGCAGCGGATAGTGGCTTTGATTGTTTCACGTGCAGGCAATATGTGCCGACTACCCCAGGTAAGGGGAGAAACTGGAAAATCTCACTCACCCACAAGTCTGGTGAAGATACCCTCTAAAAATAGAGGATTCTGTAAATTACAGCAATATATGTGTGTGGATTTTTACAAGGATTTTCGATCATGTCTTCCAGGTTTTTTTTTATATCTTTTATTTTTGGGGGTTATTTTTATCCTGGCTATCTGACACATGCGGAAACCCATCACCATGCCCAAACCAAACCTAAGTTGTGCATGTGTTCGGAGAGTCTAAGGAAGAGCCTGAGAAGGTTGAGTGTCCAAACCAAACTAAAATTTCCATGCCATCCATGGAAATCCCAGAGATAGATTGCTGAAATGAAATGCAGACACTCTCCCCGGAGGGACCTGCTTACCTAATTCCAGAAAGTATTAGGCGCAGGTTGTCAAGAGTCAAGGCTTGGGGACCCCAGAGTATGCGTTGTGGTACTGCTGGAGTCTAACCAGCTATACCCGAATAGATTACCTTTGAGAGCACTGTTTGACAAGCTTTCCCAAAGATTGCTCTCAGTGAGCTAGGACCACACTACCCATCAGAGTTTTGGCTTGCAGGGTTAACAGGAGCTGAGTGGGACGATGAACCAAATGGCCGCTTGTATATTTAAGGTGCCTCCCATGGACTGGTGTGATGGGGGTATGGAGCTTCAGGCGGGTGAGAATCCAGGCAGCGGAATTTTTAATTAATAGGATTTTGTGTAAGGTGGAGCTGGGGAGACCAGTGAGGAGGGCATAGAAATAGTCCAGCCGGGAAGTGATCAAGGAGTAGACGAGGGTTTCAACTGCGTCGGTTGTGAGGTACAGATGGTGGTGGGCAATATGGCGCAGGTGGAAAAAAGCGGCTCTGGTCAGGGACTGGATGTGTGGTAGAAAGCAAAACTAGGGATCGAACCTGATACCTAAGTTGTGCATGTGTTCGGAGAGTCTAAGGAAGAGCCTGGGAAGGTTGAGGTGTTCAGACCCACAGGAGAGAAGCCAAAGATTATGGCTTCCGTCTTGCAGACATTCAACTGCAGGAAATATGTGTTCATCCAGGCCTTGCTGTCCGCCAAACAATCTGACAGGACGTCAGTGGACTGGGAGTCACAGGTGGAGGAGAGAAGTAGATTTGGATGTCATCCGCATACATGTGGAAGTTGACCCCATGTCTGTGGATGACATTGCCGAGAGGAAGCATGTAGATGAGGAAAAGGAGGAATAAACATTGGCCGAAATGAAGTGCTGCCGGTTGGTTAAATAGGCCTCGAACCATGCGAGTGTGGTCCCATTAAAGCACTTACCTGCCCGTACCCTCCATTCCTCTGGCTCCGGTCTGCTCCACATCCCCAGCTCTAACCACTTACTGTCGGTGGCCGGGCTTTCAGCCTCTCAGCCCCTAGGCTCTGGAACTCCATCCCCCAGTGCCTTCGCCTTGCTTCCTCCCTTTCCTCCTTCAAGGCCGGTCTCAAGACCTTTCTCTTCAACCGTGCCTTCACCTCCCCTCTCGACTCTTACCCCCTCCTCACTCCCTCCCTTCCCTCCCCTCACACTGACCATTTCCCCCCTGCTCAGGTACCGACCCAATTGTCCAGTGCCTTGGGACGTCCTCCCAACGTGAAAGGCGCTCTATAAATGCAATCATGTTGTTGTTGTTGAGGAGAGGCGGTGGAGGAAGATGGCGCGGTCAACTGTGTCGACGGTTTTCTGAGGGCAGTGCATTCCACATTGTCCCGCTTCTCCCCCTCACACACACACACACATACCTGCCAGAATCCCACTGTCCCATCAGTATTGGTCACAATCTGACATTGAAGAAGCCTCAATCCCTCCACCTCACCCCCACCACCTCCATCATAACTTCACCATGTGAGACACTATTCTGCGTGAAGGAAATTGTATAACAGCAAGTTGTTGTAAATGTGATTGGAACATAGGAATTAGGAGCAGGAGTAGGCCATTCGGCCCTCCGAGCCTGCCCCGCCATTCAATAAGATTGTGGCTGATCTTCTAACCTAACTCCATCTGCCCGCCTTATCCCCATATCCCTTAATCCCTCTATCCTTTAGAAGTCTATCAACCTCAGTCTTGAATATGTTCAGGGACTGAGCATCTACAGCCTTCTGGGGTAGAAAATTCCATAAATTCACTACCCTCTGAGTGAAGAAGTGTTTCTTCAACTCTGTTCGAAAAGGCTGACCCTTAATCTTAAGACTGTGACCCCTAGTTCTAGATTCTCCTACCAGGGGAAACAGTCTCACATTGTCTACTCTGTGAAGCCCCATAAGAATCTTATATGTTTCTATAAGATCATCCCTAATTCTTCTATATTCTAGGGAATATTGGCCTAGTTTACTCAACCTCCTCATAGGTCAACCCCCTCATCCCAGGAACTAACCTAGCGAATCTACGCTGCACCCCCTCTAAGGCGAGTATGTCCTTTCTTAAATAAGGAGACCAAAACTGCACACAATATTCGGTCTCACCAAGGCCTTATACAACTGCAGCAAGACTTCCCTACTCTTGTACTCTAACCCTTTTGCAATAAACGCCAACATGCCATTAGCCTTCCTAGCTGCTTGCTGTACCTGCATACTGACTTTTTGTGACTGGTATACAAGGACACCCAAATCTCTCTGAACACTAAGGGGGCCAGAGCAGGGTACAAAGATAGCATGATACTTGCAGTGTTTAGCTTTGAGTGGAATTGTGAAATGTTCCTCTTCTCTTTGACTGTGCCTTCAGCTCCCCTCTCGACTCTCTACCCCCTCCTCGCTCCCTCCCTTCCCTCCCCTCACCCTGACCATTTCCCCCCTGCTCGGGTCCTGACCTAACTGTACAGCGCCTTGAGACATCCTCCCGACGTGAAAGGCGCTCAATAAATGGAATCTTGTTGTTGTTGTTGCCACCACCACTGCAGTCCATTGATTATGTGCATTCCTGTAGCTTAGTGGTTAGAGTACTCGCCTTGCAAGCGAGAGGACTTGGACAGGGCAAAACCTTAGACAAATTTCCTTACTCCACACGCCACTGTTTACCTAGCAGTAAGTAGAAACCCAGTTGTTAGTCGATTGGCGGATCAATTATCCGGGGATAATAATCCCTTCAAAATAAAAAATAATAATAATAATTTGGTCACTCAATCCACAACTGTTTGTGAGACACTGCTGTGCGCAATTGGCTGCCGCGTTTTGCCCACAAAATATACAATCAATTCACTTTACAGTATACTTTGCGAAGCGCTTTGAGGCTTCTTGAAGACGTGATACAAATACAAAAATGTATTTGTGTAGTGCCCTTCACATCGGGAGGATGTCCCAGGGCGCTGGACAGTCAGGAATTTGGACCCAAGCGGTGGGGGGGGTGGTTGGGATCAGGAAGAGTAGAGGGCAGGGGTAGGAGAGTGACCAAAGGTGCAATCGGAGAGGATCTTAAGACATGCCTTTAAGGAGGTAAGGGAGGGAGCGAGGCGGAGGGGCTGTGGGATGGAGTTCCAAAGGTGGGGGACAGAGAAGCTAAAGGCCTGATGGTGGTGTGGGCCGGGCAGGGGACCGTGACTCCATCACCTCCACCATTGCCCGGTTTCACTGGCTCACCATCCTTCAGAGGATCAAGATCAAAATCCTTGTCCTCGCCTTCAGGGCCCTCCATGGCATTGCCCCCTCCTACCTCTGTGACCTCCTATATGGAGCAGGCTCTGGCCTGCTCCATGTTCCCCGCCCAGCCTACACTACAATCGGCGGCCAGGCCTTCAGCCTCTCTGCCCTAACCCTCTGGAACTCCATGCCACATTCCCTTTGCCTCGTTCCCTCCCTTGTCTCCTTCAAGACAGGCCTCAAGACCCTCCTCTTCGACCTCCTACCCTCTCTGCGATTCACCCTCCCTGATCCGACACCCCACCCGACTCGCACCTAGAATATTGTCCTAACGATCCTGACTGTTCAGCGCCTTGGGATAAATATAATTTTGTATTGTATTGTATCGTACGCATACTTTCTGAAAATATATATACTTTCTGGATCAGTATGTTTCCAGCCCAATGAGGAAGGAAGCAGTGCTGGATCTAGTTCTGGGGAATGAAGGGGGGCAAGTGGAGCAGGTTTCAGTAGGAGAACATGTGGACAACAGTGATCACAACGTCATTAAGTTCAGAGTATTTATGGAAAGGGACAAGGTGAAGATACTCAACTGGAAGAGGTCTAATTTCCGTGAATTAAAAAGGGACCTCGCCAAGGTGGACTGGAAAGAAAGATTGACAGGTAAACCAGCTAATGAGCAATGGGAAGCTTCAAGGAGGAGATACAGGAGGAGAACAAATATATTCCCACAAATGGGAAAGGTAGGGCATCCAAACTTCCCTGGATAAATAAGGAGATTGGAATTAAAATAAAACAGAAAAAGGAGGCTTATGATAAATATCAGGTCCAAAACACAGAGGATAAACAAATAGAATATAGAAAATATGGAGGAGAACTGAAAAAGGAAATAAGAGAGGCAAAGAGATTGTATGAGAAAAGATTAGCGGGTAACATAAAAGGGAACCCTAAGGTATTTTAGAAGCATATAAAGAATAAAAGTTTAGCCAACGGTAGGGTGGGTCCAATTAGAGACCAACGAGAAAATCTTCTTGTGGAGGCCGAGGGCATGGCTGATGTGCTGAATGAGTACTTTCCATCTGTCTTCACAAAAGCGAATGCCACAGTATCGGAGGAGAGGATAGAGAAATTGGATAAGACAAGAATAAACCGAGAGGAGGTACTAAAAAGGTAGATAAGTCACCTGGTCTGAACGGGATGCATCCTAGTTTACTGAGGGAAACAAGGGTGGAAAATAACAGAGGCTCTGGCCACAATCTTTCAATCCTCCTTGGACACTGGTGTTGTGCCAGAGGACTGGAGGGTTCCAAATGTTACTGCCCTGTACAAAAAGGGGCAAAAGGATGAACCCAGGAACTACAGACCAGTCAGTTTAACGTCAGTAGTGGGGAAACTTCTAGAGACTATATCCTGGGACAAAATAAATTTTCACTTAGAAAAATGTGGGTGAATGAAGGACAGCCATCACTGATTTGTTAAAGGCAAATTGTGTCTAACAAACCTGATCATTTTTTGATGAAGTAACGGAAAGGGTGGTTGAAGGTAGTTGATATGGATTTTCAAAAGGTGTTTGACAAAGTGCCACATAAGAGTTTTGTAAGTAAAATAAAAGCCCATGGTATTTAAAGGGACAGTGGCAGCATGGATACTGAACTGGTTGGGAGACAGAAAGCAGAGAGAGGTGGTGAATGGTTGTTTCTCTGACTGGAGGGAAGTGTGCAGTGGTGTCCCCCAGGGGTCAGTATTGGGACCACTACTCTTTTTGATCTATATAAATAATCTGGACTTGGGTATAGGGAGTACAATTTTGCAGACGATACTAAGCTAGGAAAAGTCGTAAACAGTGAGGAGGATAGTAGCAGACTGCAACTGGACATAGACAGACTGGTAAAATGGGCCGACACGTGGCAGATGAAGTTTAATGTGGAGAAATGCAAAGTTATGCATTTTGGGAGGAAGAATGAGGAGAGGCAATATCAGCTGATGGTACAATCTTAAAAGGGGGTGAAGGAACAGAGAAAGCTGGGGGTTCATATTTGAAGGTGGCAGGACAGGTAGATAGATAAAGCTGTTAAAAAAGCATACTGGGCTTTATAAATAGGGGCATAGAATACAAAAGTCAGGAAGTTATGATGAACCTTTATAAAACACTGGTTAGGCCTCAGCTAGAGACTGGGTTCAGTTCTGGGCACCACACTTTAGGAAGGATGTCAAGGCATTGGCAAAGGAGATTTGCAAGGATGGTACCAGGAATGAGGGACTTCAGTTATCAGGAGAGTCTAGAGAAGCTAAGATTATTCTCCTTGGAGCAGAGAAGATTAAGAGGAGACTTAATAGAAGTTTTCAAAATTATGACGGGATTTGATAGGATGAACAAGGAGAAATTATTTCCACTGGCGGGTGCAATGGTAATCCGAGGACACCGATTTAAAATAGTTGTTAAAAGAAACAGAGGTTGAGGTGAGGAGAATTTTTTTCACTCAGCAAGTTGTTCGGATCTGGAATGCATTGTCTCGTGGAAACTGATTTGATAACAACTTTTAAGAGAGAAGTAGATAATTATTTGGGGAGAACATGGTTGCAGGGCTATGGGGAGAGTGCGGGGGAGTGGGATTGATTTGGGTAGCTCTTTTCAAAGAGCAGGCATGGACACGATGAACCGAATGGCCTCCTTCTGTGCTGTATAATTCTATGATTCTATGATATTATTATTATGCTGGATTTTGTGTGCCAATCGTCAAATTCAACACTCAATCCCAATTTGCTCTGTTGCAGTGACTACCTCAGAAGCGAAGGAGTTGACTTTGGCGACTCCTCAAGTATTCACAAAGATGAAAGAATCAGGTAACATGGGGCCAAATGTCTGAGCTTTCTCCTTGTCCCCAGACCCATTTTCTCTCGCTCCTGAAGACCGAGAACGTGGGCATGGCCCGGGATTTTCTGCCCGTCCCTGGCTGTTCTGATGGTGGGGTGGGGAGGTATTGGAAACTGCTTCTTGTGGCAGTGGAGCTCCCAACATTGGGTTGGATTGTGGGAGGGAGGTGGGATAGCTCTAGGATTTTATCCAGCAGCAATGAAGGAACAGCAGTGTGGGTGGTGGGGTGGAGGTGGGCGGCAAGAGTGGATAGCATTTGGTGGTGCCAAGGGTGATAGGGGTTGGCAGTACAGGGGAGGGACTGTGGGATGGGGGTTAGCGGGAGTTGGCAGGGATGGGAGTAGTTGGGGGTGAGATTGTCAGGGCCATCAAGTGAAACTGCCTTTCCCTGTTCTCAGTCGGGTCGTGCGAGAAGCCTTGCTCTGACCACTTCATCTACCTCCTCCTGGAAAGGTTGAGATTACGATTAGTGTTTCTAAGATTCTAAAGGAAATAATGTTGACCATTGGCAAACTGTTTCATCTTGTCCAGAACAGCAGAATCAGAAGACACAGCCTGCAATTGTTGGGGAGTAAATTCAAAACTAATCTGTGAAAACACTATTTCACTGAGTGAGTGGTAAATCCGTGGAACAGGCTCCTTAGGGAGATGGTGGAAGCAGATAGTGTTGATTCATTAAAATGCAAATTAGATAGATTTGTTTTGGAAAATAATATTTTGGGATACAGTATATGCGTAATTTGATTCATGACATACAGTAAGTGTAATATGCTTGGAGGAACAAGGCATCTTTGGATCTAAGGTTTTGAAAGCTTTCAACTGTGATGGTAGACTAATCCATACAGATTTAATTCCCATCAGCACCTCCAGTATTGTACATGTGGCTACCAGAATGGTAGAAGGCGGACTTCATGGAACTTGATCTTTTATCGGTTAGCAATTCCTTTGTTCCTAAACGCAGAGCCCACGCGGACATACACCCAGGATGGGGTCTGCCTGACCGAGCTGGGCATGTCACAGCTACAGAGCCTGAGTGTGGCCGCCCCTCGGAGGAAACGGCCCAAACCGAAGCTGAAGCTGAAGATCATAAACCAGAACAGCGTGGCTGTGCTGCAGGCCTCGGTAGATCCCCAGTCAGAGCAGTCTCGAGACATGGAGGGCGACGTGGAAGACAACAGAGGTACAGAACTATGACTCAACTCCTTTTACATGAGCCAGAATCTAAACATTGCCCTTTTGCTTGTTTCCTCCTCCCGTCTGCCCTTCCCTGCTCCTCCTGTCTTCCCCCCCACCACCCCGGCCCCTATCTTCGCCCACCTCCAGTCACACCCCCTCCCCCTGTCTCCCCTCTGAAAGTACTTCAAGATTTACAGTAAGTTGATAGTGTGTTTGTAGGCAAATGCGGCAGTCAATTTACACACAGCAATGTCCCACAAACAGCTGTGAAGTGAGTGATCAATTTCATTTGGAGGAGTGTTGGCCAGGCCTCCGGGAGAAACTCCCTTCTCTTTTTGAGTAATAATAATAATAATGATGATAATAATAATAATCCTTGCATTTGATAGAGCGCTTTTCACGTCTTCTAGATGTCTCAAAGCGCTTCACAGAATAGACTGTAAAGTGAATTGACTGTATATTTTGTGGGCGAAATGCAGCAGCCAATTGCGCACAGCAGTGAGTGTCCCACAAACAGTCAACAACTTGGATTTATATAGCGCCCTCCACGCCGGACGGCGTCTCAGAACGCTTCACAGTAACAGATCCCGTGGCCGAGCCAGGGGGAAGGGGGTCAAGGTGACCAAAGGCGCAGTTGAAAAGAAAGGTCTTCAGCCGAGACCTGAAAATAGGAAGAGAGGGGGCGAGGCGAAGGGAGTGAGGAAGGGAGTTCCAGAGCCTTGGAGCGTAGTGGCTGAAGGCATGGCCGCTGAGGGTGGAGCGGAGGACTCGGGGGACAAGGAGGAGGCTAGACCTGGAGGATCGAAGGTCAGAGAGTTAGGGGAGTGCAGAGGAGTGGAGGGATTTGAAGACAAGGGTGGGGATCTTGAAGTCGATCCTCTCTGGACAGGCAGCCAGTGCAGTCTGGCAAGGACTGGGGTAATCGAGGAGCGGAGTTTGGTGCAGGTAAGAATGCGGGCGGCAGAGTTTTGTACGACCTGGATTTTATGGATGGTAGTGGAGGGGAGTCCAGCGAGGAGGGCATTTGAATAGTCCAGCCAGGAGGTGACAAAGGCAAAGACCAGGGTTTCAGCGGCTTTTGGAGTGAGGTATTCGTGGATTGAAATGACCAATTTATTATTGTTCTGTTTTTTGGAGGGATTATTATCAGTCATGTGGAGTAAGTAAACTTGCCGAAGGTTTCACTCTGCCGGGAATCAAACCCAGGTCTCTCACTTGCAAAGCGAGTGTTCTAATCACTGAGCTACAGATCTCCACATACAGACACACAGACACTCACAGACACTCACACAGACACACACTCACTCTCACACTATGCTATGGAACCGTTAATGTCCACAGTCAGACAGGACATCTCATCCAAAGGACAGCACCTCTGACAATGCCAAACACCCCCAATGTTGCATTGGAGTGTCAGCTTAGACTATATGTTTCCAAGCCCCAACGTGTGGCTTAAACCTACCACCTCTGACTCAGAGACGAGAGTGCTACCATTGAGCCAAGCTGACACACAAGTAAAAATAGCAATTCATTAAAGTGTCAAATGCATCAAATGCAAGAATTCTGATTAATCGGTGTTAACATCAGGATCAGGTTAATAGTTAATAGTTTGTCTAGGGTAGTCAATTTGGGGGAATCCAAAAAGCCAGGTCCCCCAAATAAACCTGGTTATTCTCTTCACGGCTATTTGTGAGGCAATAGCCGTGAGTAGTTGCTATGCGTAAATTGGCTGCCACATTCACCTACAAAAATACATTCACTACACCTTACAGTAAATCTTGTGAAGCGCTTTGAGACATACTCCCAAAGTAAAAGGCGCTGTATTAAAATGCAAGGATTATTCTACGTGGTGCTTAAATGAAAAGGGAAGAACATTAACATGTGTACTGTTGGCTCTTAATCCTTGCTTTAATTAAAATGTCCCTTCATTTCTCCGATTTATTATGTCTTGGACATGCTGTAACTTGTATGCAATTAGTTGCTGCATTTCGCCCACAAAATGGAGTCCTGTAGCTCAGTGGTTAGAGCACTCGCTTTGCAAGCGAGAGACCTGAGTTCAATTCCAGGCAGGGCGAAACCTTGGGCAAGTTTCCGTACTCCACACAGAGCCTAATAATAATCCCTCCAAAACCAAAAACAATAATAAAAAATGGTCATTTTCAATCTACGACTGTTTGTGGGACATTGCTGTGCGCAATTGGCTGCCGCGTTCGCCCACAAATATACAGTCAATTCACTTTACAGTGTGTTCTGTGAAGCGCTTTGGGACATCCTCCCGACGTGAAAAGCGCTATATCATATGCAAGGATTATTATTATTATAAAATACTCAGTCTACCCACTCAGTCAATCACTTTACAGTATATTCTGTGAAGCGCTTTGAGATGTTTCAACGACGTGATAAGGTGCTATATCAAATGCAAGGATTATTATTATTATTACATATGTACTGTTTATACACTGAGTTTGAATTAATGGGGAAGACCCTGCGTGAAACCTAAATGTCGGCCAGAAGTGGCATTTTTTGTTGTTGAGATTGCTGTGTTAAAAATTAACTATAGTTTGTCCTCAAGGACACAGTTGCTCCACTTTACAGTAAATCCTGTAATGCGCTTTGAAACGTCCACCCAATGTGAAAGACGTTGTATCAAATGATTGTTATGTAATGTTATGTAGGTTATGTAAGAATGATTATTATTACTGAGAGTTAATTGTACGATGACCGAGTGAGACCGCCTGCTTTAAACTTACAGAAACTGATCTAATGGACTGTGACACCAAGTCCGACATACTTACCAGTCCCGAGCAGGAGCCCCCAGATGATGAAACTAAGGTTGTTGAGGGCTCTGACATCCTGAAGAAGCGGAAACGGAAACCTTACAGACCTGGTAAGAAATGTGATTAGAATGGACATCTCCACTCGGCTGTGAAGCTTCCCCAACATTGGAGAATACGCTGCACTGGCTGCCAGCTTGTTGTGGGAGGCCTTTGAGACTTCTGCGTGAGCACTGTCTGTGTGTGTACGTGTGCGTGCTGTGTGTGTGCACGTGGTGCATGTGTGTAAGACCTGAGAATGTGTGTATGTGTATGCCATGGGTGTGTGTGTGTGGGGGGATGTATGCCATGGGTGGGTGTATGTGTATGCCATGGGAGTATGTGTAATTGTGTGTGTATGCCGTGAGAGTATGTGTGGGTGTGTGTTTGCCGTAAGTGTGTGTAGGGGATTGATATGTACGCTGTGAGTGTGTGTATGCTGTGAATATGTGTTTGTGTGGTGTGTGAACATTCTGTATGTGTGAACAGCGTGTGTGTGAATGGCATGTGTGTATGTGTGAACGAATGGTTTGTTTGAACTGTTTGAACTGTGTGTGAATGCTATGGGTGTGTACGCTGTGTGTGTTTGAATACCGACTGTGTGTGAGAAAGCTGCAGAGTGTGTTCGTGTAAATGCTCTGATTTATGTGTGTGTGAATGGCGTGTGGGTGTGTGTTCTTGGACACCGTGTGTGCGCGGGTGGGGAGTGGGGGTGAATGGTGGGAGGGTCTGCTATGGGCTGTATCCAGTGTATTGCCAACAGAGAACAAAGAAAGAAGAGATCACCAATCTAGGGACATAAACTGGCCCTAGATATTTTCAAGGTCACGAGCCATTTTGGTGAAGAAGTTCCTTTCGCTCATTTGATTTCATCTTTTGCTGAACACCCCCACGCCCACCCCCAATAAAGCCTTCCTTGTCATGTATTTGACCTCCCTCTCAGAATCCTCCCACCTCGCCCCTTCTATCATTCCCTCCCTTTAACACCTGCCTTAAGACCTTTCTTTTTGAACACCCTTTTGGTACCTTTTTATCACACTCATTCAAATTTCCTTCCCCAGCTCCCCCTACTCCCAGCTGCTGTGTGTGTGAAGCGCTCTTAAGACTTCTGCGCATACCCTAACACCTGCACTCCACCATCACTGGCTGTGCCTTAAGCTGCTAAACTCCTAACCACTGGAACTCTCTCGCTCAATCCCCCCACCTTGCTTCCTCTTTATCCATCTTTGAATCCCATCGAAAGACCTACCTCTTCAACGTCTATGGTTATCTCCCCCTTCTCCCTTGCTGGAGACCAATCCCAACAACACTGTTAAGTGCTCCAAGGCACTATCCTGCTATCTAAATGCAAGTTGTTGTTCCCAACACGAAAGTCAACAACAACAACTTGCATTTGTATAGCACCCTTCACACAGGGTAGCATCTCAGAGCACTTAACAGTCGGAGCCTGAGGGACAAGACAGAGAGTGGGGCAAGATGACCGTAAGGGCACTTCAAGAAGGAGGTCTTTAGCCACGACCTGAAGATGGGGAAGGAGGGGGTCAGTCGGAGGGATAGAAGGACAGTGTTCCAGAGTTTCAGGGCGTAGTGGCTGAAAGTCGTGATGTGAATGTAAATTTTTGTTGTTGAGTCGTATTTTCCTCTATCAGGAATTGGTGGGTTTATGGTCCGCCAGAGGCAGAGTCGGACAGGACAGAATAAAGCCAAGCGATCGCTGTCCAGGAAGAGCTCCACCGGTTCCGTCTCAGAAACCATAGGCAGCAAGGAGGATGGTGAGTGATGAGATTTAGTGGAAATCTGGAACTCTCCTCCCAAAGGCTGTGGATACTGGATCCATTCACATTTTCAAGACTGAGGTGGATAGATATTTGTTAGGTCAGGGTATTAAGGGATATGGGGCAAGAGCGGGTAATTGGATTGAGATGCAGATCAGCCATGATCTTTTAGAATTGGCAGAACAGGCTCGAGAGGCTGAATGGCCTACTCCTGTTCCTATGTTCCTATGTCACATATACTGCGAGCTCCTTACAATTTGCTCTCTTAACGGATTATTATTATCTATCTCTATCCTAATTCCCTGCTCTTCTTACTTGTATCCTCTAATACCCTTTCCCCCTTCTGTACATCTGTAAATATGACATTGATTCCTCTGGTTTGTGGTTCCCAGGTTGGATTGAGCAGATGCCAGAGCATCCAGCTGACGATTCGGCTACTGGTGCCGAGATTGCCGAGAAGATGAAGAAACGATACAGGAAGAAGAAGAACAAACTGGAGGAGATTTTCCCTGCATACCTGCAGGTCAGTGATTGTCCTTTGGCCAAGAGTCCATCTCATCTGTCTTTCACACGTCAATCACTGTGGTCACACCCCTTTGATTTCAATTCACGTTATCTCCATATGTATGTGGATAACACCCAGCTCTACCTCACTCATTCCCCCTTGACTAATGGATCACTCCCGTTCTGACCTGTTGGATGTGAAGTCCTGAATGAGCACTTTCGCTCAGCGAGCACCAGCCTACTTTGTGTCCCTTGCCATATCCTCCCTATCATCAGCAGACGAGCGCAGAGTGCTCCTGGCTAGCAATCCTCCAGATAAATTAGTCACTGACTTCACAAACGTTTGCGACACCTTGTAGTCTGCAGAATGGCGGTAACGTTTGCCTACAAAAGGAAAGCCTAGTCACTTGACAGTACTAAATTGTGGAATGCATTTGAGATATAAAAATCCATAGTCTATAGAATAAATATTCCGGGGTGGGCGAGGCTTTAGGCAAGTTTCCTTACTCCACATGCCTCTTGTTTACCTAGCAGTAAGTAGGAACCTGGTTGCTAGTCAATTGACGGATTGCTAATAATCCCTACAAAAAATAATAATCATAAAAATTGGTCATTCAATCCAAACTGTTTATGGGATATTGCTGTGCGCAATTGGCTGCCTACAAAATATACAGTCAATTCACTTTACAGTATATTCTGTGAAGCGCTTTAAGACATCTTAACGACGCACTATATCAAATGCAATGATTATTATTAGAACTGAAAGTTCTCTCAACAGCAGTGTACTCTTGAGTCAACGTATTTCGTTCACTCTTCACTTCTTTGCAGGAGGCTTTCTTTGGGAAAACCTTGCTGGACACGGGCCGACAGAGTAAACGGCGCAGTCTGGAAGCTCTCTCTGATGAAGACTCAACTCAGCTGCTGAGCAGAGTGCAGATGACAAGCATAAGCTTCATGAACCCTTCCTCTGAACCACTCTTGAGTTCGGCCACAGCGCAGCTTCCTGCCAAAGCAGCAGGAGGGCAAGGTTTGTACTAAGCTTGTAGTGTTTCAACTCAACATAGAACCCAAGGTGTTAGTTAAATTGTTGCTCACCTCAAGTGAGCTGAATACAGACAAAGACAAGGTACTACATGTAGGATCCAAGAATAGATAACGCAAGTTTTCCATGGATGGTATAAAACTTGCCAAGAGATCTAGAGGTGTTAGATGTCTCGTCACTCAGTATGAGTCAGCAATAAACAAAGGAAACAAGATTCTGGACTGGATTGCTAAATCATTTGAGTCTAGATCGCCGGATGCATAGAAATCTCAGCTTGGTTTGGAAACTCTTAAGCATGGTGATGGGTTTCCGTATGTTTCAGACACCCGGCTGACAAAAAACATTTAGATCCCTAGATTCATACTCAGGCTCCGGTCAGTCCATGAGATGAGGGAGCTGCTTAACCCAGAGGCAGTGCAAAGGAGAGTAATGAGGATGATCCCCAGTGGTGGAGGAATGAGCTACAATTGGACAAGCTAGGGCTCTTCAGTTGTGAGAGAAGATGACTCGGGGGACCTTATAGAGTTGTATAAAATTCTAAATGGGATTGAAAAAGTAAACCCAGGTCAATACATTAGGATGTGCTACGACAGTAGCACAAGAGGATGCAGGTTTAGAGTTGCAAAGGGGAAATTTTAGGACAGACGCTGGGACGTTTTTCTTAATCAGCGGTTAATTCATTTGCTAGGAAGGGTGGTTGATGCTCTGGTTGAAAGGTGGACATTCTGGAGGATGAGATTAGTTGAATGGCTTTCCTTTTTGCCAGCCTGTGCCAGTATTCTCCGCAATCCAGTAAGCAGATACGTCCCTCCAGAGAGAGAGTGTGTGTTCCATTCTAGACACATATGTGGAACTCTCAATCTGGTTTGGATACTCTTAGGCACGGTGATGGGTCTCAGCACGTAACAGACGGATGACCAAACAAAAAGCGCAGTTTCGTTCAACAATACTTTCTGGGAAAGTGACTAGGCTGGTGGAGGGGAGAAAGAGCTGTTATTTGACGCCAATGGAGATCATTAGTACCGGACACTTTTGAAATGGGAAAGAGTTACTCTCTGGCGGAGTTAGTTGGTGGTCAGCAATCATTTGTCGCAACAGAGCCAGAAGCAGGGAGCTGCGGGCAGTCCAAGGGTGGCCGGGTCTGAATTTGAAGAGAAGAAGCAGCAGTGGGTTGTGAGTTCAGCTACAGTCAGCTCAGTGACTGCAGCCATCTTGCTATTGATTTCAAAGACTTCCTGGTCCAGTAAAGTGCCACTCTGGCCCTCACTCACGCTGGCCCTCACTCACGCTGGCCCTCACTCACGCTGGCCCTCACTCACGCTGGCCCTCACTCACTTTGTCACTTGCTCGCTCTCAGTCTGTCACTCGCTCACTTTCACTCGCTCACTCTCAGGCTGTCACTCGCTCACTCTCAGGCTGTCACTTGCTCACTCTCTGTCACTCGCTCACTATCCTCACTCACTATCACTCATTTGTATTTTTATATATATATATAGTATACATATATATATATATAGAGAGAGAGAAATAAATGCTTTCAGTGTGGGTCTGTCACCTACAGAGAAACATTAAACCCTTTTTAATTGAAAGTCCGGATCTCCAATGATCGTGAGATGAACTGGCTTAAGTAATGGAAGCTTTGGAGACTGAGACTCTGGCTACGGGAGCGCAATAGCATTTTGTCATTCGGTTCCGTGACCCATAAATCCGGAGGGAACTTTTCAGTGTGTGAAAGGTCTGATCGTAACCTCTCTTTTTGTTGCTCTGAGCAGCTTCTAGTGTACAGCTGCAAAGTGATGGGTAGGAAGTTTGTTCTCAGAAGTGCACAGCAAAACAGCTAGAGATTTAGGTTTTGATTGCTAGTTACAGAAGATCCCATGTGGAGTAATATTGACACAGTTACTTTCTCTTGAGTGAGTTTCTACAATTGACCTATAACCTCTATTTAATTTGACCATCGCCTCTAATCTTTTGTTTGTTCCAGAAGTGGGGGAGAGGTCCACAGAGCCTGCTCATCCTCTACACTCAGTCAACCTGAGCTTGTTATGCGTACCACCCCCCTACTCTTCTCCCCCGTGCCCCTCCTCACCCCCAATCTGCCATCAGCAGCAGAGCCTTCCAATTCTTTTCCAATTTTCCCCTAAGCTCTCAGACACCCCCTGCCCACTCGTGCCCTCTCTATCTGTCTTTTGATAGGCTTCCATAAAGACTGGAGCAGAGTTAATGAGTTGTGCTGTTGTGCAGGTGACCCGCTGGCTGACCTCTCCGAAGTGCTCACCACGGAGGTGGATATCCTGGGAATGCTCTCTGACGAACTGGGGAAAACCGGAGATGATTCAGGTAAGGGTAGGAATCACGTCTGTACAAGAGCAGCCAATCCCAGGCTTTCTTTCTATCTGCAGAAGCACATTACGGTGTCCTGTCAAGTGCAAGCGTGTAGCTTATGTGTGTATTGCGTGTCTGTGTGTTGCGTGTGTGTTGTGTGTTGCGTGTCTGTGTGTTGTGTGTCTGTGTCTGTGTGTGTGTGTGTCTGTGTTGTGTGTGTGTGTGTCTGTGTTGCGTGTGTGTATGTGTTTGTGTTGTGTGATTGTGTCTGATGTCTGTGTGTTTTGTTTGTGTGTTGTGTGTGTTTGTGACTGTCTGTGTGTGTTGTGTGATTGTGTCTGTGTGTTTGTTGTGTGTGTGTGTTTGTGTCTGTGTTGGGTGTTTTAAATCTCTCTTATACTTTTAGACTTAGCGCAGTGTTTCTCTGCTCGACTTGCCTTGGGACCTCAGCATCATTTATTGCACTGCTTTATACTGTGATGTGTGGTGTGCAATAGAGATGCATATTCTGTGTGTGTTTGTGAGTGTATGTGCGTTTTTATTTTTATGTTTCTTGTGTTTGATTTCTTTTTCTCGTTTTATTAATTTCATTTTTCTTTTTCAGCTCTTTTCCCGCCCTCCCCCACACACTCACTTTGTTTCCCTCTTTTTTTATTCATCCATTTTATCTGGTTTTGGGTCCCTTTGAGATCTTGATTTATGCACTTTCCAGGTCGAGAATTCACCCTCTCCATTTGGTAAGAGACTATAAAGCTGTGACTAGCCAGTAGCCAGTCCTTGTACAATGGTGCTCGTCTCGATTTCGAATCCTGTATGTGTGTGTGTGTGTCATAGAATCATGCAGCACAGAAAGAGGCCATTCGGCCCATCGTGTCTGCGATGGTTCCAAAACAAGCAATCCAACTCAATCCCACTGGCCTACTTTCTCTCCATAGCACTGCAATACTGTCCTCCCCAAATAACATAACATGTAGGAGCAGGAGTAGGCCATTCGGCGCTTCGAGCCTGCCCCGCCATTCAATCATGGCTGATCTTCTAATCTAACTCCAGCTAATAACCTGACCCTGCCTTATCCCCATATCCCTTAATCTCTTTTGCAATAAGAAATCTATCTTTCTCAGTCTTGAATATGTTCAAATACTTCTCTCTTAAAAGTTGTTATTGAATCGGCTTCCACTACCCTTTCAGGTAATGCATTCTAGGTCCGAACACTCGCTGGGTGAAATTTTTTTCCTATTCTCCCCTCTTGTTTCTTTTAACAACTATCTTAAATCGGTGTCCTCGGGTTACTGACCCACATGCCAGCGGAAGCAGTTTTTCCCGGTTCAACCTATCAAATCCTCTCCTGATCTTGAAAACCTCTATTAAATCCCCTCTTAATCTTCTCTGCCCTAGGGAGAATAACCCTAGTTTCGCTAACCTCTCCTCATAACTAAGCTCCTTCATTCCTGGTACCATCCTGGTAAACCTCCTTGGCACCCTAACCTCTTTCCTAAAGTGCGGTGCCCATAACTGAACGCAGTACTCCAACTGAGGCCTAACCAGCATTTTATAAATATTAAACTTTTGAATTCTCTGCCCCTATTTATAAAGCATAGTATCCCATATGCTTTTTTAACAATTTTATCTACCTGTCCTGCCACCTTCAAAGATTTGCTTATATGGACCCCCAGATCTCTCTGTTCCTTCACCCCCTTTAAGATTGGACCATCAGCTTATATTGCCTCTCCTCATTCTTCCTACCAAAATGCAACACTTCACATTTCTCCACATTAAACCTCATCTGCCACATTTCTGCCCATTTTACCAATCTGTCGATGTCCTCTTGCAGTCTGCTACTCCTTGTGAAGCGCACCATGTAAAAGCAAGTTGTTGTTGTGATGTTGGGAGAGGGCATCCACAACAGCGTAAAATGAGACATTTAGGAGAGGATCGAGATGTTTGAAATTATAAACGGCTTTCGAAAAGCTTAACTTAAATGGGCTGTTTCCACTGCTTGTGGGGGTCCATAACCAGGGGACAGAAGTATATAACAGCAATAGTTTGCCTCCAGATGCACAGTCACTACGCCTTAATCTGCAGCCTTGTGAATCCCAGCACCTGGAACTGTCCCTCTGCACACCAGTCTGCTTTGCATTCTCCCCCACCCCACTCCCAGCAAGAAAGCCACACTGTAAAATGCAAAGATTTTTAAGTATTACTTACTTCAAATCAATCGCCTACAAATACAGTCACTACTCTAAAGAACATGTAAGAACATAAGAAATGCTAGACGATAAACGACTAAGATCCATCTAGTTTGTCTTCCACCTTCCTGGTGGTCGCATGCACACATATGCGTACTATATCGCATTATGTTATTTCCTAAAAAGAAAAGGATCTAATCTGTGTTTGAAGGAATCAACATTTCCTGCTTCAACTGTCTCCCTAGGAGCCTGTTCTACAGGTCTACTATTTTCTCACTGAGATAATGTTTCCATAGATTTGTTCTGAAATTACCCCCCTTCACACCATATCCTCTGGTTTTACAATTCTGGACTAGTTGAAACAGCCTGTTATAGAATCATAGAATCATAGAATGATACGGCACAGAAGGAGGCCATTCGGCCCATCGAGTCTGTGCCGGCTCTTTGACAGAGCAACTGACTTTTATTAACCCCACTCTTCAGCTTTCTCCCCATAACCCTGCAAACCCGTCTTCTCCAGATACGTATCCAGTTCTCTCTTAAAAGCTGTTATCGAATCGGACTTCACTGCCCTTTCGGGCAGATCATTCCAAATTCTAACAACTCGCTGAGTGCAAAAAATTCTTCTAACCTCCCCTCTGCTTCTTTTGGTAGATATCTTAAGACTGTGATCACGAGTCACAGACACACCTACCAGCGGAAACAGCTTTTCCCTATCTAGCCTGTCGAAACCTTATGATCTACAATGTCTAGCCCGTTTAGAATCTTAAAGACAGCGATCATGTCGCCTCTCAATCTTCTCTTTTCCAGTGTGAACATGCCCAATTTACTTAGTTGCTCCTCATAGTCCATTCCCTCCAATCCCTCAATCATTCTGGTCGCCCTCCTCTTGTATCCTCTCGATTTCTCATATATCATGTAGGAGTCCTGTAGCTCAGTGGTTAGAGCACTCGCTTTGCAAGCAAGAGACCTGAGTTCACTTCCAGGCAGGGCGAAACCTTGGGCAAGTTTACTCCACACGCCTAATAATAATCCCTCCAAAAAAAACAATAATAAATTGGTCATTTTCAATCTACGACTTTTTGTGGGACATTGCTGTGCGCAATTGGCTGCTGCGTTCGCCCACAAATATACAGTCAATTCACTTTACAGTATACTCTGTGAAGCGCTTTGGGACGTCTAGAAGACGTGAAAAGCGCTATATCAAATGCAAGAATTATTATTATTATATCCATTTTGTACTGTGGCGACCAGAACTGTACAGAACTCTACCGCTCCACTCTAGCCTCGGCCAAATCGTCCTTCTACTCCAGGATAATCCTGGAGGCGAAGGACAAACCCAGGCTACTGTTCTCTACCACATCCCAACTCCTCCGTCCCCCCCGCCACCCCGCGCAGGTCATCTCCTCCAACCTTCACTGCGAGGAGATGCTGGATTTCCTTGAATCCAAGATCAAGGGAATCCGCTCTGCGGTCACTTCCCCTCCAACATCCACCCACCACCCACCCCTTCCCTCCCACACTCCGACTCCTACCCATCCTCCCCTACACACCTTCGTACCCGTTTCCCCATCCTCTGTCACCAAACTCATCCTCTCCCTGAAACCTACCACCTGCTCCCTTGACCCCATCCCCACTCCACTCCTTATCTCTCAGCTCCACCTCCTTGCCCCACATATCACAGACATCGTCAACCTGTCCCTCTCCTCTGGCTCTATTCCCATTCCCTTAAAAACTGCCACCATCACTCCCACCTTAAAAAAACCCTCCCTTGATGCGTCGCAGCTATCAAGCTACCGGCCCATCTCCAACCTCCCCTTCCTATCCAAGGTCCTGGAACGAGTTGTCGCCTCCCAGCTGCGCTCTTTCCTCTCCAACCATTCACTATTCGAACCCCTTCAATCGGGTTTCCGTGCTGCCCATAGCACAGAAACTGCCCTGGTCAAGGTCACCAATGACATCCTGACCATCTGTGACCAGGGCTCCCTCTGCCTCCTCGTCCTCCTCGACCTATCGGCAGCATTCGATACGGTCGACCACGCTATCCTACTCCACCGCTTGTCCTCCCACCTAAACCTTCAAGGCCCTGTCCTTGAGTGGTTTAGGTCGTACCTCTCCCACCGTCTTCACTTTGTCTCCACAAATGGTTTTTCCTCCGGCCCCCGCACTGTCTCGTGCGGTGTCCCTCAGGGCTCTGTCCTCGGTCCCCTCCTCTTCACCCTCTATATGCTCCCCCTTGGTGACATCATCCGCAGACATGGGGTTAACTTCCACATGTATGCGGATGACACCCAACTCTACCTTTCCTCCTCTACCCTCAACTCCACGACCACCGATGTCCTGACAGCTGCCTGTCCGACATCGAGTCCTGGACGAGAGATAACTTTCTCCAGCTCAACGTGCGCAAAACTGAGGCCCTCCTGATTGGCTCACGTCAGCGCCTCCGCACCTCAGGCGCTGACAGCATCAGCATCCAAGGCTGCACTCTCCACCTCTCAAAGCCAATCAGGAACCTCGGTGTTCTGTTCGACCCTGAGCTGTCCTTTCTCCCCCATATCCGCGCCACAACTGGCACCGCCTTCCATCACCTCCGGAATGTCGCCAGACTACGGCACTACCTCACCCCTCACGCTGCTGAAACTCTGGTCCACGCCTTTATCACCTCAAGGCTGGACTATGGGAACTCTCTCCTCGCCGGCCTTCCCGCCACCTCCCTCCACAAGCTGCAGGTCATTCAGAACTCTGCAGCTCGTGTACTGTCCCGCACCAGGCTTCGCGACCACATCACTCCCACCCTCGCTCGCCTCCACTGGCTCCCCATCCCCCAGAGGATCGAATTCAAGATCCTCACCCTCACCTACAAGGCCATTCACGGCCTTGCTCCCCCCTACCTCTCCGACCTACTATCCCCCTACCTACCTGCCCGTACCCTCCGTTCCTCTGGCTCCGGTCTGCTCCACATCCCACGCCCCAACCGCCCTACCATCGGTGGCCGGGCCCTCAGCCTCGAGGCTCTGGAACTCCATTCCCCAGTGCCTTCGCCGCCTCCTCCCTTTCCTCCTTCAAGGCCGGTCTCAAGACCTTTGACCGTGCCTTCAGCTCCCCTCTCGACTCTCTACCCCCTCCTCGCTCCCTCCTTTCCCTCCCCTCACCCTGACCATTTCGCCCCTGCTCCGACGTGAAAGGCGCTCAATAAATGGAATCTTGTTGTTGTTGTTGTACACAGTGCTCTTTACAGAAAAAAATTCTGTGAAGCACTTTGTGATGTTTCGAACACATGATAAGGCATTCCATTCACTTTACAGTGTATTCTATGAAGTACTTTGAGACATCTCAGTGACATGATAAGGCACTATATCAAATGCAAGGATTATTATATGATTATATTCTGTCGAATGTAAGGATTATTATTGTTACTTTATTATGACTATAACACTGTCCCTTGCTGTACATTCTGTCAATCTGTGTTTAGCTGGGCTGAATATTGGACACATGTCAGATGATCCATCCAGCACTTCGCAATCGAGTGGAGGCCAGAGTTCAAGACCTTTGACCGAAGAGCAACTGGATCGAATCCTCAGCCCTGACCTGGAGAAGATAGTCACAGATGGTGAGATTGATATGCGGCCTTTTTTTGGCCAAGCTAAGCTGGACTCCAGCATTATAATAATAATAATAATCCTTGCATTTGATATAGCGCTTTTCACGTCGGGAGGACGTCCCAAAACGCTTCACAGAACACACTGTAAAGTGAATTGACTATATTTGTGGGCGAACGCGGCAGCCAATTGCGCACAGCAATGTCCCACAAACAGTCGTTGATTGAAAATGACCAATTTTATTATTGTTTTTGTTTTTTTGGAGGGATTATAATTATCTCCCCAGGAAGGAGCGAGTCGGAGGACTAAGGGATGGAAGTCCAGAGCACAGGGTCAGAATAGCTGAAAGCTTACCTGCGGAGGTTAGGGCAGGGGACATGATTAGGCCAGTGTTTGCTGAGCAAAGGAAGTGGCTGGGTTAGTAAGGCTGTAAGTCTACAGAGCTAGCGGGGGAACAAGGCAGCGGAAGGGTTTAAAGGTGAGCGAGAGTCCTGAACTCTGGCTGCTGGGAAATGGTGTTCCAAAGGAGCTGAGCGAGGATGTTGTGGGGTGGGGATGATAGGCGCACAGAGCCTGGTCTGGGAGAGGACACAAGCTGCAGAATTTTGGATAATCTGCAACTTGTATAGGGAGCCCACCAAACAGGGCATTAGTATAGTCAAGCCTGGACGTGATGAAAGCATGGATGAAAGGGGGGGTGGGGGAGAAAGAGAGGTAGTGACTGAGAAGGGAGATGTTATGGAGGTGAGAGAAAGATAATAGTCACCAGAGTTAGGTAAGCAGGGTAGAGTGTGGGAAAATCTCCCATCTATCAGTGGAAATGACATACATATTTGGAGCTCTGTCTGTCTGGTTAGGATAATCTCAATCACGGTGATGGGTTTCTTCGTGTGTCAGCACCCAGCTGACGAAAAAAAATGTACTGCCTTTGTTTGATTTGGTCTTTGTTCTGGAGGATTCTGCTATGAGTAACTAAAAGTATCCCTGTTTTTTTCATTTTGTTGTGCAGGAACAATTCTAAGCAAGCTGTACAAAATTCCAGGTATTTCTTTTCAACTTTTATGCATCCAAAACAGTTCACGTGAATTTGACTTTGTGACGGCTGAGATTTGGCCAGGCTAATGGTGTCGCTTATTCTTTTACAAAATGAAGAGCTGGAAGGGAAAGAAGTGGAAGATCTCTTTACAGCTGTGCTGAGTCCTTCTGCGAACCAGAGAGCCCCACCACCTGACCATGGTATAGTATCCGATTATTAGTGTATACACTACAGAGCAGCATTAATCAGCAACGGCTCTATTGTGCACATGAAAACTGTGCGGATAATGGGATACAGCGCAAAATACAAATTGTCATCAGTGTTAATCAAAATCTTCTTTTCATCAGTGTGTCTGCACGTACTCATCTGTGTGTGCGTGTCTGTATGTGCACGTCCGTGTGTGCATGTGTGTGGGTGTCTGGGTGTGCATGTGTGTGTGGGTGTGCCTCTGTCTATCTCTCTGTCACTGGCCATCTGTTTCTCTCTCTAACCCGAGTGCTCCCCAAGTTTCTACTTGCATGAAGAACTCTATATAAATGCAAGTTGTTGCTGTGTGTGTTTGTGGCTATTTCTGTCTGTCTGTCTCTGTCACTCTCCCTCTGTCTGTTTCTCTCTCTCTGACCTCACACTGTAACAGATTCCTGTATAAAACCCGCTTACCTCTCGGTGCTTGTGAGAATGATGAATTCAGTAACCTCAAGAATACATGTGCAAATAGAGGTTTTCCCTAATGTCTCAAACGTTTCGAGCCAGTCATTGTGTGATACATAGCCTGCTCCTGCATTTAGACTAACTGACCCGTCCTTTGGGTGAGACGTTAAACCAAGGTCCCATCTGCCTGTTCAGGTGGATGTTAAAGGTCCCATGGCACTATTTGAAAAGAGAAGGGAGATTCTCCCAGTGCCATGGCTAACAATACCCCAAATAAAATTGGTTACTTGTTCTACGACTGTGTGTGGGATATTGCTGTGTGCAAACTGGCTGCTGTGTTCACCCACAAAGTAGATAGTAATTCCATTTTACATCATATCCTGTGAAGCGCTTTGAGATGAGTTGATGATGTGATAAGGCACTATATCAAATGTAAGGATTATTATTAACACTTTACGCTAAATCCTGTGAAGTGCTTGGAGACGTCCTCCTGATGTGAAAGGAAAGGTACTGTTTTAAACCTATTGACGGATTTATTTTTTCCCCCCTCTCCTCCCCGCTTCTGCCCCCACTTGATGAAGGAGAGGGTGGGTTTCCGAGGGTGGCAGCAATGAATGGCCTGATGAGAGCAAACCAGCAGCATCAGTCTCCTCTAACACCCGGGAGTGGGCCCTGCCTCAGCAACACTTACTCGCCCATGCCTCCGTCACCATTCCCTGAAAACAGCCGGTTAGTGGACCTCGTTATTCCTTGTGTTTCAAAGTCTCTGAGCATTTCCAAAGGGGAAAACTTCATCTCACACACACACCTACAGGCACACACACACACAGACTCTGAGGCTTGACAAAATGCATTTACTGTTTTCTGCTTCAGACTAAAATAAATCGAGATGTTGGCAAGTTTACAATAGGGTTAAAATTTGTGGTATTCCTCAAACCATTCCTGCAATTATTTGAGGGAACACTTTTAGGAGTGCCAGCAGGTGGCACCTCTATCCAGGTCAGTGGGCCTGTAAACAATCACTCGCAACCAGACTTGCTTAGAAGGGCCGAGAAGGCCAAAGAAATTAAATTTAAACACTGAGCCTGGAGGCTTCGGGCCTTCGGTAAGTTAAGGAATGCTTTAAGAAATTCTGTAATTTTTCCCTATATGTAAATAGTGTTTCCGTTTTGTATATAACGTTTACAGTTTGTCCCTTCCCAAGTGGGCACTGTTCATGTGTGAGTCTTGGTGTTGGCAGACCACGTGACTGCAGAGAGCGTCATAGCCGAGCTGACATCTCCCCACCCGGCTGCCACACAAGCAGTGGAGGGTGCAGGAACGCTAACTGGCTCTCCCCACGCACCCAGACCATTAGGACAATCCTGCTAGATTTAATTTAAAATCTTTGTTTGTTTAAAAGCTAAACAAACTTGGCAGAAAGCTTCAGGCAGTTTTTCAACCCCTCACTCACCTCTTCATAACGTCTAGGCCCCATTCCACGGATGCCCTACACAAGCTGTGGGTCTGTCTAAACATCTGACTCCCTCAACAATGTCCCCTCCCACCTCAAAAACCCACATTAAGGACGAGCTTTTTGACCACCTTTTCATCCTTTACACTCCCCCCCACCCCACTGAGCTCCATCGGACACCCCCCCCCCAGCTCGAACTCGTTGTATGAAGCACATTGGGTAGTTGCAGTGATCCAAAAGGCACAATATAAATGTAAACTGTTAATGACTTCTTGTTGTAAAACACGTGTGCTTAACCAGTTGGAATGGATTGATTTAACAGGGAGAAGAGCCACAGGTTCAGTCCAGTGATCAGCGAGCCAGCTGGGCCCTGGATTTCCTCGGCTCCTGCAGTTGAGGTGGAGGGGGACTCGCTGAACTACACCCAGCGCAGCACGCTGAAATGGGAGAAGGAGGAAGCCCTGGGAGAGATGGCGACGGTCGCTCCTGTTCTCTACACCAACACCAACTTCCCCAACCTGAAGGAGGACTTCCCCGGTATGCACCAGCTCTCCCACAGTCTCCGTTGCTTCACCCCGGTATCTGACATGTGCCAAAACATGTCACCTCGCTTAAGAGTATCCAAAGAAAACTACTGAATGCATACATTCATGCAGTATGAATACAGTATCATAGACTCAGAATTATACAGCACAGAAGGAGGCCATTTGACCCATCGTGTCTTGCTGGCTCTTTGAAAAGAGCTATCCAAATCTATCCCCACTCTGTCCCCGCAGCCCAGCAAACTTGTCCTCCCCAAATAATTATCTACTTCTCTCTTAAAAGTTGTTATCGAATCGGCTTCCACCGACCGCCCTTTCAGGCAATACATTCTAGATCCGAACAACTCGCTATGTGAAAAAATTTCTCCTCACCTCCCCTCTGTTTCTATTAACAACTATTTTAAATCGGTGGTCTCGGGTTACCGACACCCATCCACCAGGGAAGTAGTTTCTCCTTGTTCACCCTATTGAATCCCCTTCTATTAAGTCTCCTCTTAACCTTCTCTGCTCCAAGGAGAATAATCTTAGCTTCTCTATCCTCTCCTGATAACTGAAGTCCCTCATCCCTGGTACCATCCTGGTAAATCTCCTTTGCAGCCTCTCCAATGCCTTGACATCCTTCCTAAAGTGTGGTGCCCAGAACTGAACCCAGTCTCTCGCTGAGGCCTAACCAGTGTTTGATAAAGGTTCATCATAACTTCCTGACTTTTGCATTCTATGCCCCTATTTATAAAGCCTAGTATCCCGTATGCTTTTTTAAGAGCTTTATCTACCTGTCCTACCACCTTCAAAGATTTACTTATATGAACCCTCAGGTCTCTCTGTTCCTTCACCCCCTTTAAGATTGTACCATCAGCTTATATTGTCTCTCCTTATTCTTCCTCCCAAAATGCATCACTTTGCATTTCTCCACAATAAAACTTAAGCTTCCACATGTCTGCCCATTTTACCAGTCTATTTATGTTAATTTTCAGTCTGCTACTATCCTCCTCACTGTTTACTACTTTTCCTAGCTTCGTATCATCTTGGAAACTGTACTCCCTATACCCAAGTCCAGGTCATTTATATAGATCAAAAACAGTAGTGGTCCCAATACCGACCCCGGGGGGACACCACTGTACACTTCCCTCCAGTCAGAAAAACAACCGTTCACCACCTCTCTCTGCTTTCTGTCTCCCAACCAGTTCTGTATCCATGTTGCCATTGTCCGTTTAATACCGTGGGCTTCTATTTTGCTTACAAGTCTCTTGTATGGCACTTTATCAAACGCCTTTTGAAAATCCATATAAACTACATCAACTGCACTACCTTCATCCATCCTCTCCATTACTTCATCAAAAAACTAATCAGGTTTGTTAGACATGATTTGTGACTTGTTTACCTTGAGCACCATTAAGGGATTAGACGGGGAGAAATGCAGAGCAGACTCAGTCAGTCTTGGAGTGCATGTGCGTAAATGCACGGAGTGTGACAAATAATATTGGTGAGTTGCAGGCTCAAGTTGCCACATGGGATTATGATGTAGTGGCAATAACGGAGACCACTACATCAGTTTATTCTTATCTCATCCAATTTCTCGGTTTATTCTTATCTCATCCAATTTCTCTACCCTTTCCTCCGATACTGTGGCATTGGCTGCATCCTCTTCTTTTGTGAAGACAGATGCAAAGTACTCATTCAGTACGTCAGACATGCCCTCTGCCTCCACAAGAAGATTTCCTCTTTGGTCCCTAATTAGACCCACTCTACCTTTGACTTATCTTTTATTCTTTAAATGCTTATAAAATACCTCATACAATCTCTTTGCCCCTCTTATTTCGTTTTCAGTTCTCCTCTGTACTTTCTGTATTCTATTTGATTATCTTCTGTATTTTGGACCTGACATTTATCATAAGCCTCCTTTTTCTGTTTTATTTTAATCCCAATTTCCTTATTCATCCAGGAAGATTTGGATCCCCTACCTTTCCCCTTTCTGGGAACGTATTTGTTCTGTCTCCAAACTAACTCCTCCTTGAAGGCTTGCTTGTTAGCCGTTTTACCTGCCAAACTTTCCAGCCCACCTTGGCCAGGTCCCTTTTTAACTCACTGAAATTAGTCCTCTTCTGGTTGAGTATCTTCACTTTTGATTGTTCCTCGTCCCTTTCAATAAATACTCTAAACCTAATGAATTTGTGATCACTGTTGTCCAGATGCTTTCCAACTGAAACCTGCTCAACTTGCCCCACTTCATTCCCCAGAACTGCTTCCTTCCTTGTTGGGCTGGAAACATAGTGATCCAGAAAGTTATTATGTACACAATTCAGGAATCCTTCCCCCTCCTGGCCCTTTACACTGTTATTTTCCAATCGATGTTAGGATAATTGAAGTTCCCCATTATCACTACTCTATTGGTTTTGCATCATTCTGAAATCTGCTTGCAGATTAACTTGTCAATCTCCTTCCGACTATTTTGCGGTCTATAGCATACACCTAAAAGAGTAACAGCTCCTTTTCTGCTCCTTAACTCTAACCAAATGGATTCTGTTTTTGGACCCTCTAGCACATCGAGAGCCGTAACCAGGTCTTCAATCAATATTGCCAACCCCCTTTTTTTTCCTTCCCTATCACTCCTGAATACATTGTAGCGAGGAATATTCAGCTCCTATTCCTGCCCTTGTTTGAGTCAGGTCTGTATTGCCACTACATCATAATCCCATGTTGCAACTTGAGCCTGCAATTCACCAATATTATTTGTCACACTCCGTGCATTTACGCACGTGCTCTCCAAGACTGACTGAGTCTGCTCTGCATTTCTCCCCGTCTAATCCCTTCTTTTTCTGGACTACTCCTTATTGCATTGCGTATGCCAACTCCCTGCTTGTCGGTCTCCCCAACTGTTCCCTCCACAAGCTGCAGATCATCCAGAACTCTGCAGCTCGTGTGCTCTCCTGCACCAGGCTCCGTGACCCCATTACCCCCACCCTCGCCCAGCTCCACTAACTCTCCATCCCTCAGAGGTTTGAGTTCAAAATTCTCATCCTCACCTTCAAGGCCCTCTATAGCCTTGCCCCGTCCTACCTCTCCAACCTGCTGACCTCTTATCAACCTGTCCGCTCCTTCCGTTCAGCAGGCTCTGGCCTGCTCCACGTCCCCCGTCCGGCCAACCCCCATTGGCAATTGGGCCTTCAGCCCCTCTGCTCCCACCCTCTGGAACTCCATCCCACATTCCCTATCTGTACCATTTTTCTAGCCATGTATCCATATGTTTGATCCTGCTGCTTTGATACTCACTTGCACGAGGCACTGGGAGTAAACCAGAGATCACCACCTTTGAGATCCAACTCTTTAGCTTTTTCCCTAGCTTCTGATACTCTCCCTGTAGGATCTCAGTCCTTTTTCTCTCTATGTCATGGATCCCAACATGGACCATGACTTCTGGTGTTCCCCTTCCCCCTATAGAATGTTTTGCACCCGTTCCATGATATCTTGTGGAGTCCTGTAGCTCAGTAGTAAGAGCACTCGCTTTGCAAGTGAGAGACCTGAGTTCAATTCCAGGCAGGCGAAACCTTGGGCAAGTTTCCTTACTCCACACACCTAATAATAATCCCTCCAAAAACAAAAAATCAATAAGTTGGTTATTTTCAATCTACGACTGATGGTGGGACATTGCTGTGCGCAATTGGCTGCCGCGTTTGCCCACAGATATACAGTCAATTCACTTTACAGTATATTCTGTGAAGTGCTTTGAGACGTCTAGAAAACGTGAAAAGCGCTATATCAAATGCAAGGATTATTATTATTATCTTCAACCCTGGCACCGGGGAGGCAACTTAGCATGCGAGTCACATTTTTGGTTGCAGAAATGCCTGTCTATTCCTTTCACTGTTGTGTCCCCAATGACAATTGCATTGACACACTTCTCTGCGTCCCCCAGTGCATCTACTTGTTTTTGACTCCCCTCTCCAGAGGTGACATCACCCTGACCGGTATTCAGTACAGAGAACCGGTTTGTGAGTGCCACACTCAGGGGATTTCTGCATTGCCCATACCCTCTTCCTACCATGCTGGGTTGGTCACCCACCCACTCTTCTGAACTCTCTGTGGCTGTGGGGTGACCACTTCCTGAAACATTCTATCTATGAACTCTTCAGCTTCCCGTATGCTATGTAGTGACTCTCGACTCTCCTCGAGCTCAAAAACTCTGAGCTCAAGCAGCCAGAGGCACTTCCTACACAAGTGTTTGTCCAGTAAACTCCTGATAACTCATCACTCCAAAGGCAAAAGGCTTAGTGACAAGGTATGCAGAGCGTTAAGTTAGGTATATGTATAAATACATAAATAATTGAGTTTTTGTACATGCACACTCGCACACTTCTCCACGATCATTAAGGTATGGTGAAAGGCAGGGCACTGGGATTGAAACCTCTGCCAGGATTCTGCCATGCAGTTTCCATGGGCTGAATGGCCTCTTCCTGTGCCTGGCTTCCTATGTTTCTTAATGTGTCTTGATCCCCTTTTGCTGAAGGTGAGGGGGAAAAATGGAAAGAGTTTTATATTATGACCGACTTCCCCTTCTCACTCCCACCCTAATGTAAATCCAGTTGGACCAGTAATGCATTCCCAAAAGCTGGGGTTTTATGGGCTGGGCTATTGGGTAGCTGTGTGAGCTATGTACTTGAATGGAACTGATACAGGACAACAACAACTTGCATTATTCGGTGCCCTCACATGGTGTAGCTTCTCAGAGCATTCAACAGTGGCATAGTTTGACCCTGAGCCAGGGAGAAAGGAAAGCTAACTGTAGGCACATTTGAAGATGGAAGTCTTCAGGTGCAATCTGAAGACAGTCAAAAGAGGGGCCAAGGTGGGATTGAGGCAAGTAGTTCCAGCAGACCTCAATCTAGACAACACTATTAGCAGCCATATTAGCTTTCAAAAGGGAACTAGATAGATATGTAAAATAAGAGTCAACTTTTGGCTTCCAGGGAAAGGGCAGGTACATGGGACTGAAAGGATTGTTTTTTAAAAGAACCAGTACAGGCACGATGGGCCTAGCTTCTCCTGTGCTGTAAGATTCCATGGTTCTCTTTTAGACGGTGCAGAATTTGGCAGATACTTAGAAAAAGTTGTTCTTCTATAGACTTTAATTTAAAGACTCCCATTTACGAATTTGCCAAATTCTGTACCCTCTGTATTGCTAAGAAAATAGTGGTTTAAATCTAGACTGAGGTGAAATTTTTGCCCCAGCGTGATATGACGAATTGCTGAGTTAACATGAACAAGGCATGAGCAGGACATGCAAGCGGAGGAGTTGGGTTTGATTTCCGGGCAGGGCGAAACCCAAGTCAAGTTTTGTTACGTTTCTGTTTACCAAGCTGTAAGTAGAAACCGCCTGTTAGTCGATTGGCGGATCACTTTCTAGGGATCTTTAAAAAAAATGTGGTCACTCAATCCACGACTGTTTGTGGGACAATGCTATGCGCTTTGAGACGTCTTAATGATAATAATAACAATCCTTGCATTTTATATAGAGCCTTATCACATCTTCAAGGCGTCTCAAAGTGCTTCACAGAATATACTGTAAAGCAAATGGACTGTATATTTTGTGGGCGAAACGCAACAGCCAATTGCCCACAGCACTGTCCCACAAACAGTCATGGATTGAGTGACCAATTTTTTTTGAAGGAATTATTATCCCCGAAAAAGCGATCTGGCAATCTGCTAACAACCAGGTTCCTAGTTACTGCTAGGTAAAATAGGGGTGTAGAGTAAGGAAACTTGGCCAATGTTTCGTCCTGCCGGGAATCAAACCCAGGTCTCTCACTTGTGAGGCGATTGTTCTAATCACTGAGGTACAGGACTCCACATGTGTGATAATGTGATAAAGTAGCTATATCAAAGGCAATGATTATTATTATTATTTGGGAAAGTATGGATCATTTGCTATATGTTCAGAGGTGTCAACCTAGCTCAGTGTGTATCAACTTCGCCTTTGAGTCAGAAGAATGAGTTCTCAAAAAAATGCTAATGCCAATCAAGTAATGCGGGAAGCGCTGCATTGTCGGAGATGTTTGACGTCTGTTTAGGTGGAGGTTAAAGATCCCATGGCAGTAATCAAAAAGAGAAGTGAGTTTCTCCCAGTGTCCTGACCAACAAACCTCCAAATGAAAGCAGTCATTTATTCACTTCATAGCTGGTCATTGCTATTCACAATTGGCTGCCAGGCTCACCAACAAAATACACAGTCACTACACTTTGTGCTTTGAGATGGCTTGACTACGTGCTAAAACGAGATATCTAATGTGAGGATGATTATTATTAATATCTATTTGTGATTCAGATTGGGCTACCAGGGTGAAGCAGATCGCTAAATTGTGGAGGAAGGCAAGCTCTCAGGAGAGAGCCCCGTATGTGGTAAGTGAAGCTCTGGTGTATATTATTTATGAAAACTCAATGATTTGCATTGATTTTTTTTTCCTGTATTAATTTGCAACAACAACTTGCATTTATATAGCACCCTATATAACACACAATAGAATCTCTGAGCACTGAGGATGGTGGGGGGCGGGGTTGGGGGTAGAAGGGACAGCAGGAGAGGGGGACTTCGCAATACAGACTATGGGATGGAGGTTATTAAAATGGCAAGCTTTTCAAACATTTATAGTTTGGTCACTCAATCCACCACTGTTTGTGGGACACTGCTGTAAGCAATTGGCTGCCGCATTTTGCCCACAAAATATACAGTCAATTCACTTTACAGTATATTCTGTGAAGCACTTTGAGACATCTCAAAGACACGATAAGGCACTATATCAAATGCAAGGATTATTATTATTAACATTGCTTGAGTCTCCACACAAGACTCCGTGATTTGTTCAAGGAATTTTTTGGGGAGGGAAAAGGGGAAAGGTTAAATTTGTGGCTGTTATCAAATAAACGGGCTGACTCCCACACACACAACCCCATCCGCATCTGATGCCAATTTCAGTAGTGAAGTATGTAAAGTTTGCAGTATTTGACTTGTCTTTGGCTGCTGATTAGTTCATAGAATTATACAGCATAGAAGGAGGCCATTTGGCCCATTGTGTCTGTGCCGGCTCTTTGACAAGAACTATCCAAATCAATCCCACTCCCCCACATAGCCCTGCAAACTTGTGCTCCCCAAATAATTACCTACTTCTCTCTTAAAAGTTGTTATCAAATCGGCTTCCACCACCCTTTCAGGCAATGCGATCCGAGCAACTCTCTGCATTTAAACAAAAGTCTCCTCACCTTCCCTCTTTTAATAACTATTTTAAATCGGTGTTCTCGGTTTACCGACCCACCAACCAATGGAAATAGTTTCTCCCTGTTCACTCTATCGAATTCCCTCATAATTTTGTAACCTTCTATTGAGTCTCCTCTTAACCTTCTCTGCTCCAAGGAGAATAATCCTAGCTTCTCTAGCTTCTCCTGACAACTAAAGTCCCTCAATTCTGGTACCATCCTGGCAAATCTCCTTTGCGGCATCTTCAATGCCTTAACATCCATCCTAAAGTGTGGTGCCCAGAACTGAACGGAGTACACCAGCTGAGGCTTAATCAGTGTTTTATAAAGCTTCATCGTAACTTCCTGACTGTTCCTTCACCCCCTTTAAGATTGCACCATCAGCTTATATTGCCTCTCATTCTTCCTCCCAAAATGCACCACTTTGCATTTATCCACATTAAACTTCATCTGCCACGTGTCTGCCCATCTTACCAATCTGTCTATGTCCTCTTCCAGTCTGCTGTTATCCTCCTCACCATTTACTACTTTTCCTAGCTTAGTATCATCTGCAAACTTGGAAATTGTACTCCCTCTACCCAACTCCAGGTCATTTATATAGATCAAAAAGAGCAGTGGTCCAAAAACCTCCCCTGTCAGACAACACTGCACACTTTCCTTTAGTCAGAAAAATAATCGTTCACCACCTCTCTCTGCTTTCTGTCTCCCAGCCAGTTCTGTATCCATGCTGCCACTGTCCCTTTAATACCGTGGGCTTCTATTTTACCTACAAGTGCCTCTCTTATGTGGCACTTCATCAAACGCCTTTTGAAAATCCATATAAACTACATCAACTGCACTACCTTCATCCACCCTCTCCGTAACTTCATCAAAAAACTCTTATCAGGTTTGTTCGACACAATTAGCCTTTAACAAATCCGTTTTGGCTGTCCTTTATTAACCCATATTTTTCTAAATGAAATGTTGAATTATTTTCTAAGAAACTCATTGCCCACAGCAGTGTCCCACAAACAGTTGTGGATTGAGTGACCCAAATTTTTTTGGGGGATGTGTGGGGCTACTGTCTCCATCCAGAAGAGGGGATGTCATGGAAGGGTTGGGAAGAGGGATAGGGCAGGGCAGTGGGATTGAAGTGCAGACTTGATGGGCCGAATGGTCATCGCCTGCACTGAAAATTTCTATTGAGCGCTTTGAGCCGTCCTTCAGACAGGAAAGATGCAATATCAACTGCGAATGTTATTATCATTTATTGTTGTGAGCCATTGCTATGTGTAAATTGGCTAACTCATTGGCCCACAAAATACACAGTCATTCCATGACACATTCCTGTGAAGTGCCTCGAGATGTGCTCAAGGACACAGATTCAAGATAATTGGCAAAAGAACCAATGGGGAGGGGAGATGAGAATTTGTTTTACATAACGAGCCGTTACGATCAGGAATGCACTGCCTAAAAGAGTGGTGGAAGCAGAATCAATAATAATTTTCAAAAGGAAATTAGATATTTACTTGAAAAGAAAAAAGTTTGCAAGGATTAAGGGGAAAGAGTGGGGAGTGGGCCTAATTAGGTAGCTCTTTCAAAGATCAGGCACAGGCACCATGGGCCGAATGGCCTCCTGCGCTGTAGGATTCTATGATTCTGTAATAATATAATAATAATCTTTGCATTTGATGTAACGCCTTATCACGTCATTGAGACTTCGCAAAGTGCTTCACAGGATATATTGTTCAAGTGCTCTGAGACGCTGTCCTGCATGGAGGCTGCTATGTAAGTGCAAGTTGTACTTGTAGTAGTTGTAAAGGGGAGGGACTGTGTATTTTGTTGGCAAAACACATCAGCCAATTGTGCACAGAAGTGTCCCACAAACTAATGTTTCCAATATATTTTTAAGATTTTTTGAAATATAATCCTATGTAAGGATTTAGAAATAAAATGGCTGTGCTAGGTTCTGCGTTACATGCAGAGTTGACGTTTTTTGTAACCCTGCGTTTGCAGCAAAAAGCTAGAGACAATCGCGCGGCTCTGCGTATCAACAAGGTGCAGATAACCAGTGAGTCTTTGAGGAGACAGCAACAGGAGTGCGTCGATTCTGTCACCCGCCCAGACGCAGACTTGCCCTTTAAAGACCAGATGAAGCAAAAGGAATCTGAACATGAGCAGGAATGGAAGATGCGGCAGGTAATCACTATCGCATTTGATTTCTCTCAAGTAATTGCTCTCTGTTGTGAGCGTGTTTTGGGACGGGCGGAGGGGGAGGTGTGGTCCCATTGGGTTAATCTATGAGTAAAAGGTGCACAAAGAAACTTTCAGTGCATCACTTCACAATGTCTTCCTGTTTTAAAGCCACGTTTCTACCCCTCTCCCCCACACAAAAAGAATTTTTACCTACTTCAATGGGTAATCTTTACCTACTTCAATGACACAACCCAGTATGCCACCGAGAAGGTGCCAGGTTGGTTCTGCAATACCATCCAAAACAGCAGTCTTTACAAATGGGCTTTGTTCCTTGAGCCAGGAAACCAAACAAAAAGCGAGCCGTGCTATCTGCAAATTCTACATGCTCTAAGCCTTAAGTCAACCACAGTAACAAAGCGCCCCTCATGCAGCGTAGCATCCCAGAGGAAAGTCTTCAGACACAACCTAACAATGGGTGGCTGAAAGAACGGCCACCGATGGTGGAACGGACGGCACGAGGGACAAGCCAGGAAATTTACGGATAAATCCATAAATTCTCTTCAAAACAAAATCAAGGCTGAGGCTAATTGTGGCACTCGTATCAGCGTTCCATCGGTGAGATGAGGTAACTGAGTGCAGGTCAGGAACCAAATCTGGGACTTTCCAACTCTCTGTGACTATTCTACAATGCTTAGTGCCCTCGGTTAATGGAGTTTTCCGAGCAGCAGGGATTGGTATCTCTGCACACATTCAGTCGAGCCAGATATTTTGTCACATGAGTTGCAATAACTCATTCCTGGCTGTTTACCCAACTTTTGCTATTTCCTTGTGGACTTCAGATGGTAATAGGGAAGAATTGCATTTGAATATTGACCCGAGTTACCCAGGAATGTAAAGCAGTAGTAGTCAACCCTTTTGGGCACCAACAAAAGAGAAATAAGTCATGCAAACTGCCATAAATCAAGAAATATTCAATCAAGATAAACCTGGAAGCACACTATTAATTGAAAATAAACTTTGTGTGAATGTCCAGGGGCCGCTTCTTGAGGGTCCCTGGATTTTCTGATCTTGCTTTCACCCATCCTAACTCTTAATTTTGACTGTTTGCTGGACGCCACTGTCCGCAAATTGGCTACTGTGTTCGCCTACAAAATACACAAGTCACTACAGTTCACAGTAAATGTGAAGCACTTTGAGGCATCCTCCTGATGTGAAAGGTGCTACATTTGGATTTATTTTTATTATTTATTTTGTTGTTATTCCTTGTTTGCCTTGGCTTCTGAGTTTAACAATGTCTTTCACTCCAATGGTGTAAACAATTGGATCTGACCCCTACTTTATTTTTTCCTATTTCTTTCTCTCTTTCTCTTTTCTCTTTTTCTTGGTCTCTTTCCATCTCTTTCTATCTCTCTCTTTGCATCTCTCTTTCTCTTCCATTCTCTTTCTTTTTCTTTCTCTCTTCCCTTCTTTCTCCTCTTTCCCCCCCATTGTTCTCTTCCTTTATCTCTTTCCCGCCTCTTTCTCTCTCTCTCTTCCTCTCTCTCCCTCTCCTCCCTGGTGGTGTGGAAAAACACAGCAAATGCGTCAGAAGAGTAAGCAGCAAGCCAAGATCGAGGCCACGCAAAAGCTGGAGCAGGTGAAGCATGAACAGCAGCAACAACAGCAGCAACAGCAACAGTTTGGGGCCCAGGAACAGCTGGAGGGAGAGGACAGCCCGGAACACGGGTCTCCACTGCAAACCAAGGAAGTCTTTACTGTGAGGTCCCAGGTCCAGGGGGACGCTACGGACGATGTCTTCCTCAGACCCCAGGCTCCGCCGCCGACCCCGACCAGGGCCTCGCTGCAGGACCCATTCTCACAGTCTCAAACCCCACAGCCGCAGATGTTTCCCCCCACAGTGAACCGTCCCTCATCCCCCTGGGACCCGTATGCTAAAATGGTGGGGACCCCCAGACCACCTCCGCTGCAGACGGTCGCCCGGAGAAACTCGGCCCCCCCTCTGGAGTCCTGCACCTCCCCACAAGGTGGGGCCCGGCCCGGTGGGGGCAGCGAAGCCAGCGAGTCATTTGGGTCTCTGTCACCCGGCTCCAGCGATCCATACGCCAAAGCTCCGGACACGCCTCGGCCCATAATGTGCGTGTCGCCCGCCGATCACTTCCCTAAGGCCCTGGGGCTGCCTAGGGGGCTTGCGACCTCCGACCCCCAGGCAAGCATGCTGGGAACTACGGGAGACCACTTTGTCAAGCCGGCTGCCAGGCCCGAATCCTTCGCCCCCCGGCTCCAACCTCCACCAGGAAGAACACTGCCCCCCGACCCCTACGCCAGGCCAGGTGGCGAGGCCGGGGGTGGGCACTTATTCAAGGCCCCAATGCCTCCCCCTCAGGACCCATACGGGCCCGTGTCACCGTCCCCCAGGCGTCTCCCCATCGACCCCTACGAGAGGCATCCTCTGACCCCCAGGCCTGCGGACAGTTTCCTGCTGCCTGTGGATCCTTATGCCCAGCCCCTGCACACCCTCGCCTGGGCACGGAGACGTTTCCCCACCCGCCCAGGGTCTCCCGGCCAAACCAGGTGGACAGCTTCCCTCAACCGGGGGCTGTGTCCAGGCAGAGGTCGCCTCACGACCCTTACTCCCAGCTGCCAGGGACCCCTCGGCCTGCCATTGACCCCTACACCCAACAACCAGGAACTCCAAGACCCCAACCCCAGCAGATAGAGCCGTATTCTCAACAACCATCTACTCCGAGACCCCCTCCACAGCAGATTGACCCCTACGCCCAGCAGCCAGGAACTCCGAGACCCCAACCCCAGCAGATTGACCCCTATGCGCAACAACCATCTACTCCGAGACCCCAACCCCAGCAGATTGACCCCTACGCCCAGCAGCCAGGAACTCCAAGACCCCAACCCCAGCAGACAGATCCCTACGCCCAGCAGCCAGGAACTCCGAGACCCCAACCCCAGCAGATAGATCCCTACGCCCAGCAGCCAGGAACTCCGAGACCCCAACACCAGCAGATAGATCCCTACGCCCAGCAGCCAGGAACTCCGAGACCCCAACACCAGCAGATAGATCCCTACGCCCAGCAGCCAGGAACTCCGAGACCCCAACCCCAGCAGATAGATCCCTACGCCCAGCAGCCAGGAACTCCGAGACCCCAACACCAGCAGATAGATCCCTACGTCCAGCAGCCAGGAACTCCGAGACCCCAACCCCAGCAGATAGATCCCTATGCCCAGCAGCCAGGAACTCCAAGACCCCAACCCCAGCAGCTAGACCCGTATTCTCAACAACCATCTACTCCAAGACCCCAATCTCAGCAGATTGACCCGTACGCACAGCAGCCAGGAACTCCAAGACCCCCTCCACAGCAGATTGACCCTTATGCCCATCAGCCGGGCACCCCTCGCCCCCAAGTTGGTGAGCGTTTTGCACAGTCCCCCGTTAGCCAGAGATTTTCTGACCCATACGCACAGGCTCCCCTGACCCCCAGGCCCACCAGGCCCGACCACTTCTCGCAGGCTCAGCGGCTGATGATGCCTGAGAGCTTTGGCCGGCCAAGGATGATGAGGCCTGTGTTGTTGGTCGGTCAGGACGCTTTCATGCCATCACTGCATGCCAGCAGGGGCCCGGGCCTGCAAGACGCCTTCGCAAGACCTCGCACCCCACAAGGCTCCAGGCAAGATGGCGGCCCGTTCTCACCACACGCCCCGGGACCTCGGCCAATGGCCCACGACCCGTATGCCCAACAGCCGGGGACCCCACGGCCTCCTCCGAGCGAGGGCTTCAGGCCAGCCAGGCTCCACCACGACATGGGCATCCTCCAGGGTACAGAACCCGCACATTTTGGCAACTCGTCGGGATCGCCGATGAATAACCCGCCAGCTCAGCAGTTCCCCGGTGTGCCGGCGGCAATGGATCCAGTCCCAAGCGATCCGCAGAATAACGTAAGTGCCTCACGTGGATGAGGAAGACAAACGAAGGCAGGTAATTCAGCATCAGCCTGGCTTCTCTGAGTCAAAAGGTTGTGGGTTCAAACCCTACATTAGGAATTGAAACTCATATAACCATATATCATAATAATAATAATAATCCCTGCAATTTTTTTTTTTAATTTGGTGACGTAATCCACGACTGTTTGTGGGACACTGCTGTGTGCAATTGGCTGCCACGTTTCGCCTACAAAATACACATTACAATTCACTTTACAGTATTTTCTGTGAAGCGCAAGGATTATTATTATAGTTGAGGCTAAAATTTTAAATTGGACTCAAAAGTAAACCCAGATCAATAACTTAGGATGTACCAAGACAGAATAAGAAGACAGATTTACAGTTGTAAAAGATAATTTCAGGACAGATACTAGGAAGCTTTTCTTTACCAAGAGGGTAATTAATGATTGGAACAAGTTGCTAGGAATGGTGTTTGAGGCCACGGCACTGGGATCCATTTAAAAAGCGACTTGATGCTGAGATGGTGGAGTGGTGGTTGGGTGGGTGTTCCAGATAGATTAAATTAGCCAAAGGGCCTTTGTAATCCAAACTAATTTGTGAAGTTGTGCAAACTAATATGGCTGGAATAGCGAATGCACCATTTGCCTTGTGGGTCCTGCAGTGAGCAAGGCCTCTGGTTTGACTTGCAGAGGCAGAGGTTGCGGGAGCTGATTTTGAGGCAGCAGCAACAGAAGAACGCAATCCGGCAGGAGAAAGGCCAGCAGGAGCATGTCATTGGGTCCAGCGTGACTCTGCTCCGCCACTGGCCCCAGGAGGATTTAAACCGGCAAAACGAGCTGTTCGGCAGACCCCCACCCCCCTACCCCGGCAATGTCCGTGTCCCTCTCATTCCTCAACCAGGGCAGCGATTTGCGGATTCTTTTCAAAATGTCCCCCGGGCCCGCTTCACCGCTGACCCTCAGTACAACAGAACCCAATTCTCCGGAGATATCACAAGGATTGTCATGAGGCCCCAGGGACCAAGGTAATTATACATTATTATCTATGATATAATATCGTTATTATTGTACATAATTATTTTATATAATAACATTATTATGATATAATATTGTTGTGGCCGTTTGTGTGACACTGCTGTGCACAATTGTCTGCCATGTTTCACCCACAAAATACACAATCAATCCACTTTGCAGTATGTTCTGTGATGGGCTTTGGGATGTCTCAATCACGTGATAAAGCGCTATATCAAATGCAAGGATTATTATACGTGTGTTTTTCATTAACCCGATTCCGATTAAACTGGGAGAAATTCACTCCCTAGTTCAGAACTACTCGTATTTTTCTGAATGCTTCTGAGCCATTGGCAGATTCTAAATTTTGAAGTGTTTTTTACCTATTGGTTCTTTAAACCATCCTGTTGGTGTCAGCCTGGCTCAGTTGGTAGGACTCTCCTCTGAATCAAAAGATTGTGGGATCAGCCATCCAGGTTGAATTGTGTGTCTGGAATCAAGGCGTGACCCAGTTCTCTCTAACCTTTTCTCTTTCTCTCCCTCTTTCCTCAACTAGGGCAATGATTTTCATTGAGTGCTATTGCAGAATCCCCCTAACTCTCATTCTTTTACCCTATTTCTCTACTTCCTTTCTCTCTCTCTCTCTTCCTCCCTGATCTTCCACCTCAATCCTCTGTCTGGCTAGCTCAAGTCTTCTGCCCTTTCACTTCCTCGTCCAAACTACCATTGGTGGCCAAGCCTTAAGTTCCTACCCCAATAACCTCTGGGACTCCCTCCCCCTACTCTTCTACCTCATTTTCTCTCTCTAGTCTTAAATATTGCCTTAAAACCTACCTCTTGGTTGGCGATAATAATAATGTAAGAAATGCTAGACGAAAAAAGACCAAGGTCCATCTAGTTCACCTTCCACCTTCCTGACGGTTGCATATGTCCCGAACCACCTATGCACCTACTACCTGCTACCCATAATGTTATTTCCTAAAAGAAAGCTATCTAATCTTGTGGAGTCCTGTAGCTCAGTGGTTAGAGCACTTGCTTTGCAAGCGAGAGACCTGAGTTCAATTCCAGGCAGGCGAAACCTTGGGCAAGTTTCCTTACTCCACACAGAGCCTAATAATAATCCCACCAAAACCAATAATAAATTGGTCATTTTCAATCTACGACTGTTTGTGGGACATTGCTGTGCGCAATTGGCTGCCGTGTTCGCCCACAAACATACAGTCAATTCACTTTACAGTGTTCTGTGAAGCGCTTTGGGACGTCCTCCCGACGTAAAAAGCGCTATATCAAATGCAAGGATTATTATTATTATAATCCGCATTTGAAAGAATCAACATTTCCTGCTTCAACCGTCTTCCTAGGTAGCCTGTTCGACTGGTTTACTGTTCGCTGACTGAAATAGTGTTTCCATAGATTTGTTCCAAATTTGACCCCATTCAATCTCAGGATCACTTCTCCTTTCCCTCCTTCTCTTCCTGCTCCCCTCAATCTCTCCCTCTTTCTTTCTTTTCCCTCGCTTGTTGTTGATGCATTTAGAAAAGAGATACTTTTCTTCTGATTTATCCAACTCCTTACATTGGGGTTAATCCAGTGGTCCGTTTATAGTATTGATTGGTCTCTGTGTGCAGTAATCCCTCACAGATCCCTGACTCCATTCTCAGTGGTGAAGTCATAGAGATCCAAACCCATGGCATTGAGCTTCCTGCTCATGGATCAAAATTAAATAATTCCCCTGTGTTGGTCCTGGTAGTCCGGTTGCTGAGCCAGGCTGGTCTGCAGTAACTCTAGGGCCCTGGGGGTGACTAGACCAGCTTGCTCATTACCACAACTTGGAGGAACAGACCAGTCATTGGGAATGTGATTTGTTCCACTCAGCTCCTGCTAATCCTACAAGCCAAAGCCCTAATGAGTAGGACTGTGCTAGCTGGACAAGCAGGGGAAAGGTTTAAGTGCTCACAATAGCACAGTTCACAGTTCCACGCATATGTGGAACTTAGTTCGGTTTGGATACTCGCGCATTGTTATGGGTTTGCACATGTGTCAGACACCTAACTGATTCCCCCCTTCCAAATTTTTTAAAATGCAGTCACTACATTTGAGAGTAATTCCTGTGACGTGCTTTCAGAATTATAAAAGCTTTCTCTTCCTGCACGGAGGGAGGGAGTGAGGGAGGGACAGACACACTATCTCGCCTATCATCATTTGCACACCACACTGTAAAGGAACAAGAGTAGGCCATTCAGCCCCTCTGTGAGATCAGTGTGGTTAGCATCCAGCCCGGCGGGTGATTTTATTCGGCTCACGACCATTTCCAACATTCCAATTTCCGCTCCTTCCCTCCCTGGTGAACGTCCTCCCAGGACAGCAGCATGAGAGTGGGAGAGCGCAGCGCAGAAGGGAAATAATACTGGCCATTACTGCAGTCTGTCAGGAAGACAAGTGCATCTCTTACCAACCGCTTCCTTAGCAACTTAGTCCTTGTGCTGCAGTTAGTGGGAATGAGAGAATGAGAGAATGGGAAGAGGGGGAGAGAGACGAAGGGGAGAGAGGGGGAGTGAGAAAGGTTGGGTGTGAGAGAAAGGAGGAGACGGGGAAGGTGCATTGTGAGAGGGAAGAGAGAGTGTGAGAAGTGGAGAGAGAGTTATTGAGTAATTGAGAGAGAGAAAATGTGCAAGGGAGAAAGAGACGGGGGGAGAGAAGAAGTGTGTCTCCCTCTCTCTCCACCTCTCCCTCTCTCTCTCCCCACCTCTCTCTTCCCCTCTTCCCACTCTCTCAATCCCTCTCTCTCCCAATCAGCCACGTAGGTCACTCCTATCTACAGCGCCAGGACTAAGTTGCTAAGGACACGGTTGGTAAGAGATGCGCTTGCCTTCCTGACAGACAGCAGTAACAGCCAATATTATTTCCATTCTCCACGCCGAGTCCTCCCAACCGCCAGCTCCTGCTGCTAATAATAATAATCCTTGCATTTGATATAGCGCTTTTCACGTCTTCTAGATGTCTCAAAGCGCTTCACAGAATAGACTGTAAAGTGAATTGACTGTATATTTGTGGGTGTCTGTCAGGAAGCCAATTGCACACAGCAGTGTCCCACAAACAGTCGTGGATTGAAAATGACCAATTTATTATTTATTTATATATATTTTTTTGGAGGGGAGGAAGTGGAAGTTGGAATGTTGGAAATGGTCTTAGGCCAGATAATATCACCCACCGGGCCGGATGTGGCCCACGGCTCACGCTGGATGCCGCCCACAGACCTTTCTCAAGTAGGGAGAACACACCCATGTTAGATCATGGCTGATCTGTTCCTCAACTCCAGTTACGCACCTTTACTCCATATCCCTTGATATCCTGATCTTTGAATGCATCCAGCATCCACAGCCTTTTGAGGGAGAGAGTTCCAGATTTCCATTATCCTTTGTGTGCAAAAATACTTCCTGATTTCACTTCTAAACGGCCTAGCTCTAATTTGAAGATTATGCCCCCTTATTCTAGATTCCCCCAGTGGAGGAAATAGTTTTATCTATGTTTCTCATGTTAACGCCTTGGTCTGTCTTCCAGGTATTCCTTTGCAGGAAGTGACCTGAGACCGATGCTGAGTCAGGAGCACTATCTGGGACCACAGCAGCAGAGGCAGGCTCACGGTGCCGGGATTCCTCAGCAACTGAGGCGATCGCTGTCCGTGGACTTGAGCAGGTCTCTAAGCGTCCAGCAGGTCAACAATGGGTTGACCCTCCCTCAGCACTTTCCACCTCAGGGTGTGCAGATGCAGCAGCACAACATCCACGGGCAACCGTTCATCGAGCTTCGTCACAGGACCCCGGAAAGCAGAGCCCGGCTTCCCTTTGCCCAAGTGGGACCCGGCCCAAGTGGGTTTGACCCATCGAACCAGCACCCGAGACTTGGTGTCTTTATGTCAGGGCAGGAGGGCTTCCCCCTAGTGCAGGGCCTGAGGCAGCTGGACTCTATATCTGTCCAACACGGCATGCCCAACCACATGGAAATGCCTGGTAACTTGGTGCAGCAGATGCATGTCAACCATCCAGGAATGCCCCTCTCCCGCTCCCTTAGCAACCCACCCTCCAGCCAGACCTACTCTTCAATGCTGGCGTTGGGAACTGGCAATGCTTGCGCCCAAGAGAGTGATGGCATGGTCGAGAAACTGGACCCTGACGATCCCTCAGTGAAAGATCTGGATGACAAGGATCTGGAGGGGGTGAGGGATCTAGATGACGAGGATCTGGAGAACCTGAACTTGGATCCGGTGGATGAGAAGGGCGACCCCGACCTGGACAATCTGAACATAGAAACCAATGACCCTCACCTCGACGACCTGCTGAAGTCCGGAGAGTTCGACCTCATTGCTTACACAGACCCTGAGCTCGATCTGGCCGACAAGAAGGACATGTTCAACGAAGAATTGGAACTCAACGATCCAATGGATGATAAGCTGGAAGACGAGAGCAAGGTGGAAGCTGACCAGGCGAGAGTAGGTGAGACCGCCGGTGCCTTCACTCCCAAAGAGGAGGCTATAGAGGCCACAAACGAGGGACCAGGTGAAAGTTGTCCCAAAGATCCGACGGACACTGTAAAACTTGAACCCAGTGGAGCCGATGACCGCAGTGGGGCTTCTTGCGTCGAAGGAGTGACCGAGTCCAAGATGGCAGATGTGCCGAAGGAGAGAGGCCCTGACTGTAATTCCCGCGAGGACGGAGATGTGGAGCAGGTGAAGGAGGACGAAAGGCTGGATGGCAACCGAGGATCCAGTGAAATGAGCCCTGATTCCCGGTCATCTTCTCAAATGGCCGTGTCCACTCCAGTGCTATCAAGCTTGCTGACCGAGAAGCCAACTAACCTGGGGTTTGGGTCACTGGGCTCGCTATTGCCTCAGTCAAACCCGAACCCCAACATGCCGCTGTCCCCCAGCATGGTGATCTCTCAGGGGCAGACGGCGGAGAATACAGCAAGTCACAACTTGCAGTTGGGGCAACGGCTAATCCATGGCTTCACTCAGGGCCCCTCTTTGAATCAGAACTTCCTCCAAGAGCAGCAGGCAGCCAGCCAACCGGGCAATACGGCGACTCCGCAGCAGATGATGCTCCCTCAAACCATGGGTCCCCAGGGCCAGCGAGAGAGGCCCCTTCTTCTGGAAGAGCAGCCTCTTCTTCTGCAGGATCTTCTGGAGCAGGAAAGGCAGGAGCAGCAGCAGCAGAGGCAGATGCAAGCCATGATACGGCACCGCTCCACCGATTCCTTCTTCCCCAACATTGGTGAGTACAGGCTTCAGGTGCCAGCCTGGCTCAGCGGGCAGCACTCCCACCTCTGAGAAGGTTGTGGGTTCAAGCCCCACGTTGGAATCACATTTGGCTGCTGAGGGACGGATGTCAGATTTGAGAAATGTCCACGGGCTGCATAAACAATACTTTATCCTGATTGGCCAGTCCTCTTGCCAGGCAGAGCCTGAGCCCCTGATAACCATCACCTGATTGGCATGGGGTCTGCGTATCTCCTGTATTTGTTTGTTGGATAATGAAGTTGGAAATGGTACGCAGGCCAGATGAAATCAGCTGGGCCACCAGTTGGACAACCCTGGTCTAAGCTGACATTCCAGTGCAGTGCTGCGGGTATAATGCATTGTCGGAGATGCCTTCCTTTGGATGAGATGTTAAACCGAGGTCTCATGTGCCCATTCAGGTGGATGTTAGAGATCCCATAGCACTATTCAAAAAAAAAAAGAAAATTTCTCCCAGTTTCTTGGCCAATACATCCCCCAGAATAAAATTAGTCACTTGACAATGGCTGCTCCGTTTCGCCCACAAAATATAAAGACAATCCGCTTTACAGTATATACTGTGAAGTGCTTTGAGACGTTTCAATGACTTGATAACGCACTATATCAAATGCAAAGATTATTATTTTTATAGTTTTGTGCAATATTAAATCTTAAAACAAAAGGTCGCAAGGGCTAAGACCAGGCAGAATTTTGGGCCTAAGATGTTGGTTCATTTGTACCAGAAGTTCTGAACTTTCTTTTTACAGATTTTGATGCCATCACAGATCCCATCATGAAAGCAAAAATGGTAGCGTTGAAGGGAATCAACCGCGTTATGGCCCAAAACAACCTGGGGATGCCACCGATAGTGATGAACAGGTAAAGATGCGATGTATTTCCTCATTAGGAGGGGAAGAGTGGAGGAAAATAAGAGGGATCTCCTTGGCTTCAAGCACCATATGTGTTACCTGGTGACTGTCTGGTTCATGTACAACACTTATCACCTCCTGAGTCAGAAGGTTGAGTTTAAACTCCTCATTGGGACTCCAGTCTAGTCTGACACACCAGTAATTGCTGGGGAAGTGCTGCATTAACAAGGTGACCGTGTCGGAGGACGCTAAACTGCGTCCCATCTACGTATTCATATAAATGCTAAGATGACCACTCCCTTGCCTCTTTCAAGGCCCATCTCAACACCTTCCTCTTCGACTGTGCCTTCGGTCATTTTCCCATCCTTGGGACTTCCTCCCACTATAAGTGGAATTTGTAGTTGTTGATGCTGCAAAAGACCCATGGTGCTATTCAAAAAGAGAATGGAGTTTCTCCCTGTGTCTTATCCAACAATCCCTCAAATAAAATTGGCATTCACACACTCTGGGTGGCCCCAACCTTTAGCTCTTGCCAAATTGAGCCTAATACTCTCCGGAATTAGGTGAGCAGGGTGAATTCCTCCAGGGAGGCAGTGCACATTCCAATTCCAGACACAAAGAAATTTTCACATGTAGGTGACATGCATTGGCTGCTGCATTTCGCCCACAAAATACACAATCAATCCACTTTATGGTATATTCTGTGAAGCGCTTTGAGACGTCTTAACGATATGATAAGGAGCTAAAACAACAACAAGATTACATTTGTATAGTGCCTTTCACATCTGTTGTACGAATTTGGAATGATCTGCCTGAAAGGGTAGTGAAGTCCGATTTGATAACAGTTTTTAAGAGAGAACTGGATAGGTATCTGGGGAAGGTGGATTTGCAGGGTTATGGGGAGAAAGCTGGTGATTGGAGTCAGTGAAAGTGACTTGCTCTGTCAAAGAGCCGGCACAGACGCGATGGGCCGAATGGCCTCCTTCTGTGCCGTAACATTCCTCCAAAACCAAAAACAATAATAAATTGGTCATTTTCAATCTACGACTGTTTGTGGGACATTGCTGTGCGCAATTGGCTGCCGCGTTCGCCCACAAATATACAGTCAATTCACTTTACAGTGTGTTCCGTGAAGCGCTTTGGGACGTCCTCCCGACGTGAAAAGCGCAATATCAAATGCAAGGATTGTTGTTATTATTATTCTATGAATCTATGAAAAAAAATCTATGCATCTGGAGGACGTCCCAAGGCATCCCAAGAGCTAAATCAAATGCAAGGATTATTATTATAAAAAGCCAAAGTGTATTTTAAAAAGAAAATATGGGAGTGAAATTGCCTCGGAGCACTGAGAAACACTGAAGTAAAAAGCGTGATGTTTTAATTAACACCCACGGTGCTGCTTAACACCTACTTAGAAAAGGGGATCAGCAAGTGTTTAACACATGACCTCCTGCCCAGGTATGACAGCCTGCTCAATGCCAGCTTCCCAGTGCGCTGAGCTCGGTTAGTGCCATGGGTGTTAATTAACACATCACACATCACCCATGCGATGTGTGATGCGTTAATTAATGCCAATGGCCCTAACCGTTGGCCAGTGGTTAGTATTTAGCTATACGTTGCCCTCTCCCTATATGTTACACTCTGCTCAAGGCATTAGGTCACGACTTTTTCACATGTGATTTTCAACCTTTTTGCAGATTTCCGTTCATGGGACAGCAAATCTCCGGCAACCCAAGCAATGATGGCGGACAGAATCCCATCAACCAAGGAGTTGGCTCGGTAGATAAAAAATATCCTTGCATTTGCAGTTGATATTTACAAATATTTCTTCCCCTGCACCCCTCGCTCTCTCTCTCTCATTCACTCACTTTCTTTCACTCAATCACTCACTCTCTCACTCATACACACACCTGCCTCTTACTCTCTCACTCCACCTCTCCGTTTTGCCATTCTTTTTTTCTTCTCTCACTTTCTCTCGCTCTCCCTCTCTCTTTCACTTCATTCCTCTCTGCCCTTTTTTTCCCATCTTTCGTTCCCTGTTCTGTCTTTCTGTCTTTCTCTCCCTCCTCTCTCTTTGTCCATCTCTATCTCTTTTTCTTTCTCCATCTCTCTAGCCCTTTCTCTCGTTCTCTCCCTGTCCGTCACTCTCTCTCTATCTGTCTCTCTCACTCTCTCCCTGTCTTACCCTGCCTTACTCCCTGTCTCTCTCTATCCATCTCATTCTCTCTTTATGGTACAAATGTTACATGCAGAGCAAGGCTGAATTGTTGCTGTTTGGCTTGTTTTCAGGATGGAAGTTTACCCCCTCAGATGTCTCGCCCAAATCCTCCAACGTTTGGTCCTGGCTTTCTAAGTGAGTATCTGTGCAGAGATTCTATTACACGGCAATTGTAAGGGTCTTTTGTCCATTCGCCTTGTCTGTTTGAGGGGATTTTGCATGATATCCTCTTGGTGGTAATAGTGTGAGCTGAGCATTCTCCAGAACACAAGGTGGACAAAAAGGGATGCGATGTATCCCTTTTTGTGCAATGTAATTCTGTGCAATGTAACAAAATAAATTTTCTTGGTTGAATATTCCTTTGATGTATGCCTTTCACGTCGGGAGAATGTCCAAAGACGCTGGACAGTCAAGAGTTTCGGACCCGAGCTGGGGGTCGAGATTGGGGAGGGTGGAGGGCACGGGGGGAAGCAAGGAAAAGAACAGTCGAAGAGGAAGGTCTTGAGACAGGTCTTGAAGGAGGCAAGGGAGGAGGCGCGGTGGAGGGACTGCGGGATGGAGTTCCAGAGGGTGAGGGCAGAGTGACAGAAGATCCGTCTACAAAGGTGAGACAGCCGAGGTGGGGGACATGAAGCAGGCTGGAGCCCGCTGAGCAGAGGGAGCGAGCAGGAAGGTAGTGGGTTTGGAGGTCGCAGAGGTAGCGGGGAGCAAGACCATGGAGGGCTTTGAAGGTGTGGACCAGGATCTTGAACTGTATCCTCTGTGTGGTGGGAAGCCAATGGAGTCAGGCGAGGATGGGGATGATAGGGTCACGGAGCATGGTGCAGGAGAGGACTCGAGCTGCAGAGTTTTGGATGATCTGTAGCCTATGGAGGGGAGGCCGATAAGCAAGGAGTTTGCATAGTCGAACCTCGATGTAATGAATGATGTAATGACTTACCTATACTAGTGCGAATGTTCGGCAGTGGGGATGGGGCTTCTTGACAGGCTCCCTGGGCTACTTCTGGCCCATGGGCCACAGGTTGGCCACCACTGTTTATGTATGAATCCAGCAAGTGGGAATGTTGAGAGAAACTCAGCCTGTGGCCTGTCTTAAATCACACTGCCTCCTACAAAACACACAGTCAGTACACTGTACAGTATATAATAATAATAACCACCTCTTCTATAATCATTAACACACAATGGCCTCCTACGCTGTTCAAACAAAGCTCAACACAAGCTCAAAGAACAACACTTCATCCACCACCCAGGCACCTTACAGCCCTCTGACCTCAACATTGATTTCAACCACTTCAGACCCTAACCACAGCCACCATCTTCTCTCAGCCTTGCCTCCCCCCACACCACTTCTATAACCAGTAACACATCTAAAATGTTTCCTTTGTCTTTCTGTCCCCGACCCCTCCTCTGCTTGTCCTTATAATCTGCTCCCTCCCAGTTCTGAAGAAGTCATAGACCTGAAACGTTAACTCATTTTGCTCTCTCCATGGATACTGCTTGACCTGCTGCGTGTTCCCAGCGACTTCTGTGTTTATAATAATAATCCTTGTACTTGTTATAGTGCCTTATCACATCATTGACACATTTCAAAGCGCTTCACAGGATTTACTATAAAGCAGATTGATTGTGTATTTTGTGGGAGAAACACGCAGCCAGTTGCATACAGGAGTGTCCCACAAATAGCCGGGGAGTGAGTGACTAATTTTATTTGGGGATTGTCAGCCAGGACATTAGGAGAAACTCCCTTCTCTTTTTCAATAGTGCTTTGGTATCTTTAACATCCACCTGAATAGGCAGTCAGGACCTCGGTTTAATTTCTCATCCGAAGGTTTATCTGTGAACAACAATTTGCGCCCTTCGTGTGGGATAGGGTCTTGGAAACCAGGTGATTGAATAAAAGTTGGTCTAATGGAAAGGTGTCAGCCTGGTTCAGTTGGTATCACTCTGGCCTGAGTCAGAAGGCTGTGTGTTCAAGCCCCAATGCAGGTCTTGGCATCCATGTAGCCTATACTGACACCACAATGCAATGCATGGGATGTGCTGACCTTCGGATGAGAACTTAAACCGAGGCCCCGCCTGACTGTTCAAGTGATGGTTAAAGGTCCAATGGCTTAATTGGAATAGAGACAGGAGTTTCTCCCGGTGGGAGATTGCTGCGAGAAAATTGGCTCCCACAAAATACACACAGTCACTGCACTTCATGGTGTATCCTGTGAAGGGCTTCCTGACATGAAAGGCGCTTTATCAAATGTAAGGATTATTATTATTGTGCGGGGGGGTGGGAGTGTGAGGTGAGAAGCTACCCACTGAGCCAACGTATGTTTGGTCATAAGAACATTGCTAGATGAAAGATGACCAAGGTCCAGCCAGTTCGCCTACCACCATCCTGACAGTTGCATGCGCATGTTGTATCCCAAAATAACCTGCATCCCACGATATTATTTCCTATAAGAACGTATAAAGTGGTTGGGTGGGTGACTGATTGGCACATGCGGAAACCAATCACCGTGCAAACCAGACTTGAGTTCCACGTATGCATGCCGGACTCTTCCGGGGAGGAGGGAGGGGGAGATGATGTACAAATGGTAACGAGCGGTGTTCCTCGGCAGACGACGCCCAGAGGAAGCAGTACGAGGAGTGGCTGCAGGAGACTCAACAGCTCCTCCAGATGCAGCAAAAGTTCCTGGAGGAGCAGATCGGGGTTCACCGCAAATCCAAGAAGGCTCTCTCAGCCAAGCAGCGAACTGCCAAGAAGGCTGGCCGTGAGTTCCCGGAGGAGGACGCTGAGCAACTCAAGAACGTGACCGAGCAGCAGAGCATGGTGCAGAAACAGCTGGAACAGGTACCCTAACCTGGTTCATCCATCATAATAACAATAATAATAATCCTTGCATTTGTTCGCCAACAAAATAAATATTCTTGATTGAACTTATGCCATAAATCAAGAAATATTCAATCAAGAAAAAATTGAAAACATGCTCCCGATTGAACACGGACTTACCTAGACTTGTTTGGAGTGGGGGGAGCTTCTTGATGAGCCACAGGTTGGCCACCACTGCAATACAATAATTGTATTATAACCATGCACAATTTCCTGCCACATTTCACACACAAAATATACAGTTAATTCACTTTACAGTATATTCCATCAAGCGCTTCAAGATGTTTCAACGTCATTATAAGGCGCTATATCAAATGCAAGAATTATTATTATGACAGTATGCATTTATATCACGACAAGAGGATGCCTCAAAGTTTTGTCCGTCTGAGGGCCTGTCTGAATGTTCAGGTGGATGCTAGAGATCACAAGGCATTATATAGATAATAATAATCATTGCATTTGATAATGCGCTTTTCACGTCTTCTAGACGCTTCACAGAATATACTGTAAATCATAGAATCGTACAACACAAAAAGAGGCCATTCGGCCCAACGAGTCTGTGCCGGCTCTTTGAGAAGAGCAATGTAATGTCAATCTCACTCTCCAGCCCTTTCCCCATAACCCTGCAAACCCGTCCTCCTCAAATACCCATCCACCGTGTTTTTAAAAGTTGTTATCAAATCTGCCTCCACCACCCTTTCAGGCAATGCGTTCCAGATTTGAACAACTCGCTGCGTGAAAAAATTTCTTCTCACCGAACCCTCTGCTTCTTTTAGAGACTATTTTAAATCTGTGACCTCGAGTCACCGACACACCCACCAATGGAAACAGTTTTTCCCAGTCTGTATCCTATATAAAACCAGTGTTTTATATAGGTTAATCATAACCTCCTGACTCTTGTACTCTATGCCACTATTTATAAAACCTAGTATCCCATATAGTATCCCATATGCCCCTCATTCTTTCTTCCAAAATGCATTACCTCGCATTTCTCCACATTGAAATTCATCTGCCATGTGTCTGCCCATTTTACCATTCTGTCTATGTCTTCCTGCAGTTGGCTGCTATCCTTCTCACTGTTTACCACCCTACCTAACTTTGTGTCATCCGCAAACTTGGAAATGGTAATTGCTATATCCAAGTCCAGATCATTTATATATATATATATATTAAGAGCAGTGGTCCTAATACCGATCCCTGGGGGACGCCACTGTACACTTCCCTCCAGTCAGAAAAGCAGCCGTTCACCACAACTCTCTGCTATCTGTCTCCCAGCCAGTTCTGGATCCAAGCTGCCACTATCCCTTTTATACTATGGGCTTCTATCTTTCTTACAAGTCTTTCATGAGGCACTTTGTCAAATACCTTTTGAAAGTCCATATAAAATACATCAACTGCACTACCTTTATCCACCCTCTCTGTTACCTCATCGAAAAATTCTGTTAGATTTGTTAGACAAGGTTTACCTTCAACAAATCCTTGCTGGCTGTCCCTAATTAGCCCATATTCTTCTAAGTGAAGATTTATTCTGTCCCAGATTATAGTCTCCAGGAGTTTCCCCACTACTGATGTTAGGCTGACTGGTCTGTAGTGCCCAGGTTTGTCCTTCTGTCCCTTTTTGTACAGGAGAGTAACATTGGCCACTCTCCAGTCCTCTGGCACCACCCCTGTGTCCAACGAAGATTGAAAAATTGTAGCCAAAGCCTCCGCTATTTGTACCCTTGCCTCCCATAGTACCCTTGGCTGCATCCCGTCTGGACCGGGTGACTTATCTACCTTCAGCCCAGTCAACCTTTTCAGTACTTCCTCTCTGTTTATACTTATCCTATCCATTTCCTCTACCCTCTCCTCCGATACTAAGGCATTTGATGCATCCACTTCTTTTGTGAAGACAGATGCAAAGTACTCATTCAGTAAATCAGCCATACCTTCTGCCTCCACAATAAGATTTCCGCGTTGGTCCTTAATTGGCCCCATCCTACCTTTGACTAACCTTTCTTTCTTGATATGTTTGTAAAATATTTTAGCATTCCCTTTAATGTTACCCACTAACCTTTCTTCGTATAATCTTTTTGCCCCTCTTATTTCCTTTTTCAGTTCTCTTCTGCACTTCCTATATTCTATTTGCTTGTCTTCTGTATCTTGGGTCGACACTTGTCATACGCCTTCTTTTTCTGCTTCATTCTAGTTACAATTACCTTCGTCGTCCAGGGATGTTTGGATGCCCTACTTTTCCCTTTTGTGGGAATGTATTTATTCTGTCCCCGAGCTATCTCATCCTTTAAGACTTCCCACTGCTCTTTAGTTGTTTTACCTGCCAATCTTTCTTTCCAGTCCACCTTGGCTAGGTCCCTTTTTAACTCACTGAAATTAGCCCTCTTCCAGTTGAGTATCTTCACCTTAGATGGTTCCTTGTCCCTTTCCATATGCACTCTGAACCTAATGATGTTGTGATCACTATTGCCCAGATGCTCTCCCACTGAAACCTGCTCCACTTGCTCTACTTCATTCCCCAGAACTAGATCCAGCACTGCTTCCTTCCTCGTTGGGCTGGAAACGTACTGATCAAGAAAGTTGTCCTGTATGCATTTTAGGAATCTTTCCCCCTCCTTGCCCTTTGCGCTGTTGTTTTGCCAGTCTATGTTGGGATAATTAAAGTCCCCCATTATCACGACTCTATTGGCCTTGCATCTGTCTGAGATCTGCTTGCAGATCTGCTCATCTATTTCCTTCCCACTATTTGGTGGTCTATAGTTTACCCCTACCATCGTAACAGCTCCTTAACTCTAACATTCTGTTTTGGGGCCCTCCAGCACCTCAACCCTTTCCACGGCTATAACCGTATCCTTGATTAAAATTGCCACACCCCCTCCTTTTTTTCCTTCCCTATCCCTCCTGAATATAATATTCAGCTCCCATTCCTGTCCATCTTTGAGCCAAGTCTCTGTTACTGCTACTACTTTGTGTACTACGACCATTTGAGCCTGCAGCTCACCAATCTTGTTTGTTAAACTCCGTGCATTTAGGCACATGCACTCCAAGACCAACTTGACCTGTTCTGCACTTCCCACCCCCCCGTTTTATTTCTCCATTTTTTTGCCCACTGTTTTTTGCATTCCCTTCCTCCCTCAAAACTAGTTTAAACCCTCCCCTAGAGCATTAGTTAGCCTGTCTGAAAGAACATTCACCCCAGCCCTGTTTAGGTGTAACCCATCCATATGGTACAGATCCCACCTGCCCCAGAACTGGTCCCAATGATCCAGAAACCTGAAGCCCTCTTTTCTGGACCATTTTTCCAGCCAAGCATTCATATGCTTGATCCTACCATTATGGAACTTATTTGCCCGAGGCACAGGGAGTAATCCAGAGATCACCACCTTGGATGTTCTATTCTTTAGTTTGTTCCCCAACTTTTGATATTCACCCTGTAGCATCTCAGCCCTTTTTTTTACCAATATCATGGATCCCAACCTGGACCACCACTTCTGGATGTTCCCCTTCCCCCTGAAGAATTTTATCCACCCGTTTCATGATGTCCAAGACCGTTGCACCAAGCAGGCAACATACCATCCTTGACTCCCGTCTTCTGTTGCAGAAACGCCTGTCTATACCTCTCACTGTGGTATCCCCTATGACAACAGCATTGCTCCTGTTACCTATGTCCCCCTGTTCAACCAATTGTTTTTTACTGTCCTCCCTGGAGATATCAACACTCTCAATGTTCAGTACAGAGTACTGGTTTCAGAGTGCTACACTATTGGGGGCATTCTGCCCTGCCCATCCCCTCTTCCTACCATGCCGGATAGTCATCCAGTCATTTTCCATCTGAACCCTCGGTGGCTGTGGGGTGACCACCTCCTGAAGTGTCTGGTCCATCACATCCTCACATCCGTTGTAGAAGCTTGTAGCCCAAGGCTCCGTCACCACTCTCTCAGGGGTCCCATTGTCTGCAGGACTGATAAAACCATCCTGTCCAGGAGCATTAACCAGATGCAAGCATCTCCTCAGCCTCAGGGGAGTAATGGTTTCCTCCATCATACTGTCCAGGAACCCCTCACTGTCCCTGATGGAGCGCAGTGTCTGCACCTCGGCTTCCAGCTCAGCTTCTCTCAGCTGGAGCTTCCTGAGTTGCAGACACTTGCTGCAGATGAAGTTGCCCGGGCTCAGGGCGCCCTCCATTAACTCCCACATATAATAATAATAATAATAATCCTTGCATTTGATATAGCGCTTTTCACGTCGGGAGGACGTCCCAAAGCGCTTCACAGAACATACTGCAAAGTGAATTGACTGTATATTTGTGGGCGAACGCGGCAGCCAATTGCGCACAGCAATGTCCCACAAACAGTCGTAGATTGAAAATGACCAATTTATTATTTTTTTTTTGGTTTTTGAAGGGATTATTATTAGGCTCTGTGTGGAGTAAGGAAACTTGCCCGAGGTTTCGCCCTCTGCCTGGAATTGAACTCAGGTCTCTCACTTGCAAAGCGAGTGTTCTAACCACTGAGCTACAGGACTCCACATGTCACTGTCCTCGCATTTCACTTGCCACATCATCTTCTCACACAGTGTTTTCAATATATATTTTTTTTATTTTTGTTTTTTGTTTTTGTTTGTCGATGTCTCCCTGGTTCTGCTGTTGAAAATGACGTACACCAATGTCACCTTTTCTTCTTTTCGTAGCTCCGACAGTTCCCAGCTTACCTCACTCAACCTGCTCACGAGGCCCAGGCTCCGCCTCCGCTCTGTCCTGACTCCTCTCCCCGAAAAGTGAATTGACTTGTATATTTGTGGGTGAAATGCGGCTGCCAACTGCTCACAGCAGTGTCCCACAAACAGTCGTGGATTGAAGTGACAAATTTTATTGTTGTTTTCTTGAGGGATTACTATCAGGTGCATGGAGTAAGGAAATTTGCCCAAGATTTTGTCCTTCCGGGAATCAAACCCAGGTCTCTCGCTTGCGAGGCAAGTGCTCTAACCACTGAGCTACAGGACCATTCAAAAAGAGAAGGGTGTTTCTCTCCCCGATGTCCTGGCCAATAATGCCCAAATAAAATTGGTCATGGCTGCAAGTGGGACATTGCCTTGCACAACTGGCTACCACAAAAATACAGTCACTCAACTTTACAGTATATTCTGTGAAGCGCTTTGAGGTGTCTCAACGATGTGATAAGGTGCTACGTCAAATGCAAGGATCATTGTTATTATTATGATTATTATCGTTATAAATTATGATATTATTAATTATTGTAATATATTTATTATTCGTTACTGCAGTTTGCACTGATTGACCAGGTTTGTGGGTTTCTGCTCTCAGATTCGGAAGCAGCAGAAGGAGCATGGTGAGCTGATGGAGCAATATCGCATCAAACAACAGTGTCCAATGCCCTCACCCACTCTGCTGTCCGCAGTGCCCCCCCAGGCCCTGCCCGTTCAGGGGGGGCCTCCAGCCTCGCAGCTTCAGCCCCCCATCGCCGGCCAGCCCACCCCACCCAGGATGCCTAATGCGCCCCAGCCCCACCACCTCCCCATGGCAATCGCTCGGATGCAGCCTCCGGGGGCATCTCCAGCCTCCGTCCCGCCTCCCGCCATGGCGAGCGGCCCTCCACCGCCCGCCCAGGGAGGGGGCACCACGCCCGGCCCCGCCCCTGGCCCCCAGCAGCAGCCGCCCCCGCGGGTGGAGTTCGATGACAACAACCCATTCAGCGAGAGCTTCCAGGAGCGGGAACGTCGAGACAGGCTGCGGGAGCAGCAGGAACGTCAGAGGATCCAGTTGATGCAGGAGGTGGAGCGACACAGAGCCTTGCAGAAGCGAATGGAGATGGAGCAACAGCAACAGCAGCAGCAAGGAATGCTGGCAGACATGAACAGATCCACTTTGTGCCAAATGCCCTACTACAACAACGACCTGCCCCACGACTTCCTACACTCCCCGAGACCCCAGGGGCATGCGCCTGCAGGACCAGCCCCCCGCTTCCTGGGCTCCCCCCCGGCTTTCATATCGTGCGGGGAGCGGCGGCTCCAGGGGCAACCAGGGTTCGGCCCCGAAGCTCCTATCCACCACCCTCCCCCCGCCCTCGGCTTCCTGCAGGCCCAGCCCAGGATCCCCTTCCCCGCCGGGGGGGCCGGGCTGCCTCAGGGCAGGGGCGAGCCAGCACCATTTGGCTCGGACACCACCGCGCACCTTCCCGGCCAGTCCCTCATCCAGCTCTACTCCAACATTATCCCTGAGGAGAAGGGGAAAAAGAAGCGGAGTCGGAAGAAGAAGAGCGAGGGAGAGGAGGGGGAACCGGTCCACACGCCCTCCACCCCTCGCTCGGACCACACCGCCCCACCCACCCCCACACCCAGCTACTCGGACTCTGCCTCCATCCCCTCCCTCGGAGAGCCAGGGGCGGAGCCAGACTACCGCGGCCCAGAGCAGCCCCCAACTGAGTTGGAGAGACAACTCTCAGCACAGACCCTGGGACCCCACACCAGCTCCAACCCTGACCCACCCCACGCCTGTCCTGGCGAAGTGAAGACAGAGCGGGCTGATGAGGTCCAATGCCAAGGGCAGCCCAAGGCGGAGTCAGCAAGCCCGGTGAAGGTAGAGGAGGATAATAAGGCTACCGTGCCCCCGTCCCCCACCGAGCAGAGCGCAGCCCCCCTGCCAGGAGCCAAGCAGGAGTTGGGAAACGAGCTCCTGAAACATCTGCTGAAGAACAAAAATCCTCCTCTCCTCCCCCACCAGAGGCCTGAGGACGGGCCCTACCTGGAGAGCAAGATGGCAAGGAAGCTAACAGAGGGGCTGGTAAGAATCTCCCATGCTCGCTTCTGCTATCCTCATTGTGCATGTGGCTCCTAGACGCTGCCCTGCGCGAAGGGCGCTGTATAAATGCAAGTTGTTGTCGCTGAGGCCCTCCTGATTGGCTCGCACCAGCACCTCTGCACCTCAGACTCTGGCAGCATCAATCTCCATGGTTGCACACGACAACTCACCAAGCCAGTCAGGAACCTGGGTGTCGTGTTCAACCCTCAACTGTCTTTTCTTCCCCACATCCAAGCCATGACCCACTCTGCCTTCGCTCACCTCCATAATATCGCCCGACTCCGCCACTGCCTCACCCCTCAGGCCACTGAAACTCTTGTTCATGCCTTCATCACCTCCAGGCTCGACTATGCAAATGCCCTGCTTGTCGGCCTTCCCAACTCCTCCCTCCACAGGCTGCAGATAGTCCAGAACTCTGCAGCCCCTGTCCTCTCCTGCACCAAACTCCATGACCCCATCTCTCCCACTCTCGCCCGACTCCATTGACTCCCTATCCTTCAGAGGATTCAGGTCAAGATCCTGGTCCTCACAGACAAAGCCCTCCATGGCCTCTCCCCACCCTACCTCTGTGACCTCCTAACCCCCTACCAACCCGCCCACTCCCTCCGCTCAGCCGGCTCTGGCCTGGTCCACATCCCCCGACCCACCATTGGCGGGAGAGCCTTCAGCTATTCTGCCTCCAACCTCTGGAATTCCATCCCCCAATCACTCCACCTCGTCCCCTCCTCAGCCTCCTTCAAATCCCGCCTCAAAACCCTCTTCTTTGACCATGCCATCGGTCACCCCCCTTCCCCTCCCCTCCCTTCTCCCTCCCTGACCCCAGCTCGGGTCTGAAATGCTGTACATTGTCCAGCGTCTTGGGATGTCCTCCTGATGTGAAAGGCACTATGCAAATGTAATCTTGTTGTTGTTGACCTGTGTTTCCATTAACCCGGCGACCCACCATCCTTAGCAGGTAGAGAAGTCCTAGTTCGACAAGCAAGGCGAAGCTTGCTGGACAGTGCTCTCAATGGCAAGCTGTGTGGTTTTAGCTGGTTGGACTCCAGTAATTACCCCAACGCACACTCTAGGTTCCCAACTTACCAACTGGCTCTTACCAACCTTCCTGAGCCTAATACTTTCCAGAGTCAGATAAGCAGGGTGTCACCTCCAGGAGAGAATGTGCATTCTTTTTCAGACCTGGGGAAATTCCATGTATAGGTGGATGGAACTCAGTCTGGTCTAGGTACTCCAAAGTGATTGGCTTTCACATGTGGCAGACACCCATTGCCCCACCCCCCCCACCACAAAAATATAGACTTTTTTTAATAATCAAAATAGCTCTCCCTCCCTTCTCCATGGAGATCTGTAATTCAGAAACACTCACTCTGTCCCAGTCTTGATCTGATCTCGACCAGAGACACCCACACAGAAGCCGTTGTACCTGCTAGATGTGGCACTGGCATTGCTGGTTAGCCTGCTTCATTTTGATTTTATTACAATCAGCCTGGCCCAGTCGGTAGCACTCTTGCCTCCAAGTCAGATGTTTGTGGATTCAAGCCCCACGTAAGGGAGCTCATATAGTCGAGGTTGATACTCCAATGCTGTGCTAGGGGAACCCTGCATTGTTGGAGGTGCCGTACTTCGGATTAGACATTAAACCAAGTTCCTGCCTGTGACTATTCAGGTGGACATTAAAGATCGAGTGGCCTCCTGTGCTGTATAATTCTATGATTCTCTAATTCTGTGATCCCCTGAAAGGAGTTTCTCCTGGTTTCTTGGCCAACAGCCCTCCCAAATAAAATTGGTCATTCACTTCACGGCTTGTGGATCATTGCTGTGTGCAATTGGCTGCTGGGTTTTGCTTTAGTGTATATTCTGAGAAGCACTTTGAGACGTCTCAACGACGTGATAAGGCGCTATATCAAATTCAAGATATATTAATATTAAGAGTTGGTTTTGGTCCATGCCAGATGCCTGTGGATTGCAGAATGCAAACTGCACCATCTGGGTTTTCTTTCGATGGGAAGGTGTGTCAGTTGCAGAAGAGGGAGCTTGAGGAGGAGACGAAGAGGCCCAAAACCAAACGGGGGCAGAAGATGGGTGAGAAGGCTCTGCCCCGCTCCAAGAAACGCAAGAAAGCTGAGGAGGACAGGCAGGCGGTTTACCCCAACACCGATGCTCTGATGAACCAGCTAAAGCAGGTAAGCGGGTGACCACACCTGGTCTCTTAAATGCTTTGCCTCAAAACAAAAATTCTTGGGGTTTGCTATAGAAGCCCAAAGAGCACGCTCGCCTCCCAAGTCAGAGGACACAGTTTCAATTCACAGGTGGGGCGAAACCTTCGGCAAGTTAGTCCTTGCTATAACAACTGCAAGGATAATAATCTTTGCATTTGATATAGTGCCTTATCACGTTGTTGAAACATCTCAAAGCACTTCACAGAATATACTGTGAAGTGAATTGACTATTTATTGGATCAAACAGAGCAACATTTCACAAACAGTAGTCGGTTGAGTGACCAAATTATTATTTTATTTATTTTTGGGGGGGACGGGTTTGTTTCCCGGGTGGGGCGATACCTTGGACAAGTTTCCTTACTCCACGAGCAGTAAATTTACCTAGCAATAAATAGTGCGCAATTGGCTGCCTGCTGTGTGCAATTGGCTGCCGTGTTTCACCTACAAAATACAGTCAACCATTCCCATCCGCCTAAAAACAGCTACAATCACCCCAATCCTGAAAAAACCTTACCTGGACCCATTCCTGACTTCTAACTACCGACCCATCTCAAGCCTCCCTTTTCTTTCAAAGGTCCTTGAAAGAGTCGTTGCTCCCTCCTACTAGCACTCCCTTCACGAGCCCCTTCAATAGGCTTTCCATGCTGCTCATAGCACGGAAACTGCTCTGGTCAAGGTCATAAACAACATTTTGTCCATCTGTGATCAGGGCTCCCTCTGCTTCCTCGACCATTCTTCTGCCTTCGATACCGTGGATCACTCCATCCTTCTCCACCACCTCTCCTATCACCTCAACCTTCAATGTTCTGTCCTTGAATGGTTCAGGTCTTATCTCTCACACGGTCTCCAATTTGTCTCCGCCAACGGTTTCTCTTCCAGTCCCCGCACAGTCTCATTTGGTATTCCTCGGGGCTCTGTCCTCGGTCCCTTCCTCTTCAACCTCTACTTGCTCCCGCATGGTGACATCATCCGCAGACATGGGGTCAACATCCACATGTACGCGGATGACACCCAACTCTATCACTCTGCCTCCACCCATGATTCCAGGACAACTGATGTCCTGACAGACTGTCTGTCAGACACCAAGTCCTGGATGAGAGCCAACTTTCTACAGCTGAATGCAAAACCGAGGCCCTCATGATTGGCTCCCGCCAGCACCTCAGGCACTGGCAATGCCGGCATCCACGGTTGCTCACTCCACCTCACCAAGCCAGTTAGGAACCTGGGCGTCTTCTTCGACACTCAACTTCTACCCCATATCCGTGCCATGACGCGTTCTGCCTTCCCCCACCTCCGCAACATAGCCTGACTGCCAATGCCTCACCCCTCATCCCGCCGAAACCCTCATACATGCATTCACGGTTCAACTACAGAAACTCCCTCCTTGTCAACCTCCCCAATTCTTCCCTCCACAAGCTGCAGATCATCCAGCTTGTGTCCTCTCCCACACCAGGCTCCATGACCCCATCACCCCCACCCACTCCCAACTCCTCTGGCTCCCTATCCCTCAGAGGATAGAATTCAAAATCCTCATCCTCACTTTCCAAACCCTCCACTGCCTTGTCCCCTCCTACATCTCTGACCTGCTGACCCCCTATCAACCTGTTCGCTCCCTCTGCTCAGCATATTCCAGCCTGCTCCAGGTCTTCCGCCCGAACCGCCCTACCATCGGTGGCCAGGCTTTCAGCCTCTCTGCCCCACTCTTTGGAACTCCATCCCACAATCCCTTCACCTTGCTCCTTCTCTTGCCTCCTTCAAGGCACGATTCAAGACCCTCCTTCTTGACCATGCCTTCAGCCGCTGTCTTACCCCCTCTTCCCCCATTCACCCCAAACCTGTCCCCCACACTCAGGTTCTGATCGACTGTTCGACGACATCAACCTCTCCTTGTCCACAGGTTCAGTTCCCAGCCCCCTAAAAACAACAGTCATCAGCCCCATCTTGAAAAAACCTTCCCTGGACCCATCCCTCTTCCCCAGCTACCGCCCCATCTCTAACCTCCCATTCCTCTCCAAGGTCCTGGAATGAGTCGTTGCGTCCCAGCTCCACTTCTTTCTTACTCGCCATTCCCTCTGAACCCCTCCAATCCGGCTTCCGCGCTGCCCATAGCATGGAAACAGCCCTGGTCAAAGTCACTAATGACATTCTGAACATCTGTGATCAGGGTTCCCTCTGCCTTCTTGTCCTCCTCAACCTCTCTGTCGCCTTCAACACTGTCGACCACTCCATCATCATACACCACCTTTCCTCTTATTTAATCTTCGCGGACCTGCCCTTGCCTGGGTCGATTCCTATCTCTCTCACCATCTCCACTTTGTTGCCTCTAACGGTTTCTCCTCCAGCACCCGCACTGTCACGTCTGGCGTCCCCCAGGGCTCTGTCCTTGGCCCTCTCCTCTTTAATGTCTACATGCTCCCTCTTGGTGACATCATCCGCAGAAATGGGGTCAACTTCCATATATATGCGGATGACACCCAACTCTATATTTCTGCCTCCACCCAGGACCACTGCTGTCCTGACAGACTGCCTGTCGGACATCAAGTCCTGGATGAGGGCAAATTTCCGACAGTTGAATGTGAACAAGACTGAGGCCCTCCTGATTGGCTCACACCAGCGCCTCAGCGCCTCAGGCTCTGGCAGCATCAACCTCCATAGTTGCACACTTCAACTCACCAAGCCATCAGGAACCTGGGTGTCTTGTTCGACTCTCAACTGTCTTTTCTTCCCCACATCCAAGCCATGAACCGCTCTGCCTTCCCTCACCTCCATAACATCGCCCGACTCCGCCACTGCCTCACCCCTCAGCCGCTGAAACTCTTGTTCATGCCTTCATCGCCTCCAGGCTCGACTATGCAAACGCCCTGCTTATCAGCCTTCCCAACTCCTCCCTCCACAGGCTGCAGATAATCCAGAACTCTGCAGCCCGTGTCCTCTCCCGCACCAAACTCCGTGACACCATCTCCCCCATTCTCACCCGACTCCATTGGCTCCCTATCCTTCAGAGGATCCAGTTCAAGATCCTGGTCCTCGGCCTTGCCCCACCCTACCTCTGCGACCTCCTAACCCCTTATCAACCCGCCCGCTCCCTCCATTCAGCTGGCTCCACATCCCTCGACCCACCCGCACCACCATTGGTGGGAGAGCCTTCAGCCACTTTGCCCCCAACCTCCGGAATTCCATCCCCCAATCACTCCGCCTCGCCCCCTCCTTAGCCTCCTTCAAGTCCCGCCTCAATACCCTCCTCTTCAACCATGCCATCGGCCACCCCCCTTCCCCTCCCCTCCCTTCTTCCCCCCCTGACCTTTGCTCGGGTCTGAAATGCTGTACACTGTCCAGCGACTTGGGATGTCCTCCCGATGTGAAAGGCACTTTACAAATGTAAATTTGGTGTTGTTGTCAATCAACTTTCCAGTATATCCTGTGAAGTGCTTTGAGATGTTTCAACAATATGATAAGGCACTTTTTTAAAGTGCAAGAATTTTTATTATTCAATTAAATTAAAATTAAAATTAAATTAAAATAATTAAAATTAAATTATTAAATTTTTATTATTAAATTTTTAAAGTGCAAGAATTTTTCTTATTATTATTGCAGCTAGGTAAACAGAGGCGCGTGGAGTAAGGAAACTAGCCTAATGTGTTTCCCTGCCCAGGAATCAAAGCTGTGTCCTCTCACTTGCGAGGCAAAGACTTTAACCAATATGCTACAGTGCGCAATTGGCTGCCGCGTTCGCCCACAAATATACAGTCAATTCACTTTACAGTGTGTTCTGTGAAGCGCTTTGGGACGTCCTCCTGACGTGAAAAGCGCTATATCAAATGCAAGGATTATTATTATTATTATTATTACAGGACTGCACAATTTCCTGCCTTGTAAAAGTCTTTCTAGCTGAAATTGATGCTTGCACGCAATTGGAATCGGGGCGACATTTCATTATAAATTGCCTTTGTTTCCTCTCCAGCAATTGACTCTTCTCCCCCTGATGGAGCCAACCATCGGGGTGAACTTTGCCTATTTCCCTCCGTATGGCAGTGGGCAGCTCAATGATGAAAATCAGCTGATGGGATCTTTTGGCAACGGTGCCCTGGACGGGGTCCCAGATTACTATTCCCAGCTCATTTACAAGGTGAGTCGGCAGCGACAGAACCTTGGGCTTTCACCAGCAGCAGTACTCGCATTCTGACCTGGAAATGAACTGAATGAGACAATTTTTTGCATCCAATCATGAGGTCCATTGGACCAGAAGGCAGGGCCAGGCGGCAGGCCAGAAAACCTTCTTAAGGCAAACCTCTCCTGTGATTATGTGTAGCTTTGTGATGATCAACAACAACAGTATTTACGTTGCACCCCCTCACACAGAGTAAAATTCCAAATTGGTGGGAATAAGAGATGACACGTGCACAATGCAAAAGTCGTCTGGCTTCACTAAGAGTGAAAATGTTTGTGTTAAAGTGCCGTATTTTACCAAACCCGTAGTGAATTTAAGACACTTAGCTACATGCGTGAGTGAGTACTTTTATCAGTTAGGTTGAGTCTTGCAGTAACCTTGAATAAGTATCTTTTTTGTTGTGATAAGCTATGACATTTCTCGCTTATCTCTCTTTCCAATTGCCTCTCCACATCCCCTTCATACGAAGAATGGTACAGGCTGAGAGACGGATATTATAATTATTATCTGTGAAGCGCTTTAAGATGTCTGGATGACTATATCAAATGCAAGGATTATTATTATTAATTTGTCTTTCTCTTCCAACACAGCAGAACAACCTGAGCAACCCTCCCACCCCACCCGCTTCCTTGCCCCCGACCCCGCCCCCAGTGGCCCGGCAGAAGATGGTGAACGGCTTCGCCACCACCGAGGAGCTGACCAGTAAAGCAGGAGTCATCGGACACCACGACGGTAAGGGAGCCGGTCGTTTGATCGCATGCTTCCGTCCTGTTCCAGAATTAATGGTCGCCAGGTTAGGCAACAAGTCCCCCTGAACTGTTTCACTGTGAACTAATCGCATGGTTAGCGGCCAGGACATAAACCCAAGCAAACCGTATGTAAGCATTTTAATACAACAACAATTCGCACTTATATAGCGCCTTCCACGCAACGTAGTGTCTCAGAACAATACAATCATAGAAAGTTTACAGCACCTCAATGGCACTCTCGTCCCACGTCAGGACTTTAGGGTCACAGTCCAGTGCAGTACTCTGAGGGAAGGGGGGTGGGGGAGTGATGTACCTTCAAAGGTGCCATCCCGCGGACGATTTGTAAAGCCGAGGTCCCGTCTATCTATTCAGGTGACGTTAAAGGTCTCACCAAACATCAAAATGAGCAGTGTTTCTCGCTGGTGTCCAGGCCAACAATAATAAACTAGTCAATTCACATCATGGCTGATAGAGGGACTTTACTTGCCGACAAATACACAGTCACTACACTAGACACCAATTCCTGTGAAACAATATTCAAGATGCTTTGACGTTATAGATACTGTATCAAATGTAAGGATTATTATTATTGACCTTTCAGCCCATTGTGTTTTCCTAGTGCTCATTCCCCCACTGGAGCTATTCACTGTTCCCCTGCTCAAATCCCGTCCCCCTGCTCATTCTCTAAACCATTTTTTTTCTCATCAAACATTTTATTTGATTCCCTTTCAGTGTTGTTAATCGGATCAGCAACAACAGTCTTTTGTGGTAATGCGTTCCTTAATCTCTTAATCCTCTGTGTTCAATGAAAATATCCTAATAACCTCCTTTTTAGTTTGTGAAAATAATCCTCATAGAGTTTTTTGCATCCTTGTAACCGAACTGCAGATCAGTGGACATAGTCTCTGCTGACAACCTCTGCGTCAATCCCCCCTCAACACACACACATTGCCTTTGCTTCCTTGATCTTGTGCAGTCTAGTACTTTTCTAGCACCACACGTACGACTGGAGATTAGAGATATTTGGATGAGGCGAACAAAATGAATTTGAATGATTTGTCCTAAGCGTTGGCTTCAATGTGAGGCATCAACCTCAAGGGACAATCTGTGGGACTGAACCTAAAACTCCATGACCCTATCATCCCAATCCTCCCCCACCCCAGAGGATAGAGTTCAAAATCCTTGTCGAAGCCTTCAGCATATTGCTCCTCCCTACTTCTGTGACCTGCTAACTCCGCTCAGCAGGCTGAGGCCTCCTCCATGTCCCCTGCCTGGCCCATCCCACCATCGACGGTCAGGCCTTCAGTCTTTCTGCCCCCACCCTTTGGAACCAATCTCACAGTCCTTTACCTCCTTCAAGGCCCATTTCAAGACTTCGACTATGCCTTCCTACCCCTATCCTCTCCGCTCTCCATCCCTCCTGATCCAAACTCCCAGCTTGGATCCACATTCCTGACTGTCCAGCACCTTGGGATTTCCTCCCAATGTGAAAGGCGCTATACAAATGTAAATAGCTGCTTTTAGAGGAGGGTTCAGTGCTGGTTCCGAGTGACACACCCTCCCATAGAGTATTAGAATCAAGTTGATCCTCAGTGGCGTGCTGGGCTGGGTGGTCCGGTTCCAGAGCTGAGCCAGGCAAGGGGTGACTGCCCAGCCAGACCGGCTTGTTGGCAGTCCCTGGCGACAAGATTCTGGGACTCGGATTGGAACTTTGACCTTAAAAAAGGAAGGAAAAGAGGGAAAAAATAGGAAGGGAGTTGTGGGGGGGGGGAACTGAGAAAAGGAGAGAATTTTGTATCTGAAGTGAAATAGTGAATATTCAATTAATCAAAATGAAACTGCCATAAGAATATAAGAATTGCTAGACGAAAGAATACCAAGGTCCATCTAGTTCGCCTTTCACCCTCCTGGTAGTCGCATGCACATGTCCCAAACTGTGAACTGTATCCCAAGATATTATTTCCTAAATGAAATCTATCTCATTTGCTTTTCAAAGAAAGCAATAAATGCCAATAAATACTCTACGTTTTCAGTAACGAAGGGACTCGGACCCAAACAGTACCAGCTGCCTTTCCGACCTGAGGACGATTTGCTAGCAAGAGCTATAGCTCATGGACCCAAAACAGTAGACGTTCCAGCCTCCCTCCCAACTCCACCTCACAACAACCAGGAGGAATTAAGGTGGGACATTGAATTGTACTCGTGAATTACACTGATTAGTGCTGAACTGTTTTTTTCACGCACACAATAAGGTCATTGCCTGAGTACAACAGCCAGAACAACTTGCATTTATATAATAATCCTTGCATTTGATATAGCGCCTTATCATATCATTGAGACGTCTCAAAGCGCTTCACAGAATATACTGTAAAGTGGTTAACTGTGTATTTTGTGGGTGAAACACGGCAGCCAGTTGCACACAGCAATGTCCTACAAACTGCCAATTGAGTTAGTGACCAATTTTATTTTGGGTGATTGTTGACTAGGACCCAAATCTTATGGCATTATTGGAAAAAATAAAGGAGTTTCTCCTGGTGTCCTGGCCAACAATCCCTCAAATAACATTGGTCATTATTTCATGGCTGTTTGTGGTGTGTGCAAATTGACTGCTGGATTTGCAAATGGAACACACAGTCAATTTACTTTGTAGTAATTCCTCAAAGCGCTTTGAGACGACTAAGGTGCTATATCAAATGCAAGGATTAGTATTATCATTTATCTGTCTAATTTCCCATTCAATCGAACGTTTGAGCTCTGCTTTAACGGGAATTGGTTCCGTTCCAACCGTTCGGTATTGAATTTTTATTTTTCTCACCTCCCTGTAATTCCTTTGGAATTGAGCCAAAGCCATTAACATTGGGTGGTCCTAGCTGGACAAGCAGTTAGAAAGCTTGCCAGACAGTATTCTCAATGGCAAGCTATACGGTTTCAGCTGGTTAAATTCCATCATTACCCCCAATGAACACTCTGGGGTACCCAAGCCTTGGCTGACTGTTGCCTAAATCTCTGGAACTAGGTAAGCTTGTTGTTGTTGTTGTCGTAATCTTGTTGTTGTTGTAAGCAGGATGCATTCCATTCCAGACACAGGGAAATTTGCCTGTGTGGGTGGGTGCCATACATATGTAGATTTTTTGGTTTGGTTTGGATGCTTTTAACGGTGGCAATGGTTTCCACGTGTTTTAGACACCCGGCTGACAAAAAAACCCACATTATGATGATCTTAAATCTTGCACCCTGTCTGGTGGACATTATTAACAGGAACATCAACTCTTGCATTTATAAATAAAGCACCCTTCACATGGGATAGAGTCTCGGAGTGCTTAAACCTTAATGTTACATTTGCTATTCCAAGGTGAAGCTGGAACAAAACGGGCAGAAACTGAGCTTGGTTTGTTGTGCAGAGAGAGACAGTGCGATGAATCAACGTGCAGAATTTTTTTCCCAGTGGTCAGAAATCTGCCTTGACTTTTTCCTCCTTCCACCCCACTTTCACTGCAGAGGCCAGGATCACTGTGACCAGGATGACTGTGGTGACTCTTCGGACAGCTTTGTCGCTTCGTCATCGCCGGAAAGCGTGGTGGGGTTGGAGGTCAGCAGATATCCTGACTTATCCCTCGTGAAAGAAGAGCCACCGGACCCTGCCTCATCCCCAGTCATTCCTATTCTGCCGAGCTCCGCTGGCAAAGGTAATCATGCACACATTTTCACCGTGAGGGGGAGATCTATTGCTACTGATGAGCTGCTAGGAAGAAATTCCACCTAGGTCTAGATTTACTCTTGTTTACCTAGAAATACACTACACTTCACTGAAAAAAATAATAATCCTTGTGTTTGACAACGCCTTATATCATTGTCGAAGCACTTCAAGGATTTGATTGTACAGCTAGACTTTTCTGTCATTCTGGCTCAGTGGGGTAGCACTGTGGGAGATCCTGTCCTTAAAATGAAACGTTAAACCGATGCTCTGCTCAGGTGGATGTTAAAGATCCCATGGTGCAATTCAAGAAGAGAGGGAGTTTCTCTCTCCAAGTGTTCTGGCCAACAATGCCCCAAATAAAATTGGTCACTCACTTCATTGCTGTTTGTGGATGTTGCTGTGCGGAAATTGGCCGCTGCGTTTGTTCACACAACACAGTCAATCCATTTTACGACATATCCTGTGAACTACTTTGGCACATCTTCTGATCTGAAAGTCTCCATACCAATTGTGAGGTTGTTATTATTTTGTAGGCAAACGCGACAGTCAATGTACACACAGCAAATGTCCCACAAACAGCTACAAAGTGAATGATCAATTTTATCTGAGACCAGTATGCCATGGTTCAACTCCCATCTCTTTTTCGAATAGTGCCACAGGATGTTTAACAACACTGAACAGGCACAAGCGGGTCCTCGGTTTATTCCTTCATCCGAAGGACAACACCTCCAACAATATTGTGTTGACTCTCTTCCCCCAATGTGATCTCAAAGCACTTCCCAAGGAGTAGTGGGTGGGGCGTACCAAGTAATTGTAGTTTATCTTACTGTTTCAGGTTCTGAAGCCAGGCGGAATGACATGAAGCTGGAAGCCATGTCAGGAAACACAGGGTCTATGTTTTTTGGGAGTCAGTTTGGACAGTCTCAAAACGGGCCCAAGATTGGCCTGGTGTCAGTAGCACTCACACTGACTCCTACAGCGGCTGAGGTGAGTCCATGATCTTTTCTACATAGAGTAAATTTAAGATTACAACAACAGCATTTCTATAGCACCCTTCAAGCAGGGTAGTGCCTCTGAGTGCTTAACAGTGGTGGAACCTGTTGCCGAACCGGGGAGAGAGAGAGTTGGTGACCATAGGCATGGTCAAAGAGAAAGATCTTCAAGTATGAACTGAAAATGGGCAAAGAGGGGGCAAGGTGGAGGGATTGTAGCAGAGAGTCACAGAATTTTGGAGCGTAGTAGCTAGTAGCACAGCCACCAATAAATGGGACATGCAGGAGACCGGAGCCAGTCGAGCAGAGGCAGCTGGTCAGAGAGGTAGAGAGGTTAAAGGTTTCATAGCACTATTTGAAAAGAGAAGGGAGTTTCTCCTGGTATCCTGGCCAACAATCCCCCAAATAAAATTAGTTATGCATTCCATGACTGTTTGTGGGACATTGATGTGCACAATTGATTGCCGTGTTTCTCCCATAAAATATACAGTCAGTTCACTTCACAGTATATTCTGTGAAACGCTTTGAGACGTCTCGAAGACATGATAAGGCGCTATATCAAATGCAAGGATTATTATTATGATTCAATATTGTGGTGAATTCTCTCTCTTTCTCTTTGGGAATTGTACATGACCCTCCAGGACATAAATGGAGTAGTAGCAGCCGTGGCTGACCTTCTTCGAGTCAAAGTTCCCAACAGTTACGAGGTCAGCAATGCCAGTGAGCCACCATCCATGGCTTTGCTCAACACATACAAGTACAACCAAGCTCCGGAGGGCAGACCTCCATACAGCCCCCATCCGGGGCTCACTGGACCCATCCGGATAGTGAGGTCGGCTGGACAGCAGGGACTCCCCTACGTGACGCTCCCCGGTGGTAAGTGTGTGTTGGTCTCGTGCTTGTGTCGTGTGCACCCGCGGGTGAGAAAGCTTAGAAAGAAACAAGCATGCCTTGTTCCAAACAGTTCGCTGATGCTTCATAGTGGAGAGTTTCTGCTTTATATTTAACAATAATCTTTGCATTTGATGAGGTACCTTATTACTTCACCGGAGCATCTCACTGAGCTTCACTATGAATTGTAGTATAAATACCTTCTCCGTCTATCTGTCCCTCTGTCTATCTGTCCCTCCGTCTATCTGTCCCTCCGGCCCTCCATCTATCCCTCTGCTTTTTAAATATCCCAGTTGATTCTACCTCTGTGGCCTTGGTTGTGGTTATGGTTTTATATAATACTTGTGCACATTGTTCTGTCCCCGTGTAACAGGCACCATCTCAATGAAGACAGATCATCGAGCAGTTGTGGACAGCTCTGCCAGCACTAAGCCCCAGTGGTGCCGTCATTGTGACGTGGTGGTGCTCGGTAACGGTGTGCGGAAAACTGTTATGGATCTTCCGTGTCACAAACCGGCAAGTCTCTCTGTAAATCACCTTCACAAAGCGTTAAGATGCTAAACCTATATAAACTTACACCATAGAAGAAGGCCATTTGGCCCAATGTGTCTGTACCGGCTCTTTTAAGAGTGATCTTTTTGGTTCCATTTATCTGCCCTTTCCCCATAAGGTTTTATTCCTTTTTAGATATTTATCTAGTTCCCTTTAGAAAACTAATATGCATTTTGCCTTAACTAATATTCCTGTGAGGGCATTCCATATCTAACCACTCTGTGCTTGGAAAATTTCTTCTAATCTCCCCATTTGCTGGATTACTAATTTATTAAATCAATGCTTTCTAGTCACTGACTCACTGTCCAGTAGAAATTATTTCTCTCTATTGACTATCAAAATCTCATAACTTTAAAGACGTCTATCAGATTACCCCATAACCTTTCTTGTTCCAGCGAAAAATATTCCAGATCCTCCAGTCTCCGCTTATAGGCCAAATCATTCATCCTCTGTATCATCTTAGTAAATTTCCTCTCAGGATCACCTCTATCTCCTTGACATCTTTGGATGACCAAAGCTGGACACAATTGCAGTCAACTTACGTTTTACATGTTTTGATACAGGAACTTATCATGTCAACAAAATGTCTCAAAACATTTCACAGGATTTTACTGTAAAGTGTGGTGACTGTGCAGGCACATTTTGTAGGCAAATGCAGCAGCAATTTGCACACAGCAATGTCCCACAAACAGACATGATGTGGATGAACAATTTTATCTGGGGAATTACGTGGCCATAACACCAGGAGAAATTCCCTTCTATAAGAATAGTGCAATGTGCTCTTTGATGTCAAAGGTTTAACTGAAGTGCTCTTCCCAGCACTACACTGAACATCAGTCGGGTCTGTGAGCTCAAAGCCCTGATACAGGGCTTGAATTCACAACTCCTGTCCCAGAGTCGAGGGAAAATGTTTGCCATCGTACTTTTATTTTCTTAAGTTTCATTTTAAACAACCACAGGAAATTCAGCTTACAAATTAAGACTGAATTCAAGAATTTCCACACCACCCTAGATTTCAAGGCCATGTCTTGAGGCTAGGACCATGTTAAATTTTGTGTTAGCCTGGATCAGTCGGTAACTTTATCGGAGATGCCATCCTTTGAATGAGACATTAAATTGAGGCTCTGTCTGACTGTTCAGATGGACGTTAAAGATCCCATGGCGCCATTCAAAAAGAGAAGGGAGTTTCTTCCAGTGTCCTTGTCAATAATACCACAAATTACTCATTTACTTCAGGCAATTTTTTTTATTATGAAAAAGAATCCTGAATCTGTCCTGAAACCATCCTGAGATCTGATAGGCAGGCTGACAGAACATCAGGGGACTGGGGGTCACAAAGGTTTGTGGCTGTCAATGTCAGTAAAAGAAATCCTTGACTTTTTCTTTAGGATTCAAGAGACAGGATGTGGAAAGTGGAGGCTGATATTGTCTTCTGTAGTAACAGCTGTTTTCTGCAATACTCGATGGCCACGCAAGCCAGAACACCCGAGTCAAAGGTAACCACAGCAACAACTACTTGCCTTTAAATATTGCTCCCTTCACTTCAAGTAACGTCTCGGAGCACTTTGCAGAGAAAGGGGGCAGGGGTGGGATAATATAATGATGCTTGCAGTTGATATAGCACCTTATCACGTCGTTGAAACATCTCAAAGCTTCACAGAATATATTGTAAAGTGAATTGACTGTGTATTTTGTGGGCGAAACAAGGCAGTCAATTACACACAGCAGAGTCCCACTAATAGCCATGGATTAAGTGACCAAATTATTATTATTATTTTTTGGAGGGATAGGGCATAGTGGGCGGATTGGAGGGAAAGGAGTTAGGGGAGATGGATTGGAGGGAAAGGAGGGGGAGGGGGGGGGTAAGGAAAGTGGTGGTGAGGAGAAGTGGAGATAGTTTGAAGATGTGGGTTTGAAGGCAGGAGTAAGGAATGAGTCGGAAGCTTGGCCTGTTTCTGTGCTATACAGTCTGTGTAAATCTTTGTAGATTTCAATATTGTGTCTCATTTTTGTTTCATTAGCAGGAAGGGGCGCTTTTAGCAACCGAACAGCCTGTGAAGGAGATGGTGAGAAACACCTTCCATCACTACAACAACAACACCTCTGCCCTGGACGTCCACCGCCTCCCGAGGCTACAGGAGAACACAGCGTCAGCCACCACTCCAGCCCTCTGCTTCCCTCCCGCCTGCTCAGAGCTCCCCAAACAGGAGCCCAAGGCGGAGGACCTCAAGGTGACGGTCAAGCTAAAGCCCAGGCCTCGGTCTCTCCACGGCTCCCTGGACGAAACCCGGCCGGTGCTTAAAAGGTGGAAAGGGATGAAGTGGAAAAAGTGGCGAGTTCAGATAGTCATCCCCAAAGGGCATCTGAAGGTACCCTCGGAGCAGGAGATCGATGAGCTGCTGAAGAGACTGGGGACCTCTCTCAAGCCAGAACCCATCCCTCGAGACTACAGGAGATGCTGCTTCTGCCACGAAGAGGGCGATGGCACGACCGACGGAGCCGCGAGGCTCTTGAACCTGGACCTGGACCTGTGGGTCCACCTGAACTGCGCGCTGTGGTCCACAGAGGTGTACGAGACGCAGGCTGGGGCCTTGATCAACGTGGAGGTGGCCTTGCGGAGGGGCCTGTCCATGAAGTGCGTCTTTTGTCACAAAATGGGGGCCACCAGCACCTGTCACCGCATCCGCTGCACCAATGTCTATCATTTCACCTGTGCCGGCAAAGCCCAGTGCATGTTCTTCAAGGACAAGACCATGTTGTGTCCCCTCCACAAGCCCCGGGGGCCACACGAGCAGGAGCTCACCTACTTTGCCGTCTTTCGGAGGGTCTACGTCCAGAGGGATGAGGTCAAACAGGTGGCCAGCATCGTGCAGCGGGGCGAACGCAACCACACCTTCCGCGTGGGCAGTCTGATCTTCCATGCCATCGGGCAGCTCCTGCCGCAGCAGATGCAGGACTTCCACAGCAGATTGGCGCTCTACCCAGTGGGCTATGAGGCCAGCCGGCTGTACTGGAGCACCCGCTACTGCAACAAGCGCAGCCGCTACTTGTGCTCCATCGAGGAGAGGGATGGGCTCCCCGAGTTCCTGATCCGCGTCATCGAGCAGGGCCATGAGGACCAGGTGCTCAAGGGCAGCTCTCCCAAAGGTGAGGCAAATGGGAAGCTCAGCTCTATTACTAGTCCTTGCATTTGGTGTAGCGCCTCAATGCGATTCTTAAGGTTTACAGTATAGTGGTTTGAATGTGTATTTTGTAGGCAAAAGCCGCAGCCCAATTTTCACACAGCAATAAAATTAATAATCCTTGCGCTCTAGGATGCTACCCTCCGTGAGGGGCGCTATATAAATGCAATTTGTTGTTGCATTTGATATAGCGCCTTATCATGTCGTCAAAGTGCTTCACAGAATATATTGTAAAGTGGATTGATTGTGTATTTTGTAGGCAAACGTGGCAGTCAGTTGTGCACATCAATTGTACTCACTCCACAAACAGCCATGAAGTGAGTGACCTATTTTATTTGGGGGAATTATTTATTGGTCACCAGAAGAAATTCCCTTCTCTTTTCAAACAGTGCCATGGGATCTTTAACATCCACCCAAAAAGGCAGGTAGGACTCTAATTCGAAGGATGAGATATTGCTCAATCATTGGTGGAGTTTAGATGCCAAGATGTCATTCTCAGGCTGGTCAGATTGAGCATGAATACTGCATACAGTACTGGTCACTGTGAGCAACATAATGGGGCTGTCCAGGTACAGGAGGCAGTGCAAAGAAGAGCAGCGAGGATGATCACCAATGTTATGAATTATGAGCAATGATTAGACAAGTTAGGGCTTTCATTCTTGAGAGAAGATGACTCACACAGGTGTAGGTTTAAGTGCTCCGGGACACGACTCCACGTGAACAGCCCTATATAAATGAAAGTTGTCATTGTGTATAAAATTTTAAATGAGATTGAAAAAGTAAACCCAGATCAACACATTGGGATGCAATAAGACAGGAGAACAAGAAAATATATGTTGTTGCAAAGGGCAATTTCAAGACAGACACCAGGAAGTGTTTCTTTACTCGGAGGGTAATCAACAACTGGAAAAGGATGCCAGGAAAGGTGGTTGATGCCAGGATATTGGACTCATTTAAAAAGCAGTTTGATGCAGTGATGGGGCAAAGGGGTGGGTGTTCTGGAGGGATGAGATCAGATGGGCTGAAGGGCCTTCTTCATCCAGACCAATCTTGCAATTGTTTTAAAAATAATTTTTAAAAGACATGTATCCAGTTGTGGTGGCGCACAGCCTCTTTGGTGATGATTATTCCCATTGAATCAGAAGGTTCTGGGTACAATCCCAGCATCGGGACTTGGAACTTGCATCATCTTGGCCAGTGGTGGCCAACCTTTATGGTCGGCCAACAAAATAAATGTTCTTGATTGAATATTTCTTGAAAGAACTGAAAACATACTGCTGATCGAACATGGACTTACTTACACTCGTACCAATGTTCGGGGGGGTGGGGGTTTTCTTGACAGCTCACTGGTCTAGGCTGATGCATCGAGACAGTGCTTGGGGAAGTGCTGCATTTTTGGAGGTGCTGTCCTTCAAATGAGACATTAAACCAATGTCCTATTTATGCCTATTCGAGAGGATGTGAAAGATCCCATGGTGCTATTTGAATAGAGAAGGGTGTTTCTCCCAGTGTTCTGGGCGACAATCCACTCGATAAAATCACTTCACAGCTCTGAGTGGGTCATTACTATACTCAAATCAACTGTCGCATTTGCCTACAAAATACACAGTCACTGCATTTTACAACGAGTCCTGTGGGACGCTTCGGGACATTTCAATGTGGGCTCTGTATCAAATGCAAAATTTTTTATTGTTTAATGTACATTTTAAGCTTACCACTTATCAACTATAGAACAGCTGAATGAAACCAAAAAACAAAGATACTGAGTAAAATAAATTCAATGGACTTGACAGAGAGAGAAAATGCACAGATTCTATTTATTGCATAACTAAAAATGCTGCGTTTTCTATCATTCTTACAGCAGTGTGGGAGAAGCTTCTAGAACCGATAGCCCGGCTCCGGAGAGATGCTGACATGCTGAAACTCTTCCCGGACTATCTGAAAGGCGATGACCTCTTTGGCCTGACTGTTTCTGCAGTCACCCGAATAGCAGAATCGGTAATGCAATTTAAATAACAACCACAACAAATTATACTTGTATAGCACGTTTTATGTCAGGAGGGCATCCTAAGGTGCTAGAGAGACAAGGATTTGCATCCGAGCTGGGGGTTGTGATAAGGAGGGATGGGGTAGGAGGGTGACTGAAGGCCAGGTTGAATAGGAATGTGGGCATTATTTCTGAGGTCTGTAGGATGCTACCCTGCGTGAAGGATGCTATATAAATGCATGTTGTTGAATCTTACAGTTGAAATATGTGTATGCTCTTAAGTAATACTGTACAGTTTTAATTGAATTTTAGTCCAAATCTGTAGGGCGTAAATATATAACAGATAGTAAATCCAAAAAGGAGTTTAGGAGGAATGCAGAGGGTGGTGAGAATGTGGAATTCATTGCTAGTCGGTTGAATCAAGGAGCATCAATGTAGTTACCAATAACAAATTACTTTTATATGACACCTTTCACATTGCAAGGTCGTCCCAAGACACTGGACAGTTAATTAAGAGTTTGCACCCGAGCCCGAGCTGGGTGTTGGAATCAAGAGAGTTGGAGGGATTGAGGGTTGGAGTGTGACCGAAGGTATGGTCAACGAGTAAGGTCTTGAGACAGGCCCTGAGGAAGCAAGGGAGAGGGCAAGGTGGAGGGATTTGGGGATGGAGTTCCAGAGGGTGGGGGCAGAAAGGCTGAAACCATATATATATCGCATATGGTGGGACGGGCAGTGTGGGTGACATGGAGCAGGCCAATGCACGCAGAACGGAGTTAGTGGATAGGTTGGTATGGTGTTCCCAGAGGTAGGGAGGAGCACGACCATGGGGGGCTTTAAAAGTGAGGATGAGGATTTTAAATTTGAGGGAGAAAGGAGAACAGAGGCGTACAGGAGAGGGGAAGTGCAGAGTACAAACACTGTCACGGACTAGTTGGGCCAAATAACCTCTTTCCATACCATATCACCTGGACCAATAGAAAAGTGCAGAAATATTTGCCAATAATTGCAGTGCCTTTGACAAATTTTCAACAAATTGCGGAGGGTTGAATGGTGCTATTGAGAGATGCATTTTGTGAAATAACCTGGATTAAACCTATAGGCGTATATTTCCTGATCGTGTTTAGTTATGTTTAAAATACTAAAATTATTCATTTGAATAGTACAGCACTTACCAAGAATTTGTCGCAGGAGCTCAGTTTAGGCCACAGGCGCCGGGCCGGGGTCTAGCACACTGTGTAGGTGTGTAGCAGGGCCTAGCACATTGTGTACAGATGTGTAGCGGGGCCTAGCACACTATGTAGTGCGTTTCTAGCAGAGGAGGGAGTTTGGGGCAGATTCGGCCGAAAAATGCGGCGCCACTTTTCTATTGGCCTAACATATCACTAATCAAGGAGGGGGCAGGTTTTAGTTTGCTGTTTGAAACATTTCATCAAGACCTGGGTTTGATTGAGCTTTGATGTGTGGAGTATTTTAAATGCACTTCAGGGAGCTGAATAAAACATTGCATGCTTTAGCTCTGTAGCACGTTTGATAATATTGCTACATTTGCATGTTCGGTTGGGCTGAGTTATTGATTTTTTTCATCAAAAATAAATCGCAAATATCAACGAAAGCGAATGATCTTTAATAGGTCGGTGTGTCTGTCTGTGTACATAGACCTTAATATTCTAACTCCAGACTAGATGTTGTTATTGTGCTGGGTGATTAAATATAACATGCTACAAACTAGAGATAGCATTGAAATGTGCCTCTAATTGTCATGTGCGTTTTCTCAGTCGTATTATCCCGAACTTCTCAGACCAAAATTATGTTCCTATCGACTGCTCAGATAGGTTCATGTTTCCTGTACACGCAAGCTACTTTGTAGACAATAACATGCTTCATTTTTCATACACCCACACATCCTGCCGCTATGATCTCCTGCAGTCCTTACTCCCCCAGTCCGCTCCACTCCACCAACTCTCAAGCTGCTTCACACCCCAGCCACCTGCTCCACCCCAACATTGTCCCACAAGAACACAGTCACTCCACTCCACAGTGAAATCATGTGAAGTGTTGAGATGTCCTCCTGATGTGAAAGGGGCTACATCAAATATAAGGTTTATTATTGTAACATTCCTGGTGCCTGGAACTGTTCCAAACCCCAGAGACAGATTTCAACTCTTGCCTTAATTGCTGCATAATTTTGTTTCACATCAACCTTTGGGACATTTGATACAACAGAAAGTGCCCACGTATTAACATGTCTACCATACCAATCTTTGCTTCAATGCCTTTATTGACGGACCTGTCCATTTTACGTAGAACCATAGAAGTTTACAGCACAGAAGAAGGTCATTCAGTCCTTCATGTCTGTGCTGGCACTTTTGAGAGCGATCCTTTCAGTCCTATTTTACCTACGTTTTCCCCATACTTCAAGAAGGGGGCACCAGGAGCATTCTGCCTCCCAAGTGAAACTGAGGGATGTGAGCTGGGTTTGCAGTTGACTTTGTTCTGTGTTGTTTCCCAATGAAGTTACCTGGAGTCGAGAGCTGTGAAAACTACATGTTTCGCTACGGCCGAAACCCACTAATGGAGCTCCCACTAGCAATAAACCCTTCCGGCTGTGCCCGATCCGAACCCAAAATGAGTATCCATGTCAAGAGGTTTGTGTTAAGGTATTTTTGTTTTCAACTTCACCTAGTATAGCTCAGAGTTGCATTTTGCATTTTGTTGCTCTGCTGTGCCAGGCTGGGTGCTGCTTTAGGTGTTGCAAGTGGGTGCTTCTCTGCTGTGCTTATCGTTTACTCAGGGGTGCAACAAGAACAGACGCAATCCCAAGACAAGACTTTAATCGATCTCAGACTAAATTTATTTCTGTACTATTCGCACTGTACCATTAGAACTGAAATTCCACCTATATTTCGCCCACTTCGCAGTATATTTTGTGAAGCTTTTTGAGACATCTCAACGATGTGATAAGGCCCTATATCAAATGCAAGGATTATTATTATTGCGAGACTATCTTAATATTTAAGATTATGCAGATTTGTGGAGAACATTAAGCATTCTCTGCTTGGAATGAGTTGTGACGATGTTGAATGAATTGCTACAGAGGTGGAATCAACTGGATTCTTTCAAAGCGAAATCTCTAACGTCTCAAAGCATTTCACAGAATATACTGTAAAGTGGATTGACTACGTTTTGTGGGCAAAACCCGGCAGTCAATTGCACATAGTGGTGTCCCACAAACAGTCGTGGAAATGAGTGATCAAAATGTTTTGTTTTTTTAAAGGGATTATTACACATGGAAATCGATCTGCCAATCAACTAAAAAACGGGTTCCTACTTACTGCTCAATAGATAGAGGCGTGTGGAGTCAGGAAAGTTGCCTAAGATTTCCTTACTCTACACATTGAAGGGACACTCAATCAAAGGAAGCCAGTGTGAAGGAGATCGATCACCTTCACACAGTGATCTAATAAAATAATGGAACAAACTGAATAGCCTCCTCTGTTCCTATTTTCCTGGCTGTCTAATGTTCTAGAGCGGCACCTGGAATTATCTAGTGTCTCTCTTTAGCAATCACTGAGATTATTATTTGTTTAACAATATTAACATTATTTTGACGTTCGTCATTCCAAAAAACAGCCACCTATAACTACAGCTTCATATCTTTCAATAAAAAGTTTCCAATCTGTCATTCTTCTCAGCAATATATGTCCGTCTATCTCCTCAGTGCTGACAGCTCCCATCTCCTTGTTCTAATGACATTGGTAGTTGGATGTGAGGGAAGAGGCGTAAGATGAACCACACTTACAGTGATGAGGGGGAGAGGGGAAAGAAAAGGAAGATGAAAGAAGGCAAAGATTGATGGTCTGATTTGACAACTTTCCCTTCCTGAAAAAGTTAGATTAAAACAATAATAAACAAATACACAGTCAATCCATTTTACAGTATATTCTGTGAACTGCTTTGAGACATCTCAATGACGTTATAAGGCACTATATCAAATTCAAGGATTATTATTATAAATGCGTGTTGTCTAATGGTTGCACCTCCTGTGTTCTTAGAAGCCCTGGGCAGTGGTTCATACTTTGGTTGAATTTTGCGGCGTTGCATTTATTAATGCATTCAAATTTGCAGCGGTGCATTTCATGATGGGTTCTCATTTGCACTGGCGCATCTCCTCATTATGTACTCAATGCAGTAATTATCAAACGCCACAAGTTTCACCCCTGTAAAGGCTACATGTGTGCCCATGCGAGCATGTCCCTGTGAATGCGTTACTAGATTTGCATGTGTGTCCCCGTGAATGCGTTACTAGATTGTGCGTGCATGTGCTACCCTGCGTGAAGAGCGCTGTATAAATGCAAGTTGTTGTGCGTGTGTGTGCATGCGCTTATATGTGTGTGTGTGCCTGTGTTCATGTACGTGTTTTTTGCTAGATTGGCTGCTCAGCCTCGCTCAGTTAAAATGTGCCGTTTGCATCCGCTTGCCAAGAGAACAAAAAAAATCATTTTGCTTATTCACATTTATGCTCTTGTTGACCAAAAGGAACTTCAGAATTTGTTTTTCTCTCTCATCCCCTTGTCCCCACCACTACCTTCACTTCGTGGCCGGATCTGACTAGGCCGCACACACTGAACAGCACCACCACATCAAAGTCTTTTCAGAGCACTGTAACAGGAGAGCTGAATGCACCTTATAGCAAGCAGTTTGTTCATTCCAAGTCCTCCCAGTACCGCAAAATGAAGACTGAATGGAAGATTAACGTGTACCTGGCCCGTTCTCGCATCCAGGTCAGTGGTTCACTCATTTGTTTTATCAGCCGGGTAGGTGCATGACTGATGTGTGCGTAAACCCATCAATGTGGCGAAATCTTAGGCAAGTTACCTTTCTCCACACACCTCTGTTTACCTAGCAGTAACTAGGAACCCGGATCAATTTCCAGGGGGATTAATCCCTTCAAAAGCAATTTAAAAATTTGATCAATCAATCCATGATTGTCTATGGGACACTGTAATTGGCTGCCGTGTTTTATCCACAAAACATACAGTCACTACACTTTACACTTTTGAGATGTCTCAATGACATGATTACTATGATTAATAATAATTGTGTTACATTTCCAGCTTCCAGCACTGACGTCCTGCAGATAGCAGGCATGCGCAGGCAGTGTTGCTGATGTCACTTCCTGCACCGTGTGAGGCCATTGGTGCTTCCTGCATACAGGAAGTGACTTTGATGGCAACCTGAAGACCTGGAAGCGTTGACAGTGGCCATTTTTATTCTGCGCTACTTAACAATCAGCAAATATAAATATGTAAATCACAAGATTAATTGGAAATGTTTCCTCAGGGCCTTGGCTTGTATGCTGCAAGAGACATTGAGAAACATACCATGGTCATTGAGTACATTGGAACAATCATCCGCAATGAAGTTGCTAACAGGAGAGAGAAACTGTATGAATCACAGGTAACTTACTGCTTGAGTCATATACAGCACGAGTCCTGTGGGACTTAGTACTGAAGCAGCCAATTAAAATATCTTTTTCATAAGCCTGATATGTACAGAAACCCATCACTGTGTTTGAGTCTCCAAACCAGACTGAGAGTTCCACACATATTCAGCTACAAGTGGAATTTCCCTGTGCCTGGAATGAATGGAATGTGTACTCTCTTCCCAGAGGGACGCACCCTATTTACCTAATTCCTGAGAAACGAGGCACTGGTTGGCGACAACCAAGATTTGCAGAAACCCAAAGAACGTTGAGGGTAACTGCCGTTGTTAAACAAACAAAAGTGCCATCTGGCAAACCTACATTTTGGAAGGTGGAATACTTGTTATCTGTTGAAGTGAAGACCACAACAGGAATCGGCTGAAGGGGAACTATATGAAAGAGTACAGGGTAGGGAAAAGCAGGGAATTGAGATTAGGGTAGAGTAGATGCAGAAGTTAGTGCAATGTAGATTCGATGGGCGAGAAGCCTCTCTGTATCCTGTCAATGCTACCATTCTATGTATACTGGCTGCTATGTATGAACGTACTATGGTACATTAAGGACGTCTGGGATTAGAGAGAAAGAAAGCAGCTAACCTCCTTTTGTCTTGTATGTGCTAACTCTCAGCCTCTCCAAACACAACAGGTGAGAACAGCAACAACAACAAGATTACATTTGTATGCGCCTTTCATGTCGGGAGGACGTCCCAAGGCGCTGAAAAGTACAATTTAAGCACTGTAATCTGCCGAGGTGATTGTGACTCCTAATTTAGCCTAAAAAGATCAAGCAAATGGAAGCAAGGGTCAGAGCTAAGAGTCTTGAAAAAGCTCTTTTAAGATTTTGGAGCCTTTCTCAGTCCCCAGGCTCTAGCCAGTTCAGGGTTTGCATCTGAGAAGCGGTGTGGTGGGGGAGGGGGGGTTCTGTATTAGATCAATTCTATATTGAATTGAACTTAAATCAAGTCGTTGACTCCATAATTTGTGAGTCTTTGTTTGGTTCAGGATCCAAAACAATCAAGCTCAAACAGTCAGATGAAAATTATAATTTTACAACAACTTGCGTTGACGCCAGACACCATCCCGGGCGCTTAAACACCAAACTTTATATAGCAATGTGCATGATACAGAAAAGTATACTGTAGTTTTTGATCCAAGGAACAGAATATACAGTTGCACATGTTTTCCTAAATAGTTTTGTAGTTTCTTTTCTTCTTTATTTTGTTCTTCTTTTCCAGGTCTGTTCCACTTCAGACTGGTTAGTTATAGTTATATTGATACACATGAACAAACAAGTTTTCACGACCTTCAAAACCATCTGGTTTATCTCACAGATACCGTTTCCTTGTTTTTACTCATCACCTCCACCCCCAAACCATCTTATTAAAACATTCCTTATCCCTTCTCTACATGACTAGCGTTAGATGAGGACTGCAAGTCCACCTAACTAATATACACTTTTTCACCTACTTTTCACCTGACATGGACTGTACAAATTAATAAAAATAATAATAATAGTTTGGTCACTCAATCCACGACTGTTTGTGGGACACTGCTGAGCACAATTGGCATCTGTGTTTCGCTTACAAAATATATAGTCAATTCACTTTTCATTATATTCTGTAAAGCGTTTTGAGACGTCTCGAAGATGTGATGAGATACTGTGTCAAAGTCTTTCACGTACATGGACCATCTTTTACATGCTATAACTTTTTCCCATGTAACTGTAACAGACCAAGTAAGGACATTAGATAAAGGAAATAAAGACAGAGACACTAGTCATTTCTATCATATAAACACGTTGTAGGAGTACAAACAAGGACATTAGAAAGGAAACAACAGCAAGGTTACAAATGTCACACGAGTACAATTATCAGCAAAATTTCATCTGTGGAGTCCTGCAGGGTAGTGGTTAGAGCACTCGCCTCACAAGCAAAATGACCCGGATTCCATTCCCAGGCAGGGTAAAACCTTAGGCAAGTTTCCTTACTCCACACAGCCTTGTTTACTTAGTAGTAAGTACGAACCTGGTTGTTTGTCGATTGTCAGATCGCTTTGGGGGTTAATAATCCCTTCAATTAAATAAATTGGTTCATTCAATCCACAACTATTTGTAGGACACTGCTGTGCGCAATTGGCTGCCTGCCACGTTTCACCCACAAAATATACAGTCAATACACTTTACAGAATATCTTGTGAAGCGCTTTGAGATGCCTTAACAATCTGATAAGGCGCTATAACAAATGCAAGAATTATTATTATGAAAAGTAGAGCGGTAGAAATGTTCAGTGTTTTTCCATTATTGGCAAAATACAGAGTAATACAACATAAAGGGTCTCTGGGATGAAGTTCTTGGGAGTGAAGCAGCCTGGTGCATGTTAAAGCTTAACCATAACCAAGAAACAGGCTCCCCAAACCAATCACCCCCATCTTCGCTCGGCTTCACTGGCTCCCCATCTCCTTGGTATCGAGTTCAAGATCCTCGTCCTCACTTTTAAAGCCCTCCACAGTCTTCCCCCACTTGACCTTGCTAACCTTCTAAATCCCTACCAACCTTCTCGCTCCCTCCACTCAGCAGCCTGCTCCATGTCCCCCGCCTTGCCCACTCCACCGTTGGGGTCTGGCCTTCAACCTTTCTGACCTCATCCTCCAATACTCCATTCCCAGAGCCCCTGCAACTCGCTCCTTCCCACACCTCCTTCAAGGCGGGTCTCAAGACCTTCATCTTTGACTGTGCCTTTGGTCATCTTCCCATCCCACTCCCCTTGGCCCCCACCCGTCTTGAATCCATCCCCAAGCTCGGGTACAAATGCGCAACTGTTCAGTACTTTGGGATGTCCAATGCGCAAGTCACTATGAATGCAATTTGTTGTTGTTGATGTCTCGTCTTTGGCAAGCTTGTCTCAAAGCCCTGTAGCTGGAGTCCTGTAGCTCAGTGGTTAGAGCACTCGCTTTCCTCGCTTTGCAAGCGAGAGACCTGAGTTCAATTCCAGGCAGGGCGAAACCTTGGGCAAGTTTCCTTACTCCACACAGAGCCTAATAATAATCCCTCCAAAAAAAAAAAAAAAAACAATAATAAATTGGTCATTTTCAATTCTACGACTGTTTGTGGGACATTGCTGTGCGCAATTGGCTGCCGCGTTCGCCCACAAATATACAGTCAATTCACTTTACAGTGTGTTCTGTGAAGCGCTTTGGGACGTCCTCCCGACGTGAAAAGCGCTATATCAAATGCAAGGATTATTATTATTATTATTATTATTATTAAAGCCGTATTATAGTCTCTTATTAGTGTGGTGTCAGACTTTGAGAATTTTGTTAGCTTTTATCTGTAGGGGTGGAGTATGTGAGCTTTGTGTTGTTGTGGGTGATCTGCCCTGTGCTGTGATCTTTGGCGTTACTTGAGATCGAACCCCAAGGTGTTTCTTAAAAGCCTAAAAACAGTGTTAGAGTCACTTTGGGAGATTATGCTGCTTAAATGCACTCTTTGTGATTGTAAAGGCTTAGTACAGACAAAACAAAGGATGTGCCTTGTCTAGGTGATACTTGTCTCTGGTAACAAAGCCTATTACCAGGTAATGTGACTAGATAGCAGAATGCGGCTTAGCTGACCACTAAGGAATGTGCAGTATAATAATAATAATATAATAAGAATCCTTGAAATGTTCAAGTCTGCACACAATCTCCATAAAACAGCCAAACATGCAGAAGTGTTTATTTCTCTCTCTCTCTCTCTCTGAATTCCTCCTTCTGAGTCTTTTTTTAAGAAATAGCAGAATGTGTAGGTGAAGTGAATCCAGTGGATGTTGTGAATGTGGATTAGGGGGTATGCTACAAAAAATAGGCCTGAGAATAACGGGAATGCAGACAAACGAAACGGCTCAGCATCAACTTGTGTTTACATAGGGCCCTTCATGCAGGCTAGCATCTCGGAGCGCTGTAGTGGCAGGGTTTGAACACCAAGGAAGGGAGGATAGGGAGGTGACCATAGGGACGATCGAGGAGGTGGGTTTGAAAGCGGGATTTAAAGATAGATAAGAGAAAGGGTGAGGCGGAGGGTTCCAGAGGTTTGGGGCATAGTGACTGAAGGACACGAAGGAGAGCTGAAAAGGCAGATGGATATTTTTCAGACTGGAGATGTGGCCAGGGCTGTGGATTTCTTGTTTTCCATATAAAAATGTGTACTGTGTAGGCTTGGGTATCCAAAAAATGTGTATGCACACAGTGATTCAACACGGATCAATCATTTCACGTTTCATTTCAGTCCAACACCCTAAGAACTGTCAATCAAGTTATTTTGCTATATTTTCCCCACTGTCTCCCCAGTCGGGTTTCTCATCTACCTGACGGCAACATTAAAAAAAGTACAGATAGTGTGTCAATATTTGTGTACAGGCAGATTTTGTTTGCATACCGTACAATTTTGCATTGACTCAATCTCTGAGAACGGAGAGGACTACAGGAGGACACTGGAATTCAACAAAGAAACACATTTTGAACTTTGAGTATTGCATTTTGAAAGAGGAACAAGGGAAGGAAATGTGAGAATGTTAACAGAGTGGATATTGTAGTGGCAGGGTTTGGACACCAAGGAAGGGAGGATAGGGAGGTGACCATAGGGACGATCAAGGAGGTGGGTTTGAAAGCGGAGTTTGTGGAGTCCTGTAGCTCAGTGGTTAGAGCACTCGCTTTGCAAGTGAGAGACCGGAGTTCAATTCCAGGTCAGGGCGAAACCTTGGGCAAGTTTCCTTACTCCACACAGAGCCTAATAATAATCCCTCCAAAAAACAAGAACAATAATAAATTGGTCATTTTCAATCTACGACTGTTTGTGGGACATTGCTGTGCGCAATTAGCTGCCGCTTTCGCCCACAAATATACAGTCAATTCACTTTACAGTATGTTCTGTGAAGCGCTTTGGGACGTCCTCCTGACGTGAAAAGCGCTATATCAAATGTAAGGATTATTATTATATTATTATTGCAGAAAAACCTAGAGGTACAAGAATATTATAACATGGGAATGAAAATCTAGGTTTTATTCTGTTTATAAAAGCACTGAGTACAAGAGCAAGGAGTCAATAGTATATTTGTAGAGGATATTGTTTATTCCACAGTTGGAGTGTTGTGTTCAGTTTTGTGAATCTCACAGTGCTGGGGGTGTACTGCATTGTAGAGGTGCTAACCTTCAGATGAGACAAAACTGTCTGCCTGCTCAGGTGGACGTTAAAGATCCCATGGCGCTATTCAAAAAAAGAATGTTCTCCCTGGTGTCCAGGCTGACAATCCCCCTGATAAAATTGCTCATTTGCTTCATGGCTGTTTGTGGGATGTTTTTGCACGCAAATTGGCTGCTGCATTTGCTCACAATATACTCAGTCAGAAAATGTCAGTAGCATCCTGCAAAGCGCTTTGAAGTGTCTTGACAATGCAAAGATTATTATTAAAAGAGGTGTTCAATCAATTGCAATTATAATAATTATTATATATAAGAAATATATGTGAAATGCAAGGATTATTATTAAGAAGGCGCTATCAGATGTAATAATAATTATTATTATTGATCAAGCAATGTGTTTGGTCTCCCTCTCTTTTCAGAACCGTGGAGTATACATGTTTCGCATTGACAACGATCATGTCATTGATGCAACATTGACAGGAGGACCTGCCAGGTGGGTGGGGCCGCATGTCTGTGTGCATACGAACCTTTGATGTGACGGCTCCAGCTCCGTCCAGCCTTGGCCTCAGGGTAGAAGCTGCTCATCTCTGTCTCCATTGTCAACTTTCAGACGTCCAGCGGGAAATACGTTGCGAGGCTCTCAGTACATTCAGGACCAACTTCCTAAAATTCTATCATGAATTCTTGCACAGCTGCAATTTGGATAATGTTAGCATTAGTTATAGGCAGAGAGGCAGATAAAAGGGGATGAGGTGAATGGTTAGGGTACTGGATTATGGCACCAAACGTAGGGTATAAAAGGTTTACAGATTGTAGGAAGCCTGAGGGAGGTACCTTATCTCACCCCTGATGACTGGCCTGCCCTTCTCGGGCCCTGTGCATGAGGTCTGTCGTCAGTAGTGCCCTCTTGAAGTACTGCGGCTATGCTCAAAGTGGAGAAATTGGAACCAGCACAGAAGAGGGCCATTCAGTCCATCGTGTCCACTCTGGCTCTTTAAAGAGCAATCCTTCCAGTCTCATTTAACCTGCCCTCTAGTTAAGCGCTCAGGGTTGCTGCCCCGTGTGAGGAGCGCTATATAAATGCATGTTGTTGTTGCCGTCCCCATGCACTAGCTCCTTCCAAAAAATGGCCCTGGTGCAGAAGCGAAACATAACTTAGATGCAAGGTCAGAAAGTATTCCTTCACACAAATAACAACAAGAAATTGCATTTATATAATACCTTGCACATCGGAGAATGTCCTAAGCCTCTGGACTATGAGGGGTTTGCACTTGAGATGCAGATTGGGATCAGAGAGGGGAGGAGGGAACGGGGTTGAAGGATGGAAGATGACCAAAGGCAGGGTCGAAAAGGAAGATCTTGAGGCGGGCCTTGAAGGAGGCAAGGGATGGGGCTAGGAGGAGGAGCTCCAGCGTGAAGTTCCAGAGGATGGAGGCAGAAAAGCTGAAGGCCCAACCACCGATAGAGTAAGCAGGGTGGGAGACAAGGAGCAGGCCAGTGCCTGCAGAGCGAACAGAGCAGACAGGTTGATGAAGTTTAAATAGGTTGCAGAGGTAGAGAGGAGCAAGACTGTGGAGGGCTTTAAAAGTGAGGACAACAAACCGGTGTGAGGATATGTGGAATGCACTTCCCTCTCCCCACCCACCCTTGTAGATGCAGAATGAATCGGGGGATGAGATGGGTACAGAGAGAAATTGGGATTAGATAATCTGCAGTGATCTAATAAACTGGTGGAATAGGCTGAATGGCCTCCTTCTCGTGTTTTTTTAGGGTCTGCTTGTGTTCACCCTTCACTCATGGTATTTGCCAAGTCTCGTTCACATTGTTTCCTCCAATAAAACCAGTTGTGTTGGGCAGTGAATTGGTAACTGGTGGTGGGGGGAGGGGTGGGGTAAACTCAAAATGTTCCTTTATAGCCGACAGATTCTGACTAATAGTTACAATTTTAACTAATTTAACAAAATTTTAAGTGCGATTGAAAAAGTGAACCCAGACAGTACTCTCAAGATGTATTATGACAGTAGAACAAGAGGATGTAGGTTTAGTGTTGTAAAGGGTAATATCAGGACAGACACCAGGAAGTTTTACTTTACCCAGAGGATAATTAACAGCTGGAACAAGGTTGCCAGGAAAGGTGGTTTAAAGGTGGTTGAGGCCAGGACACTGGGACACATATAAAGATCAGCTGATGGGGGGGATGGCAGGATGGGGGTTCTGGAGGGATGAGATTGGATGGGCCAAAGGGCTTTCTTCATCCAAACTATTGTTCCATCTGCATTCTATAATCTCCTTCAGGTATATTAATCATTCCTGCGCACCGAACTGTGTGGCCGAGGTGGTAACGTTTGAGAAAGGGCACAAAATAATCATCAGCTCTAACCGCAGGATCCAGAAAGGAGAGGAGGTGAGTGTGATTTTAGACATAGCATCAAGTATCTTTGGGTTATCTCTGAAGGTTGCGAGTTCAGCCACTCCCCACATCATTGCGATTTGTGGAGTCCTGTAGCTCAATGGTTAGAGCACTCACCTTGCAAGCGCGAAACCTGGGCTTAATTCCCAGCAGGGCGAAACTTTGGACAAGTTTCCTTACTCCACACGCCTCTGTTTACCTAGCAGTAAGTAGGAACCGGGTTATTAGTCGATTGGCGGATCGTTTTTCCGGGGGTAATAATTCCTTTTAAAAAATAATAATAATAATTTGGTCACTCAACCCATGGCTATTTGTGGGACACTGCTATGTGCAATTGGCTGCTGCGTTTCGCCCACAAAGTATACAGTCAATTCACTTTACATTATATTCTGTGAAGCATTTTGAGACGTCTCTCGCCTACGTCAGAACTGAACTCAGAGTCTTAATTCAAACCAGTGCAGTCCTAGGGTGGGAGGGAGAGCTGCATTGTGGAAATGAGGTCCTTTGGCTAAGATGGCACTACTCGAAGAAAGGACATTCTCCCAGCGTTCTGGCCAACAATCCCTCAGATAAAATTAGTCACTCGCATCATGTTGATTTGTAGGACACTGCTGTATGCAAATTAGCTGCCATATTTGGCTGCAAAATACAGTCACAAGACTTTACGGTAAACCCTATGAAGTGCTTTGAGTCATCCTCCTGTCATGAAAGATGTTATGCTAAATGTAAGGATTATTAGTATTATATTCATGTTGCATAGAAACTGTAGTTAACTTGATCTCGTATCTGTTCAATTTTTTTTGGCAAAACAACAACAACTTGCATTTATATAGCACACCTCACACAGGGTAGTGTTCCAGAGCACTTGACAGTGACAAAACAAAATCAAATCTGAAGTTAACACTGAGCTAGATTTAGAAAACCCTTAAGAAAAGGGTTAGTAAACTTAAATACTTACAACACTTAACCTACCTTAATCTCACTGAGTCATTCAGCACATCTGCTAATTTGGTTCTACATTCCCAATACCTTCCTTACCTCTCCCATCTCCTCCTAATCCCACTCTTCTGCTCGACCCCTCTGTTCGGCTAACTTGAGCTTCTTGCATAGCCCCTCTCTACCTGGACCATCTTCGATGACTGACCTTTCCAGTTCTCCACCCCTAATCATGGAGTCCTGTAGCATAGTATTAGCACACTCGCCTTGCAAGCGAGAGGACCCGAGTTCAATACCCAGGTGGGGCGAAACCTTTGGCAACTTTCCTTACTCCAATTGCTTACTGGACTACTACGACTGTTTGTGGGACATTGTGTAATTGGCTGCTGGGTTTCGCCCACAAAATGTACAGTCAATTCACTTTACAGTATATTCTATAAAATGCAAGTATTATAATCTCTGCAACTCCTTCCCATGACCCTGCTGTCATCCCCTTCTCTATCTGTCTTCAAGTCCTGCCTTAAAAGCTTCCTCGTTGGCTGTGCCTATGGCCAGCTTTCCCTTCCCCTTGTTCAGCGTCCAACCCCACCTCTGTAAAGTGCTCGGATGTTATTCTACATCAAGGGCGCTGTATAAAGGCAAGCTGTTGTTGTAATGACCATCTTTAGTGCTTGCAATCTCTATCCCCCATCTGGAGGATACATTGGGGGAGAGAAAATCCCTTCTCTTTTTGAATAGCACTTTGGGATCTTTAACATTCTCCATAGAATAGGAGAAGTTGAATGTCTCATTGGAAGGACAGACTTTTTCACAGAGAACACAATGACGAGACTATGTTTGTTCTGTTTCAGTTGTCCTATGACTACAAATTTGATTTCGAAGACGACCAGCACAAGATCCCATGTCACTGTGGAGCTGTGAACTGCCGTAAATGGATGAACTAAAGCCATCACCTTTGGGGTTGATTGTCCTGGGGGAGAGATGCTTTTTCATTTTAAAAAAACGAAAGCCTGTAAACTCGCAGGTGAAATCTCTTCGCCCCCAGTGGCAGTAGCAGAGCTCTGTAAACGAGCTTCAACTGAAGCCGGGGAAATCATCACAGGTCACTGGGCCTCCCATTCATGGGTTTGTTTGTTCATAATGCAGGTGGCAGCGGATTACTGATACCAGGGGGTCCATCCTTTTAGCTGCTGAGGTCTGGATGCCGGATTTGAGAAACGTTCGCGGGCCACATAAGCAATATTTTATCCTGATTGGCCAGGCCCGTTGTTGGGCAGAGCCTGAGCGCCCGGCGACTGTCTCTTGATTGGCCAGTCCCGTTGTCGGGCAAAGCCTGAGCACCCGGTGACTGTCTCTTGATTGGCCAGTCCCGTTGTCGGGCAGAGCCTGAGCACCCGGTGATTGTCTCTTGATTGTCAGACAATGAGTTGGAAATGGTTTGAGGGCTGGATGAAATCATCCCTTGGGCCGGATAAGGCCCGCGGGCCTGCAGTTGGACCACCCTGACTTACATATAAATATATATGGTCTAGCACTGGAGTTGCTGTCCTATATTGATGAGCGAGAAATGTTCTTTTTTAAAAACTAGGAAGAAGGAAAACAATATATAAAAAACAATGGCTGACCTGCGTCCCAAGTAGGGCAGACACTTAATGAATGTAGGACTGAAATCGCCAGCTAGGGGGAAAGATCGACAGTGCTGGTCACAGCCTTACTTGTAAGGGGCAGGCCCTCTGGCACGTTTAAAAGTTAAAATAAGTAGACACCACTGAACAAGGAATGTACTGAGATGACTTCCTTAGATATACAGCTAAGGGAATAACTTGCACTAAAAAAAAATTAAAATACTTGATTCCGTGAGTCAGTTTATTGTAGGTTTTTTTTGATTTCTGTATAATAAAAGAAGACACATTTTTGTATTTATTGGATAAGTGAATGAAGCTATTTTTAAAAAGTAGACGAAGAAAATAAACAAAAGCCAAGCTGCTCCCGTTACCCACAGATGTTAGAAATTTTTTAAAAAACAGCTGTTACTTTGTAAATAAGTGTAAATAATTGAGAGGGAGAAAATGCTGTGTGTACGTGCGTGTGTGTGCACGCGCACATGTTTAAACAAAAAAAATACAATGACCAAATGCTACCTGAAGCTGTTCCAGAGCTTTTTAAGAGAAGATCATTGAGTCGAGTTACATGATGCATAATTTCTACCAACTGTGAATTGGGTTGAAAACCACCGGTAGTAATAATGGGAGCCTATCTCCAGAATACAGTCGGGGGAATACAAGCTTACATAGCAAGAATCGTGTACTGGGTATGGATGGGTTGGAATGGGAAGGGGAAAGAGAGTGGTCAATGTAGTCTGTCGAGATAGTTTTTATTTTTGAAGACTGATTTACAAAATGTAATTAGGCTAACACTGCAGGAAATACTTTTGTTTTGTTTTCGGCAATATTGGAGGGGTGGGTAGGGTGGGGTTTGGAATCGATGTAGGCACACACATGTACACAGCGAGGGTATGGTTGGTGGAGAGTAATAATTTGGATTTTTTTGTTTGTTTACATTTCTTTTAAAAGATTAGATTTTTAATTAAAAAAAACTTTTTTTTCGCACCGCCTGAATTACGAAACGTACGTCTGCAATTTTCGAACCTTTTTACTTTGTACTTGTCTGGAAGAAAAGAGAGATAAAGCAAAAATAAAATTAACTGGTACTGACCTATTCACACACAAAGGGTTGCGATCAAGAATGAATTTTCAGTCAACTAAACAAAATGTTGCTATATCCAATGAAACAGTAATGTATATGGCACGTCGCATTTTTTTGTACTTTACAGGGAGAGATTGATTGTATATAGTTCTTGATAAATAGTTGTATGAAATTATTTCCTGGATTTTTTTTCTTGTATAATATTCCAAAATCCTTGCCAGTATTTGTCCTACAGGGTTTTTTGTTCTCCTCTGTCCTGTACAATAGTATCTAATCTTTTTTTTGGAGAGTTTGAGGGGGGGTGGGGGTGGGGGAAATTAGGCTTTTTTTTTGAAGTATGGGAAAAAGGAGTGTTATTGTTTTTTTTTTGGAGTTTGTGCACTCAGATTAGGAAGTCGGCATTTACAAATAAAATATTTTACAACTATGGTTCTTTATTGTTCTTAGACACCTGCCGACGGCAGTTCATTCATTGTCAATGCTTTGAGATGTTCTGCCTACGTGAAAAGGCTCTGTTAAGTCCAATCTGTCAGCCTGGCTTAATCAGCAGCACACTCGCCTCTGTGTCAGAAGGTTGTGGGTTCAGCGCTCCGGGATGCTAGCCTGCGTGAAAAGCGCTATATAATTGCAAATGTTGTTCAAGTCCCACGTTGGGGATTGTAACTCATTTCACCCACAAAATACACGAGTCAATCCACTTTACAATATATTCTGTGAAGCGCTTTGAGATGTCTCAACCTTGTGATAAGATTCTATATCAAATGCAAGGGCTATTTTTTAGTCTAAGGTGACACTCTAATGCAATGCTGGCGATTGTGTGTTGTATTATCGGAGGTGCCGTCATTCAGGTGAGATGTTAAACTGAGGGCCCTTTTGAAATGGACCTTAAAGATCCTGTGGCACTACTCGAAAAGAGAAGCCAGTTTCTTACAGTGTCCTGGCCGAGAATCCCACCGAAATAAAATTTGGTCCCTCAATTCATCACTGTTTGTGGTACATTACTGTGCAGAAATTGGCTGCTGGATTCAATTACAAATACACAGTCGCTACACAGTAAAATCATGTGAAGCGCTTTGAGGCGTCCTCCTGACATGTAAGGCACCAAATGCAAGGACTGCTAGAGGATTATGATTGTTGTTGCTGTTATCTGCTCTTACATCTCCCCCAATTCCAGGATCATTGCAGTTCTAACCGTTGGCCTGTTTGTTGTCATCAAGTCCTTTGGGTGAGTTCTACCTTTGCAGCTCAACGTCAACGAGACTGAGGCTTTCCTGCTATGCCTCCCATCAGCCCCTTCTCACCTCATTGAGCTGCCAGGATGCACACTCAACCTCACGGAGCCCCTTGATCCTATCTCCCAATGTTCAAACCACTCATATTAAGTTGTGTGAAGTTCCTTTCCCACCAACACCACCCCCCTCCTCCCACCCCACCCCCAACCCTGAAATGCGGCACCTTACAAAAGTTTATTGACTTCTTATTTTTTAATCTTTGGATGGAAAATTGTCCATCTCTAACTTAAGTTTTAGGAAATTGGGCTCGTCTCTCGTTGGAAGAACTTTAAAAAGGTGATTTTAGACACATGCAGTAGAGCAACTATGTGCATGGAGTGTGGGGGCTTGTGGTTTGTATGTGAGTGCATGGCTATTCGGGAAATAGGAAAGTTCCCGTGTGCCCCCAGGGAATGCGTCATAAGTACCCCCATGATTGGTGAGGGGGCGAGGTAGAAAGCCTCTGGAATGGAGTTCCAGAGGGTGGGGGCAGAAAGGCTGAAGGCCTGACCGCCAACAGTGAGGCTGGCAGGATGGGGGATATGGAGAAGGCGGAACAGACAGGTTGGTAATGTTTTAGCAGATCACAGAGGTAGGGAGAAGCAAGACCGTGAAGGGCTTCAAAGTAAGGTCAAGGATCTTGAACTCGATCCTCTGGGGATGGGGATATAACTATCCTGTTACACGGCTCTTCTGTGTTTATGTGCGTGTGTTTGTATAATCACTCACTGCAGAGGCTGAATTAATAGAATCATTCAAAAAAGAACCATATAAACACCCGAGCAATGAAGCTCTCAATAATAATAATTTGCATTTGATATAGCACATTACAATGTTGTTGAGATGTCTCAAAAGTGCTTCACAGATTATATTGTGAAGTGAATCGACTATATTTTGTGAGCAAAACTTGGAATACAAGGAAGGAATACGATGATACAATTTACATTTATACAGCATCTTTCACGGCGAGAGACCATCTCAAAGTGCTTCACACAGTGTTCGCTCGGCACCTGAAGAATGGGGGTCGGGGGTGCTAGGGGCTGGAGAAAGGTGAAGAGGATTGGTGGGGGGTGGAGGAATAAAACGACTGAAAACTGTCAAAGGGGAAAATCTTGGGGTGGGCTTTAAAAGTGTTGGGGTGGGGGGCGGGGTGCTCCGGTGCACTTAGGAGAGATTCCAGAATGGAGTTCCATTGAGTGGGGGCAGAGGGGAGGAAATCTCACTGACTGATGGTATCGAGGATAGGACGGGGGACAGGAAGCAGGCCGCTGTTCCAAGAGCAGCTGTAGTCGTAGGGTTCTAGGACATCGCAGGGGTAGGATAGGGCGAGGCTGTGGAAGGGTTTGAATGGGGAATGGTGGAAAGTAGGATTAATAGTAAAGGGATAAGATGTTAAACTGAGGTCCCATCTGCCTGTTCAGGTGGATGTTAAAGATCCCATGGCACCATTCCCAAAGAGAAGGGAGTTTATCCCGGTGTACTGGCCAACAATTCCCCAAATAAAATTGGTCACTCACTCCATGGCTGTATCTGGGATATTGTTGTCGTTCACTTTACAGTATATTCTGTGAAGGGCTTTGAGACATCTTGACGACGTGAAAGGAGCTATGTCAAATGCAAGGCTCATTACTATTAATACAGTGACTGATTAATATAGGGGGCAAACACCCCCTCACCCCACCCCACCCCCACCCCCCCATAAAATTGGTCATCCTCTTGCAGGGTGTTGCTGTGTGTAAACTGGTTGTGATAATGCCAACAAAACACATAGTCACTGCACTTTACAGTAAATATCCTGAGAGCCAGTTTGAGACATCCTCCCAACGTGAAAGGTGCTATACCAAATGTAAGGATTAGTTACTAAATTATTATTACCCCAAAGAGGTGCCTGGAGCAGAAGTGAGGCACATATCAGTGTGAAGAACTATTAAGCGCTCTGAGTCACTGGCCAGGGTGAAAGGCATTATATAAATGCAAGTTGTTGATGATGTCTTTGGATTCGTTACTCACGGATGAGGGTGGAAACATACAAGTTCGGAATTACTTTCTGTGTAATAGGTTATAGAAGAAAGCTATTCGCCAAGGTCCTGCCACAAAGTAAAAAGATGATCCATTCATCGGCTTCTTTCTACCAATTTCTTTCCTGCTTTTAGTTCCTTCCCCCACACCACCACGGTCCAGGAGAGCTGTTTTTTTCTGGGGCTGCTTTTGTATTCAATCCAGACAAGCAAAAATCCCCATCGAGTCTCAACAACATCTCTTGTTAATGTAGCGACCTTCACATGGGATTAACATCTCACTGCACAAACAACAACAACTTGTATTTATATGGAGCCCTTCAGACGGGATAGAGTCACGGAGCGATTCACAGCGGTGGAGTCTGACAATGATCCAGGGGGAGAGGTGACCGTAAGCACGAGCAAAAAGGAAGGTCTTTAGGTGGGATTTGAAGGTAGGGAGGGATGGGGCAAGGAGGAGGGATTGAGGGTGAGAATTCCAGAGTTTCGAGGCACATTGGCTGAAGACACGGCCACTGATAGTGGAACAGAGGGCATGTGGGATAACAAATCGGATAGATAGGGAGAAGTGAGGGGATTAAGTGATTTGAAAATGAATGAGAGAATCTTGAAATCGATCGGTTCAGTAATTGGGAGCCAGTGGAACTTGTCAAGAACTGGTGTGATGGGGGTCTGGAGTTTTGTGCGGGTGAGTATCCAGGTGGAGGAGTTTTTAATTAATAGAATTTTTCGATGAGGTAACGGAGAGGGTTGA